TTATGGAATCACTGAAGTTAAAGACCTCTGTAAATCTGTCGGTCTACTCTCTTTTAATGAGTTCAAGAACAGATATCCAGTTAGAGGAACATTTCTAGACTACAATAAACTTTTGAAACATATCCCTGTCTCATGGAGACATACTGTCAATAATTCTATTAATGAGACTCAAAATCTGGGTATTAATGACATAGTGTATGAACTTATTATACCTTCAAAAGGTTGTAGAAGGTTCTATGACAAATTGATTAAAACAAGTCAGCTACCTGAGGTGTGTAACAAGTGGGAAAGTATGACTCAGATTACATTGCCTTGGAGTATTGTTTTTACAAACTATAGAAAGTGTACTCGGGATGTTAAATTATTGGATTTTCAATTTAGATTCATCCACAAGATTACATATACTAAAAAAAGAATTGTTAAAGATGAAATTGATTGACAAAAATGTTTGTACATTTTCCAAATCAGAACCAGAGGATATTATCCATGTGTTTGTATCGTGTGAACATGTACAGATGTTCTGGAGTGAACTAAGGATTTTTATTAAAAACACTTTTCGCATTGACATTGTACTCTCAGATTTCAAAATCCTGTTGGGACTTAACACTGGCTATGATTTTATTAACAACATTATTCTCGCTGGGAAACGATTCATATATATCTCAAGTATAAACAAGAAGACAAAGTCATCAATATCCCCCGCAATGGCAAAATACTCTTCATGATTATGTCTACGAGTTATGATTATGTCAAATATTTAGGTGTGTATATAGAAAAGTGGAAGGAGAGTATTGAAAGGTTTTAGAGTTATGCTCCGCGGAAAAGAGCACTATAACCAATTTCAGTCAAAGTCGAACTTGTTGCCATGGAAACGCCAAAAATATTTTATTCAGAATTCCAAAACTACCAAAAGGCACCAGTACACCACCAGATCTATCTATGTGCCAAGTTTGGTGATGAAATAGTGAACGGTTCTAGAGTTATGCTCCGGAAAAGAGCACAACCACCAATCTCAGTCTAAGTCAAACTTGTTGCCATGGAAACGCCAAAAATATTTTATTCAGAAATCCCAAACTACCAAAAGGCACCAGTTCACCACCAGATCTATCTATGTGCCAAGTTTGGTGAAGAAACATTGAAGGGTTCTAGAGTTCTGCTCCGGAAAAGACAAATGTGCACGGACGGACGGACGCACGGACGGAGTCCATTTTAATACCCCCCACAAAACGCTTTGCGTGGGATAACAACAGACGGCTGCAAATGTCAGGATTTCTGAAAATAATACAGAATATTGTATTTGTCGAAAAATACATACCTAAGAAAAACAACAGGCTTAACAAATTTCACAAAAAAATGGCCTCATAGCTTTATTTCGAACTTTGAAAATCGGCAAGTCTCTGGGCCAATAAATAATCAGCTCCAACATGCCTACGACCCATGAGTTTACTGCTGGAGGTTTGCACTTTGTCTTTCTATACCCATCCTTTCACACTTTGAAACTAATAACTCTTTTGTCAGCGATAACCAGGTTTTAACATCATATAAATATCCTATAATAAGATTAATAATAATAATAAGAAGAAGAAGATGAAGAACAATGACAAGAATATTAATTACTCAACATGCAGGTAACCCATGAGCTTGTCGCTGCAGTCATGTACTCCCCGACTTATGTACCTATACTTTCACACTCTGAAAATTTGTAACTTGTTGCCAATGTATAACCAGCTCCAAGTGCCTTACCTATGGAGTTTGCAACTGGAGTAGTGTACTCCCTGATTTTGTATACCTATATTATGACACTTTGAAAATTTGAAATATTTGTTGCTGATGTATAACCAGCTCTTACATGCCCGTAACCCAGAGTGTCTGTTGCTGGAGTGATGCACTCCCTGACTTTGTGTACCTATGTTTTCATACTTCGAAATTAGTAACTTTATTGCTGATGTATAACCAGCTCTTACATGCCCGTAACCCAGAGAGTCTGTTGCTGGAGTGATGCACTCCCTGACTTTGTGTACCTATGTTTTCATACTTCGAAATTAGTAACTTTATTGCTGATGTATAACCAGCTCTTACATGCCCGTAACCCAGAGTGTCTGTTGTTGGAGTGATGCACTCCCTGACTTTGTGTACCTATGTTTTCATACTTCGAAATTAGTAACTTTTATTGCTGATGTATAACCAGCTCTTACATGCCCGTAACCCAGAGAGTCTGTTGCTGGAGTGATGCACTCCCTGACTTTGTGTACCTATGTTTTCATACTTCGAAATTAGTAACTTTATTGCTGATGTATAACCAGCTCTTACATGCCCGTAACCCAGAGAGTCTGTTGCTGGAGTGATGCACTCCCTGACTTTGTGTACCTATGTTTTCATACTTCGAAATTAGTAACTTTATTGCTGATGTATAACCAGCTCTTACATGCCCGTAACCCAGAGAGTCTGTTGCTGGAGTGATGCACTCCCTGACTTTTGTGTACCTATGTTTTCACTTCTTCAAATTAGTAACTTTATTGCTGATGTATAACCAGCTCTTACATGCCCGTAACCCAGAGAGTCTGTTGCTGGAGTGATGCACTCCCTGACTTTGTGTACCTATGTTTTCATACTTCGAAATTAGTAACTTTATTGCTGATGTATAACCAGCTCTTACATGCCCGTGAACTCCAGAGAGTCTGTTGCTGGAGTGATGCACTCCCTGACTTTGTGTACCTATGTTTTCATACTTCGAAATTAGTAACTTTATTGCTGATGTATAACCAGCTCTTACATGCCCGTAACCCAGAGAGTCTGTTGCTGGAGTGATGCACTCCCTGACTTTGTGTACCTATGTTTTCATACTCAAATTAGTAACTTTATTGCTGATGTATAACCAGCTCTTACATGCCCGTAACCCAGAGAGTCTGTTGCTGGAGTGATGCACTCCCCTGACTTTGTGTACCTATGTTTTCATACTTCAAATTAGTAACTTTATTGCTGATGTATAACCAGCTCTACATGCCCGTGAACCCAGAGAGTCTGTTGCTGAGTGATGCACTCCCTGACTTTTGTGTACCTATGTTTTCATGCCGAAATTAGTAACTTTATTGCTGATGTATAACCAGCTCTTACATGCCCGTAACCCAGAGAGTCTGTTGCTGGAGTGATGCACTCCCTGACTTTGTGTACCTATGTTTTCATACTTCGAAATTAGTAACTTTATTGCTGATGTATAACCAGCTCTTACATGCCCGTAACCCAGAGAGTCTGTTGCTGGAGTGATGCACTCCCTGACTTTGTGTACCTATGTTTTCATACTTCGAAATTAGTAACTTTATTGCTGATGTATAACCAGCTCTTACATGCCCGTAACCCAGAGAGTCTGTTGCTGGAGTGATGCACTCCCTGACTTTGTGTACCTATGTTTTCATACTTCGAAAGTAGTTAACCTTTGTTGCTGATGTATAACTAGTTAGAACATGCCTGTAACTCATGCAGTCTTTCGCTGTAGTGGTGCACACCCTGACGTTGTGTACCTATGTTTTCATACTTCGAAATTAGTAACTTTATTGCTGATGTATAACTAGCTAGAACATGCCTGTAACCCATGGAGTCTGTTGCTGGAGTGGTGCACTCCCTGACTTTGTATACTTGTAACTACATTTTCTTACTTTGAAAATTTGTAACTCTTTGTTGCCAATAAGTATCCAGCCCTAACATGAAGTTGTGTACTCCCTGTCTCTGTATACCTATTTGAAATGAATAAAAATATTTTTAAAAAACAAAAAAAATTTTAATCGCTTGGTATTAATTAACCACAAGTTTTTTAAGAATGAATTTGGTGTTCCGCATAAGTCTAACCACAAATCTTTCATATGTAATAGTTAAAAGAGTACAAAAAAACAAAGTTTATTTGTTCTTTAACAGCTATTTCACACTTACACATGCTAACTACATAGATTGTAGATATCAACGCGAAAAAAGTTTTTTTCTATTTCCGCCAGTAGTTTAGGCTCGCATACTGCAGTCATTTTTGGCTGGACTGCTGACTCAATGCATAGTCCAATCCAATGGCCATTCAACGAAATGAACATTTGGGTCAAAAACAAGATGGCACCTGTCATCGAGCTATATTTCGGTTATTTTAGGACATCAACTTTGGGTCAACCGATATTTTTAAAGCCTTTAACTACTGAATACACATACAATTTATAAAATTCTACACTGCAATTGCTTCCCAAATTATCATTTTTAACAATAAATTCTGATGTAGATGTTCCTGCACATAGGCACAGGGAACATGAAGGAAAACCAAGTTCTATGGATAGTCAGCTTCCTTAGAGCAAAGAATGTAACACTTCATCACATGCTTGATAACGGTGTTAGTATCCACACCGAAACGTCGCATTCATTGCAATAAAGAAGTTGACTATCCATAGAACTTGGTTTTCCTTCATCTTTACAACTTCTAAATGCCTCTCAAAGAAGTATGAGAACATGCTAATTTTCTCTCTTTAATAGATGTATTGTGTTATAACTCACTTAATGATAATCACATCTGGAATATTTTGTTGCTACAAACTTGAAAAGGAAAGTTTTATTATTTTTGATCTGCTAGTTGGAGAAGAACGGGAACTAAGACAAGATAAGAATGACCGACATATCTCCAGGTCAGCTGACAGGTCACCTGTTTTGCTATGTGGGGTACGACTAATACCACACTCGATGACAACCAAGCATCTCACGTTCAGTCAGCTTAAAATTATCAAATAGGCCGTTATTTCAATATTAGGAACATGCATTCGCAGTTCCATCATCACCATACCGTGATTGTGAATACGTTCCTAATCTGCGTAACGCTTGAGTTGAACACCACATCGTGCTTTCCTCTTCTCAACTGGCAGATGAAGCAGTTACCTCCCTTCGATCCGAAGATCGCACTACATTATTCGTGTTCATATGGTTCGATGGACTTTCCCATTCCGAGGTAGACTGGTTTGTCTGCCCTAGAATGCTTGCGCTCCTCGCTGCACAACATGGAGGCCGAGGGCGGGGTACTAGTCTTATGTTCTCGGGGCAAGACTTAAAACTCCAAAGGGTCGAGTTCGATAGTATTATTTCTGCATAAACAAGCAGCATATCTTGGAATTAAGAATATCAAAATTCATTTATGTATATATTCTGTTTGATCACAGGATATATAAGTTTTGCTTTCATCAACCTACTTTTTGAAAAGCCTTTTACCTTTATTACCCCCTTCTACAAAATTATGGACTGTTCCCCAACAAAAATGGGAGGGATTTCCGTTTATTTCTGAAATAATAACAACAAAAATGGCGACGTCAACATATTGACACTGACAGGCCGTGCTAGATATCGCCATGGCCGACGGGTCTGCTGAAGAACTTTTAGATATTGCAAGCATTGAAAGTCCACGGAGAATGAATCCTTTTGACATCGAAATTGAAACGGTCAAGGGAAGCCACCCGACACGGCCCGGCTTGAAACGTGCTGGAAGCGATCCCTCAGCTGCCCAGAGAACTGTTATCGGTCATTCGCAATCTGATCGTCTCGATTGTGTCACCACGACCCGCCCCCGCGATGTGTCGTCACATTCAAGTAAAGAAAGGGTCCGAGCAAGAACACGGACACTTCACGCGCACAGATTGCAGCCGCTATATGTGCGTGCAACAGGTGAATCTCACTACGGAAGTGGAGTATTACGTGTCGTCGACATGTGAGTTCAGCGTGTTATGTCATACCTCAGTGATCGGTGAGGGGTGTGTCAGCGAGCTTTGTCTGCGCCGTCGAACAGCTGACATTTCTGTTAGTGCTGTTGATTTGGAAATTTAACGTGCGCTTTCCGACAAAATGCACGCGTATTTCGCACACAGATTCTTATTGCTATTAAAGTAAAGATCAACGTCATTAATTTGTAAATCAGTGACGGTGACAGAGTGGTCATGGTGACTGAGTTATGTCTCATGACAATGTCGCGTTTATATCTACATGTGGTCAGTAAAAACTCGCATAGCTAACTGATATACACAAGGGGAACTTATTAGGATACCCCGGGAAAGGTGGTACGTGTTACTTTGGAAGTTTAAAATCACACAGTCACTTGACATGTACACCACAGTGCTCTTGTCTAGATATGGGGTTATTGCCGTATGCGTGACTGAAAAATCTGCAGATACCATTGAATGCAAAATAAATAGGGTATCATGTACATGAGTATACAGGTGTGTCTGCCACTATTTCAGATAGTACTACGCTGATACGTAAATTTGCTGTGGTTGAAGTAATTCCCCTTGCAATGCATTCTGGATATATTACAAAACATGAAAATCCTCATACAGCATTAGCAGATGATGGCTTTATTCCGTTTTGTTTGGCCAACGTATAACCACTTGGAACATCACATATTTTTAGTCTTCTCTTGCGGTGAAATCTGAAATCACATTGCATCCATAGAAAACAATCACAGCTTTTTTGTTAAGTAAACATATCTCCACCAAAATACTTGAATGATGTGGCCCTTGATATTGAGAGGGTGAAGCAAAGGTTGTCCTTGAGTCTCTATACAGTGTGCAGGCTGCATGGCCCTTGGTATTGATGGGGTGAAACAAGGGTTGCCCTTGAGTCTCTATACGGTGTGCAGGCTGCATGGCCCCTTGTCCAGGCTGCATGGCCCATGGCCCTTGGTATTGAGGGGGTGAAACAAGGGTTGCCCTTGACTCTCTATACGGTGTCCAGGCAGCATGGCCCTTGGTATTGAGGGGGTGAAACAAGGGTTGCCCTTGAGTCTCTATACGGTGTGCAGGCAGCATGGCCCTTGGTATTGAGGGGGTGAAACAAGGGTTGCCCTTGACTCTCTATACGGTGTCCAGGCAGCAATTGGCCCTTGGTATTGATGGGGTGAAACAAGGGTTGCCCCTTGAGTCTCTATACGTGTGTGCAGGCTGCATGGCCCTTGGTATTGAGGGGGTGAAACAAGGGTTGCCCTTGAGTCTCTATACGGTGTCCAGGCAGCAATTGGCCCTTGGTATTGAGGGGGTGAAACAAGGGTTGCCCTTGACTCTCTATACAGTGTCCAGGCAGCATGGCCCTTGGTATTGAGGAGGTGAAACAAGGGTAGCCCTTGACACTCTATACGCTGTCCAGGCAGCATAGCCCTTGGTATTGAGGGGGTGAAACAAGGGTTGCCCTTGAGTCTCTGGCACGGTGTCCAGGCAGCATGGTCCTTGGTATTGAGGGGTGAAACAAGGGTTGCCCTTGAGTCTCTATACGGTGTGCAGGCAGCATGGCCCTTGGTATTGAGGGGGTGAAACAAGGGTTGCCCTTGAGTCTCTATACGGTGTCCAGGCAGCATGGCCCTTGGTATTGAGGGGGTGAAACAAGGGTTGCCCATGAGTCTCTATATCGGTGTCCAGGCAGCATGGCCCTTGGTATTGAGGGGCTGAAACAAGGGTTGCCCTTGAGTCTCTATGTGTCAGGCTCATGGTATTGGTATTGAGGGGTGAAACAAGGGTTGCCCTTGAGTCTCTATACGGTGTGCAGGCAGCATGGCCCTTGGTATTGAGGGGGTGAAACAAGGGTTGCCCTTGAGTCTCTATACAGTGTGCAGGCTTCATGGTCCTTGGTATTGAGGGGGTGAAACAAGGGTTGCCCTTGACTCTCTATACACGGTGTCCAGGCAGCATGGCCCTTGGTATTGAGGGGGTGAAACAAGGGTTGCCCTTGAGTCTCTATACGGTGTCCAGGCAGCATGGCCCTTGGTATTGAGGGGGTGAAACAAGGGTTGCCCTTGACTCTCTATACGGTGTCCAGGCAGCATGGCCCTTGGTATTGAGGGGGTGAAACAAGGGTTGCCCTTGAGTCTCTATCACGGGTGTCCAGGCAGCATGGTCCTTGGTATTGAGGGGGTGAAACAAGGGGCCCTTGAGACGGTGTGCAGGCTGCACTGGTATTGAGGGGGTGGGGAAAAGGGTTGCTCTTGACTCTCTATACGGTGTCCAGGCAGCATGGCCCTTGGTATTGAGGGGGTGAAACAAGGGTTGCCCTTGAGTCTCTATACCACGGTGTCCAGGCAGCATGGTCCTTGGTATTGAGGGGTGAAACAAGGGTTGCCCATGAGTCTCTATAACGGTGTCCAGGCAGCATGGCCCTTGGTATTGAGGGGCTGAAACAAGGGTTGCCCTTGAGTCTCTATACGGTGTGCAGGCTTCATGGTCCTTGGTATTGAGGGGGTGAAACAAGGGTTGCCCTTGACTCTCTATACGGTGTGCAGGCAGCATGGTCCTTGGTATTGAGGGGGTGAAACAAGGGTTGCCCTTGAGTCTCTATACAGTGTGCAGGCAGCATGGCCCTTGGTATTGAGGGGGTGAAACAAGGGTTGCCCTTGAGTCTCTATACGGTGTCCAGGCAGCATGGCCCTTGGTATTGAGGGGGTGAAACAAGGGTTGCTCTTGAGTCTCTATACGGTGTCCAGGCAGCATGGCCCTTGGTATTGAGGGGGTGAAACAAGGGTTGCCCTTGAGTCTCTATACGGTGTCCAGGCAGCATGGTCCTTGGTATTGAGGGGGTGAAACAAGGGTTGCCCTTGAGTCTCTATACGGTGTGCAGGCTTCATGGTCCTTGGTATTGAGGGGGTGAAACAAGGGTTGCCCTTGACTCTCTATATGGTGTGCAGGCAGCATGGCCCTTGATATTGAGGGGGTGAAACAAGGCATTGACTCATCAAGCCGAACACCCAGGTTTGATTACCACATGGATACAATGTGTACAATGTCTACCGCTGTGATATTGCTTGAATATTGCTAACAGCAGCATTAGACACACTCACTCACTCACTCAGGGTGATATAAATAGACCATTATTGTTATTTCTAATCTGAAACTTGGTGCTATGTGAATAGATCATTATTGTTATTTCTAATCTGAAACTTAGTGCTATGTGAATAGATCATTATTGTTATTTCTAATCTGAAACATAGTGCTATGTGAATAGATCATTATTGTTATTTCTAATTGAAATAGTGCTATGTGTCGGTGTTTTATTTTGTATTGAGATTCTATGAAGTTGGTTAGTCTACACAGGCAGGTGGGTGTATATTGTGAATCTGGTTCCAGGACCCAAGACCCTGATACCTTGAGTCCCAGGACCCGACCCTCACCGGAGTCCGGTTCCTCACCGGACCCCAGGGTTCACCAGGGTTCACATGTCTCAGCTCATGTCGGTGGTGCAGTCCATGGACGACGGCCTCCACCACAAGAACATCAAGATGTCGCGGCGCCTTCCCAGCTGGATGTGGTACCTCCTAGCGCGGTCACTCGGCATCAAACTAAACCCTGAAGACAAACCAATATTTGCTACACTGTTACACATCATCACCCTCACAGCTGCTGTGACGTTTGGAATTACTGGTGCTTGGTATAACGTGTGTGATATACTCAGTGAGTATTCCAAGACAACAGTTCTTATTGGCACGGTAACCATGATGATTGGGTTTGGGTGGATCCTGCTGGGGGTTTATGCTCACAAACTGGCTGGGAAGCTGTTCAGTAATAAAAACTTTGCAGAGAGTGTCCGCATGCATTCAAAGACCTTCTTGAAGATCAGCACTGCTGGTCTGATGTCCCTCCTTGGATTGGGGCTTGTGGGGATCAACTCGTACGATGGTTTTGACTTGTACCTCAGCTCTACCTGTACCAAGATACAGCTGCAGCCCATCGTGTGCCACATCCAGTATGTGTCAAAGACATTCTACGCGTTGCTCTGTGTCCTGTGGACTCTTCTAGTGGGCTTTGTCATGCTGTCTGTTTGTCGAACACATACTATAGGTGAGTCAGTGTTATACCACAGGTGAGTTAAGTGTTATACTATAATGGGGCAGTGTTATACCATGCATGAGTCAGTGTTATACCACAGGTGAGTCAGTGTTATACCATAATGGAGGCAGTGTTATACCATGCATGAGTCGGTGTTATAACACAGGTGAGTCAGTGTTAGACCATACATGAGTCAGTGTTTTTACCACAGGTGAGTCAGTGTTATACCACAGGTGAGTCAGTGTTATACAATAAATGAGTCAGTGTTATACCACAGGTGAGTTAAGTGTTATACCATAATGGGGGCAGTGTTATACCATGCATGAGTCGGTGTTATAACACAGGTGAGCTAAGTGTTATACCATATGTGAGTCGGTGTTATACCACATGTGAGTCAGTGTTATATCATATGTGAGTTGGTGTTATGACACAGGTGAGTCAGTGTTATACCATACTTGAGTCTGTGTTATAACACAAGTGAGTCAGTGTTAAATCATACATGAGTCAGTGTTATACCATGAATCAGGTCCACACTAAATATGAATCAGTTTGAGAAGCAATGTTATATTTCCCAGTGTTATGTTGTAGGTGTTCGTCGGTTTATGCGTGAAATGACCATGGATGCCAAGAGGTATGAAGCCTTCTGGATGGAGCAGGTGTTGGGGCAGGTCACCCCGAAACAGAAGGAAGAGCAGTCAGTGGAGGAAGGTACACAATTTTGCACACTTTCGTGTGTCAATGTGTGGTCATTTAAACTGGAACCAATATTAATGTCAGAATTTCAGGGCATTGAACAGCATCCTCAAATCTGATAGCATGATATGTGCAGACATTGCTAATAAACATCTGCCGGACTTTCTCCCAATATTATCTCCAACAGAGATGTTGAAACAGTGAACTGAATCAGTCTGTTCTCAAGGATGTGGACAAATAATTTTCTTTATCTAATCCTATATAATGTTGGAAGATTTATCTAATCCTGTACAGATTTTCTTTATCTAATCCTGTACATTGTTTTTCAGCCAATCAGTTGTCAGCATGCACTCACAGTTTTCACTGTTTTTAAAAGAGCACAGTTGTAATGAATATCTAAATAAAATAACAGATTCCCCATGTATAAAATCATCACTTCTCCATATGAGTAAATACTAATTGGCTTGAAAAAGTTTCCTGGAGTACTGCCACAAGGGATTTAAGACTTTACGCAAAATCAGAAATTTTATGTCCCAAATGTGGTTACATAAAAAGCTTAAAATAGCCGCCAAACATAGGATGTTCTTAAACTGTTCAACAATGTTTAGTCACATGACTTGCATAAAAGCATCAATGCCAAAACTTTGCCTTAGTGCCTTAAAGCTACTTTGTGGTGTCAATAATTTCCTTTCTCTTTGTGTTAATGTTGTCTGCAGGGGATTATTATCTTCATCAGATGTAAATATGTCCGTTTCAATGTTGTGACAGAGTGGTTCATCTGGGATGATCTTGCCATGAGCAGTGACGTAGACAACAACGTGGTCACATCCCAAGGGGTGTTTCTCGAATCAATTCGTGGACAAACATTTTCTTCCCTGAGATCTCGTGGTAGCCGTTCCCGGACCCGGTCTGAACCTGTTGCTGACAACCCAAACACGCTGAGAGAGAATGACGTCAGATCTAGGGAGGGGGCTTACAGTGAGGTCAGTAGCAACATCTTCATGTTTCATTAGTCCTGTGTGATCGACAGCTGTTAGATTTCTGATACACAGGATATACCTCTTCCTTACCCCCGGGAATGTTTCTCACAAAGGCATGACATTGACAGGCAGCTAGTTTTTCTGTTGGCCATCTACAGTGTACATAGAGACAACCTTGGTGTGCAGCATAATATCATCGGTCGCTGGTCACACGATAATGTGAAGAATATTGAATAAATCTTTGATAAAACTATTAAGATGCAATACTTATTATGTTACCAGTATTCATAATTTATGTAGGTAGGCCCATTCCAAGGTAGAAAAATAGAAATGGGCTGATTGTCAGCACCATTTTCCCAAATGTCAATGCCTGAGAACCAGTTGTTTTTATTCATTAAGCATCTCTAGTATATGCCATTAAAGAATTTTTGCATCCACAACAATGCTGAATACAGGATACTTGAAGATAAGTGGTCAAGACGTTGATCCGTATGGTCATTGTTAGTGTAATGTGTGACACAAGGTTTCATTGTTACCATGGTTTCCATTTGTAAAACAGAAGGACGAATCAGAAGAGAACAAGGATGAGTCATGTGACATCCTGGCAGTGCCTCCTATCATGTCCAACGACATTCTGCTGTTCTCGTACTGGAAGATGTCTGTAAGTGACCACAATACTGACAATATTGTTAAACATCTCATGACCCGGTTGTTTAGAGTTGAAATGTCGACATAACAGCAGCAAAACAACCACTGACTGGAGGTGAGCTTATGTGATGTGATGGCCATTGTTAGGTCAACTACCTCCCAGCCAATTCCTCCCCCACCTCCCAATCATGTATCAAGGATCAATTCCCCTCTAGCCAACTACTCTCGCGATTTATTCCCTCCAGCCAACTACTTCCTCACCTCTTTTCACCACCAATTCACTACTCTGACCTGCCAACTACCTCACCTATTCACTCACCAGCCAACTACCCTCACTTATTCACCACCAGCCAACTACCCTCACCTATTCACCACACCAGCTAACCACCCTGACCTCTTCACCACCAGCCAACTTCCCTCACCTATTCACCACAGGCCAACTACATCTCACCTATTCACCACCAGCCAACTACCTGACCTATTCACCACCAGCCAACTACCCTGACTCTACTCTACCACCAACCTTCTACTACCTCACCTATTCACCCACCAGCTAACCACCCTGACCTAATTTACCACCAGCCAACTACCCTGACCTATTCACCACCAGCCAACTCACCTCACCTATTCACCACCAGCCTACTACCATCACCTATTCACCACACCAGCCAACTACCCTGACTCTTATTCACCACCGGGGCCAACTACCCTGACCGCCAACTACCCTCACCTATTCACCACCAGCCAACTACCATCACCTATTCACCACCAACCAACTACCCTCACCTATTCACCACCAACCAACTACCCTCACCTTCACCACCGCCAACTACTACCCTCACCTATTCACCACCAGCCAACTACCCTGACTTTATTCACCACCACCAGCCAATACACCTCAACTTCTTCACCACCAGCCAACTACCCTGACCTATTCACCACCAGCCAACTACTATCACCTATTCACCACCAGCCAACTACTATCACCTATTCACCACTGCCAACTACCCTGACTGCCAACTACTATCACTTATTCACCACTCAGCCACCTAATACAACCTATTCACCACTCAGCCAACTACTCCTTGACCTATTCACCACCGGGTCCAACTACAATCCTGACCCAACTCACCCGGGCCCAACCCTTCACCTATTCACCACCAGCCAACTACTCCTCACCTATTCACCACCAGCCAACTACCCTGACCTACTCACCACCAGCCAACTACCCTCACCTCTTCACCACCAGCCAACTACCCTGACCTATTCACCACCAGCCAACTACCCTGACCTCATTCACCACCAGCCAACTACCCTCACCTATTCACCACCAGCCAACTACCCTCACCTATTCACCACCAGCCAACTACCCTCACCTCTTCACCACCACCAGGCAACTACCCTCACCTATTCACCACCAGCCAACTACCCATCACTCTATTCACCACTCCAGCCAACTACCTGACTCTATTCACCACCTGCCAACTACTCCCTCACCTATTCACCACCAGCCAACTACTCCTCACTCTATTCACCACCAGCCAACTACCCTTGACTCCTTCCCAACTACCCTCACCTCATTCACCACCAGCCAACTACTCCCTCACCTATTCACTCACCAGCCATCTACCCTCACCTACTCACCACCAGCCAACTACCCTCACCTCTTTCACCACCAGCCAACTACCCTGACCTTTTCACCACTCAAACCAACTACCCTGACCTCTTTCACTGCCAGCCAACTCCCCTCACCTATTCACCACCGCCAAGCTAGCCCTCACCTATTCACCACTGTAACTACCCTCACCTCTTCACCACCCGGCCAACTACCCTCACCTATTCACCACCAGCCAACTACCCTGACTAATTCTCCTACACCACCAGCCAACTACCATCACCTATTCACCACTCAGCCAACTACCATCACCTATTCACCACCAGCCAACTACTTCATCACCTCATTCACCACACGGCCAAGCTACCTGACCTCGACCGCCAACTACTACCATCACCTATTCATCACCTGCCAACTACACTGTCACCTGTTCACCACCAGCCAACTACCCTCACCCTATTCACCACCAGCCAACTACTCCTTGACCTACTCACCACCACCAGCTAACCACCCTCTGACCTACTCACCACCAACCAACTACCATCACCTATTCACCACCAACCAACTACACCCTGACCTACTTCACCACCAGCCAACTACCCCACCTTTCACCTCTTCACCACCACCAGCCAACTTTACCTGACCTTTTGACCTTTCACCACCAACCAACTACCCTGACCTCTTTCACCACCAGCCAACTTCCTCACCTATTCACCACCGCCAACTACCCTCACCTATTCACCACTCAGCCAACTACTCCTCACTTCTTCACCACCAGGCAACTACCTCACCTCTTCACCACCAGCCTACTACCATCACCTATTCACCACCGCCAACTACCCTCACCTCTTATTCCCACCACCGGGCCAACTACTCCTGACCTATTCACCACCAGCCAACTACTCCTCACCTATTCACCACCAGCCAACTACCACCTCACCTTATTCACCACCAGCCAACTACCCTCACCTATTCACCACCAGCCAACTACCCTCACCTATTCACCACCAGCCAACTACCCTCACCTATTCACCACCGGCCAACTACCCTCACCTATTCACCACCAGCCAACTACCTCACCTATTCACCACCAGCCAACTAACCCCTGACTAATTTCCAAGCACCACCAGCCAACCAACCCTGACCTATCCACCACACCTCAGCCAACTACCATCACCTATTCACCACCAGCCAACTACCATCACCTGTTCACCACCGGCAACTACCCCTGACTACCTACTACACCACCAACCAACCACCCTCACCTCTTTCACCACCGCCAACTACCCTCACCTACTCACCACCAGCCAACTACCCTTGACCAGTCCAACTATCCTCACCTATTCACCACCAGCCAACTACCCTCACCTATTCACCACCCAGCCAACTACCCTGACCTACTCTCACCACCAGCCAACTACCCTGACCTATTCACCACTGTAGCCAACTACCATCACCTATTCACCACCAGCCAACTACCCTCACCTACTCACCACCAGCCAACTACCCTGACCCTTCTCCAATTCACCACCGCCAAGTACCCCTCATGACCTATCTTCACCACCAGCTAACCACCCTGACCTATTCACCACCAGCTAACTACTCCTGACCTATTCACCACCAGCCAACTAACCCTGACCTATTCACCACCAGCCTACTACTATCACCTATTCACCACCAGCCAACTACCCCTGACCTATTCACCAATCGCCAACTCACCCTGACTGGCCAACTACCTCACCTATTCACCACCAGCCAACTGCCATCACCTATTCACCACCAACCAACTACCCTCACCTATTCACCACTCAACCAACTACTCCCTCACCTCTTCACCACCCCGCCAAACCACCTCACCTATTCACCACCAGCCAACTACCCTGACTACCCTTGACTTCACCACCAGCCAACTATTCCTGACCTATTCACCACCAGCCAACTACCATCACCTATTCACCACCAGCCAACTACCATCACTTTATTCACCACCGCCAACTACTCCTGACCGCCAACTACCATCACCTTATTCACCACCAGCCAACTACCGCCACCTATTCACCACCAGCCAACTACCTCTTGATTCTATTCACCACCGGCCAACCATCACTCCTGACCGCCCAACCCCTTCACCTATTCACCACCAGCCAACTACCCTCACCTATTCACCACCAGCCAACTACCCTGACCTATTCACCACCAGCCAACTACCCTCTGACCTCTTCACCACCAGCCAACTACCCTGACCTTTTCACCACCAACCAACTACCCTGACCTCATTCACCACCAGCCAACTACCCTCACCTATTCACCACCACCGGCCAACTACCCTCACCTATTCACCACCAGCCAACTACCATCACTCTCTTTCACCACCAGGCAACCACCTCACCTCTTCACCACCAGCCTACTACCATCACCTATTCACCACCGCCAACTACCCTCACTTTATTCACCACCGCCAACTACCCTGACCTATTCACCACCTCAAGCCAGCCAACTACCCTCACCTATTCACCACCAGCCAACTACCCTGACCGTCCCAACTACCCTCACCTATTCACCACCAGCCAACCACCCTCACCTATTCACCACCAGCCATCTACCCCTGACCTACTCACCACCAGCCAACTAATACCTGACCTTCACCACCAGCCAACTACCCTGACCTTTTCACCACCAAACCAACTACCCTGACCTCTTTCACCACCAGCCAACTTCCTCACCTATTCACCACCGCCGACTACCCCCTCACCTATTCACCACCAGCCAACTACCCTCACCTCTTTCACCACCTCGCCAACTACCCTCACCTATTCACCACCAGCCAACTACCCTGACTAATTTACACCACCACCAGCCAACTACCCTGACCTATTCACCACCAGCCAACTACCATCACCTATTCACCACCAGCCAACTACCATCACCTATTCACCACCGCCAACCACCCCGGACCGCCAACTGCCATCACCTATTCATCACCAGCCAACTACCCTCACCTATTCACCACCAGCCAACTACCTCACCTATTCACCACCAGCCAACTACCCTGACCGGGTCCAACTACCCTCACCTATTCACCACCAGCCAACTACCCTCACCTATTCACCACCAGCCAACTACCCTGACCTACTCACCACCAGCCAACTACCCTCACCTCTTCACCACCAGCCAGCCTAGCCACCCGACCTTTTCACCACCAACCAACTACCCTGACCTCTTTCACCACCAGCCAACTTCCTCACCTATTCACCATCGCCAACTACCCTCACCTATTCACCACCAGCCAACTCACCCTCACTTCTTCACCACCAGGCAACTACCCTCACCTCTTTTCACCACCAGCCTACTACCATCACCTATTCACCAATCCGCCAACTACCTCTCACCTTATTCACCACCGCCAACTACCCTCACTCTATTCACCACTCAGCCAACTACCCTCACCTATTCACCACTGTAGCCAACTACCCTCACCGTCCAACTACCCTCACCTATTCACCACCAGCCAACTACCCTCACCTATTCACCACCAACCAACTACCCTCACCTACTCACCACCAGCCAACTTCCCTCACCTATTCACCACCACCAGCCAACTACCCTGACCTATTCACCCACCACCAGCCAACTACCCTGACTCTATTCACCACCAGCCAACTACCCTGACCTTATATTCACCACCAGCCAACTACCATCACCTATTCACCACCAGCCAACTACCATCACCTATTCACCATCGGGCAACTACCCCGACCGCCAACTACCATCACCTATTCATCACCAGCACAACTACCCTGACTAATTCTACACCACCAACCAACTATCCCTCACCTTATTCACCACTCAACCAACTACCCTCACCTCTCTTTCACTCCACCGCCAACCATCCCTCACCTATTCACCACCAGCCAACTACCCTTGACTTTATTCACCACCAGCCAACTACCCTGACCTATTCACCACCAGCCAACTACCCTGACCGTCCAACTACCCTCACCTCTTCACCACCGCCAACTACCCTCACCTATTCACCACCAGCCAACTACCCTGACTTTATTCACCACACAGCCAACTACCCTGACTTATTCACCACCAGCCAACTACCCTGACCGGTCCAACTACCCTCACCTATTCACCACCAGCAACTACTACCCTCACCTATTCACCACCAACCAACTACCCTGACTATTCACCACCAGCCAACTACCCTGACCTATTCACCACCAGCCTACTACCATCACCTATTCACCACCAGCCAACTACTCCTGACTTATTCACCACCGCCAACTAATACCCTGACCGCCAACTACCTCACCTATTCACCACCAGCCAACTAGCCATCACCTATTCACTACCCAACCAACTATCCCTCACCTATTCACCACCAACCAACTACCTCAATTCTTCTTCACCACCGCCAACCACCCTCACCTATTCACCACCAGCCAACCACCCCTGACTTATTCACCACCAGCCAACTACTCCTGACTTATTCAATACCACCAGCCAACTACTATCACTATTCTCTACTACCAGCCAACTCTACTATCACTTATTCAAGCACACCACCGCAACTACTCCTGACTACCGCCAACTACTATCACTTATTCACCACCAGCCAACTACCGCCACCTTATTCACCAGCCAACTACCTCTGACTCTTATTCACCACCGCCAACTACTCCTGACCGGCCCAACTCTTCACCTATCTTACCACCAGCCAACTAGCCATCACCTATTCACCACCAGCCAACTACCCCTGACTAAATCACCACCAGCTAACTACCCTGACCTATTCACCACCAGCCAACTACCCTGACCTTTTCACCACCAACCAACTACCCTGACCTCTTCACCACCAGCCAACTACCCTCACCTATTCACCACCAGCCAACTACCCTCACCTATTCACCACCAGCCAACTACCCTCACCTTCACCACCAGCCAACTACCCTCACCTCTTCACCACCAGCCAACTACCATCACCTATTCACCACCGCCAACCACTCTTCACCTTATTCACCACCGCCAACTACCCTGACCTATTCACCACTCAGCCAACTACCCTCACCTATTCACCACCAGCCAACTACAATTCTGACTGGGTCTAACTACCCTCACCTATTCACCACCAGCCAACTACCCTCACCTATTCACCACTCAGCCATCTACCCTGACCTACTCACCACCACAGCCAACACCACCCTGACTCCTCTTTCACTCACTCAGCCAACCACTCCTGACTTTTTCACCACTCAACCAATTCTACTCCTGACCTTTCACCACCAGCCAACTTCCTCACTCTATTCACCACCGCCAACTCACTCTCACTTATTCACCACTCAGCCAACTACCCTCACCTTTCTTCACCACACCGCCAACTACCTCACCTATTCACCAACACCAGCCAACTACCCTGACTAATTTTACACCACCAGCCAACTAACACCTCTGACCTATTCACCAGCCAACTACTATCACTCTATTCACCAATACTCAGCCAACTACTATCACCTATTCACTCACTGCCTAACTACTCCCACCGCCAACTGCTATCACTCTTATTCAATCACCAGCCAACTACCCTCACCTATTCACCACTCAGCCAACTAATTTCTCACTCTTATTCACTACTAGCCAACTACCCTGACTGTCTACAACCACCTCACCTATTCACCACCTCAGCCAACTACTATCACCTATTCACCACCAACCAACCACCCTGACTCTACTCACCACCAGCCAACTACTCAATCACCTCTTCACCACCAGCCTACTACACTGACCTTTTCTACCACCAACCAACTAATCCCTGACCTCTTTCACCACCAGCCAACTTCCTCACTCTATTCACCACCACCGCCAACTACTCCTCACTCTATTCACCACCAGCCAACTACACCCTACTTCTTCACCACCAGGCAACTACCCTCACCTCTTTCACCACTCACAGCCTACTACTATCACCTATTCACCACCGCCAACTACCTCATCACCTTATTCACCACCGCCAACCACTCCTCACCTATTCACCACCAGCCAACTACCCTCACCTATTCACCACCAGCCAACTACCCTCACTCCACCCAACTACTCCTCACCTATTCACCACCAGCCAACTACCTCACCTATTCACCACCAACCAACTACCCTCACCTACTCACCACCAGCCAACTTCCCTCACCTATTCACCACCAGCCAACTATTTCACCACCAGCCAACTACCCTCACTATTCAGCCAACCAACCCTGACTCTATTTACCACCACCAGCCAACTACCCTGACTCTATTCACCACCAGCCAACTACCATCACCTATTCACCACCAGCCAACTACCATCACTCTATTCACCATCGGCAACTACCCCCACCGCCAACTACCATCACCTATTCATCACCAGCCAACTACCCTGACTAATTTACACCACCAACCAACTACCCTCACCTATTCACCACCAGCCAACTACCCTCACCTCTTCACCACCAGCCAACTACCCTCACCTATTCACCACCAGCCAACTACCCTGACCTATTCACCACCAGCCAACTACCCTGACCTATTCACCACCAGCCAACTACCCTGACCATCCAACTACCCTCACCTATTCACCACCAGCAACTACCCTCACCTATTCACCACCAACCAACTACCCTGACCTACTCACCACCACCAGCCAACTTCCTCACCTATTCACCACCGCCAACTACCCTCACCTATTCACCACCAGCCAACTACCCTCACCTATTCACCACCAGGCAACTACCCTCACCTCTTCACCACCAGCCAACTACCCTCACCTATTCACCACCAGCCAACTACCCTCACCTATTCACCACCAGCCAACTACCATCACCTATTCACCACCAGCCAACTACCCTCACCTATTCACCACCGGCCAACTACCCTGACCTATTCACCACTCAGCCAACTACTCCTGACCTATTCACCACACCGCAGCCAACTACCTCCTGACTGGCCCATCTACTCCTGACTCTATTCACCACCAGCAACTACCTCACCTATTCACCACCAACCAACTACTCCTGACTCTACTCACCACCAGCCAACTTCCCTCACCTATTCACCACTGCCAACTACTACCCTCACCTATTCACACACCAGCCTACTACCATCACCTATTCACCACCAGGCAACTACCCTCACCTCTTCACCACCAGCCAACTACCATCACCTATTCACCACCAGCCAACTACCCTCACCTATTCACCACCAGCCAACTACCCTCACCTATTCACCACCAGCCACTACTCCTCACCTATTCACCACCAGCCAACTACACCCTGACCATGCCGAACTACCCTCACCTATTCACCACCAGCCAACTACCCTCACCTATTCACCACCAGCCAACTACTCCTGACCTACTCACCACCAGCCAACTGCCCTCACCTATTCACCAGCCAACTAGCTCACATACCTCACCTATTCACCACCAGCCAACTACCCTCACCTATTCACCACCAGCCAACTACCCTGACCTATTCACCACCAGCCAACTACCCTGACCTATTCACCACCAGCTAACTACCCTCACCTATTCACCACCAGCCAACTACCCTCACCTATTCACCACCAGCCAACTACCCTCACCTATTCACCACCAGCCAACTACCCTCACCTCTTCACCACCAGCCAACTACCCTCACCTCTTCACCACCAGCCAACTACCCTGACCTCTTTCACCACCAGCCAACTACCCTGACCAGCCAACTACCCTGACCTCTTCCCCACCAGCCAACTACCCTGACCAGCCAACTACCTCTTCCCCACCAGCCAACTACCCTCACCTCTTCCCCACCAACCAACTACCTTCACCTCTTCACCACCAACCAACTGCCCCACCTATTCTCCTCCTCTACCCTGCCACTGTTTGACTTAGTTTCCTCTAGTCTCTGCAGTAGTTTCTACCAACAGGAGGCTGAAGTGTCACAACCTGGTTGAGGATAGTTACAGTCTGGTGTCTGATCTGAGCAGTTAAAACCCCAGCATTCATTCCTTACTGATGATGGAGCAGGTTGTGGGAGTTGCTTACACATTTCCTGCACTGATATCAAGCTTGGCTGTTTCCATGTTGAATTACTGTCTAGTCAGACCTCCACCGTTACAAAGTGTATACATAGTGTTCTCACAATTTCAGAGACGTCTGGTGGTGACATCTCGGTTCCTGCAGCGGTGGTTGTCCAGCTGGATTGCGTTTATCTTCATCTGGTGCGCCGACTACATCATATTCTGGGCGAACCACAGTGCCACACTAACCGGTATCCTGCAGTTCGTCTTCCCCCTCCTTGTCCTACTGCTCGTCTGTTCCGCCTACGCAGAGGTCAACGCTGAAGGACAGAGGCTGATCAAGGTGTGCTCAGTTCCATTGCGATCAGCAGTTAGCTGTTGATTATCCTGTGTCCGGTGTATGCTGTTCTATGTCCTGTCTGTGTTGTTCTGACGTATCATGCGTTGATCTCGGTCCTGTTGATGCTTTTACATCCTGTCTAGATATAGTTTTATAACCTGTCTATGTTGTTTTATGACCTGTCCAGGAGTACCTTTTAAGATTTTTTTCTTGTTAATTCCCCCAAAAGATCTATTCGATAACTGAGGACTTGATATGCTTATTCCAGTGTATCTGCCCCACTGAAGGGAGGCTGCACCTCTTGAAGTTCTTCGTCCAGCAGCCGTTACAGATGCAGGTAGGTGCACAGACAACTAATGTCATCACAACAGGTAGGTGCAGCATGGACCAATGCCATCACTACAGGTAGGTGCAGCAAGGACCAATGTCATCACTACAGGTAGGTGCAAGGACCAATGTCATCACTACAGGTAGGTGCAGCATGGACCAATGTCATCACTACAGGTAGGTGCAAGGACCAATGTCATCACCAGTTAGGTGCAGCAAGGACCAATGTCATCACTACAGGTAGGTGCAGCAAGGACCAATGTCATCACTACAGGTAGGTGCAGCATGGACCAATGTCATCACTACAGGTAGGTGCAAGGACCAATGTCATCACTACGGTTAGGTGCAGCAAGGACCAATGTCATCACTACAGGTAGGTGCAGCAAGGACCAATGTCATCACTACAGGTAGGTGCAAGGACCAATGTCATCACTACAGGTAGGTGCAGCAAGGACCAATGTCATCACTACAGGTAGGTGCAGCATGGACCAATGTCATCACTACAGGTAGGTGTAGCATTGACCAATGTCATCACTACAGGTAGGTGTAGCATTGACCAATGTCAGTATTAGGATTTTACACTCTGACACTGAGGTCCGCCAGTTTAAAGTCAACTGCTGCTTTTTTCTGGATGCAGGTATTCAGCTTCCCATCACATACAACGCCATCTTAGGTGTCATCCTGGCATTCTCTGTCGCCATCGCATCTCGGATCGTCCTAGACGAAGTCTTGTAAACTGCAGGATGCCATTCAACGCTCAAAGTCACAGCATGCAGAAGGTTTTTTGTTTCAAACTGCAAACATTCTTTCATTACATGAACTGTGAATACAGTGCCATGTGAATGTCTAATGATTACTGTCTTTCCATGGAGAAATGTACAAAGGTTAATGTCTTGTTATGTCAGTATGTACAAAGACTGACATTCTGTTTTGTAAATATGTACAAAGATTTATATCATTTGATGTTAAATTGTACAGGGATGTGATAGGTGAGGTGAGGTGAAATTGGGTTTAATATCGTACTTGAGAATATTTTGTTCATATGACGATGTGCATGCGTGTTTGTGTGGCTGCTTGTACTAGCCCAGACTTAAGCTGGTTTTATAGTGCCAGCTCACTGAGATACCATGCCGCAGTTAAGCATGAATACCCCACTCAGACGCATAAAACTGACTCCGAGCCGACCAGTCCTTGTACCCATTAATGCTGAGCGCCAGGCAGGGACCAACAAGTACCATATTTTAACGTCTTTTGTTATGACGCGGCCGGGGATCGAACAAGTGACCTTCCGCTCTCCAGGCGGACGCTCAACCACTACACTACGGAGGCAGTCGGATGTGATAGAGTGTCATTAGAGTGTCATTAGATATGATGCATGCAAATATTGATATTGGCATTTTGTGAGAATTCAGTGCAAAATATTGACATTTGATATATTTTTATCTTCATTTTATGTCCACACTATGGACAGTTCATGTGTATTGTGCACATGTTGAAACATTTCACAGTACCAACACAGCGTGCCCGAATGTCTTTTACATGGGTGTTCCGTTTACAACTTAATCTAATGAGATTTACAGAATACTTTTAGAGTTTGTATTTTATTCCAGTTGTAACTGGATGCTTTTATCAGCAGCTAGACGGGAGTCATCTACATCATTCCAGTCGTTTCAATGTAGGAATTATTATTATTAGGGAGTTTTGTTTTACGCCGCACCCAGCAATATGTTATTATGAATACTTAGTTTGCTGGCATGTTTTTTTATTGTTTTGACATATTTGATGGATGTGGGGATTTGTACCAGTGTTTCCACGAGTATCTCACACTGAACACATATTTCAGGAGTTATTTCTGTGTAGTCTGAAAGTTGCTTTCATTGCCATCATTGCTGAAACATTGAGTATAATATGATACAGATCTGTATTTACTGTAAACATGTTGCTCCAGAGATGTTTTTGTTTCATTCATTCCTGAAATATGTTAAGCTCAGCCCATCCACACAAGGTATCTAGGATTGCTTAGCATCAATACATGGTCCTTGCATAAGCTGATGGGCCCACATCTAGTTTGTCTATCAGAATCCAGGTTGTGTCTCTTAAAGTACATCAGTGTGCACTAACCTTGACTGAACCCAAAGTTGTTACACAAGACAAATTACAAGTCTCCAACAGGTAAGGATCATAGGAGATGTTACAGAACATAACATACTCAATAGAGTAATTTGATAGGGACATTCAGGTTTCCATGTTCCACCGATTTTCATGTCAGGTGTATATCAAAATAGGACATATTTGATTAACAATGGTTTAGTGGTGTATATGCATTTCATAACTAGTCATCTCAAATATGTAGTTTTTTTATGCATTCCCAGCTATTTTGTACAAGTGAGTGAGAGTGCATTTTTACGCCGCTTTTAGCAATATTCCAGCAATATCACGGCAGGATACACCAGAAATGGGCTTCACACATTGTGCCCATTTTTGTACAAGATGTAGGTCAGCCTGTATTTCCAGTTTTGTGATATTGTGACAGTGATCAGAAACTGTACTTGCATGCAGTGCAATACCATTGTATGATGCTCTCAAAGATTTTTCCATAAACTTTTTTTATCACTGTCAGAGTTTTGTCATTTCCACCTATAATCTGACTTTGGTTGATAACATGAACCATGCACATATATAGACCACTGCATGCTCAGTCTCTCCTCCCCCAAATCTCCAACATGCTTTCCGCATTCTACACACAAACTCCCAACACGCATTCCACAGTGACCAAACAGCAGACAGGAGTGATCCATGAACTGCACAACCGAAAAACTGGAGGGATTGTTGTGATCACTTTTGTATCATATGTACATGCATGAAACTATCTGCTTGCTGATGGAGTAAAAATATATTCAAATCTGTCATGTTCCTAAAATTACAGAAGTTGACCACCATTAACATTATAAAGGTGGAAACATACAACTTTATGGATGACAACTTCTTATTTATTCATAGAGCTAAAAGCTAAAAGCTAAAAGCAAAATGCAATAAATAAGTCATCCATAAAGTTATGCGCTTCATTTTGAGTCACCAACTTCTAGATTGCCCATCAAAACAATTATAAAGGTGTCATCATGAAAGGCTGGAGTGTTCAGTTTATCTAACAGAGTTGAGGATGACAGCCATCAATAACTGTCTTGCAAGGCTGAAGTGTGTGGATTGCTTGTGTAAAACTCCTTGATGAGTGAAGTTTTACGTAAGCTTCAACAGACACCAGAACAGTTTTGCACTATGCTGGCACCAACTTCCAATACTAATTCAGTTTAGTCAGGTCAGCCACTGTTTTCATACTGAAAATATTTCTGTAAAAATGTTGGATGCAGTTTAGGCTGAGCCTTAATTTAACTTCAGACATGTTTATGTAATAATGATTGGTCCATGCTTGAAAATATTTGCGTTACTTCACAAAAGACGGAACAATATCTAGTTTACATCACAGTTGTTTTAATTTCTGCAGCTTTGTTGTCCCAAGAATCAACTGTCAATGTATTTAGATCATTCTCCTCAGCAGAGCATTGATCTTGTCGTCACGGTAACCACAATCACCACCATCATTGAAGTGATTGTACTTCCTTCTCCAGCCTCCATTTGGAGTGTTCAGCTTGAAGGGCCACAGGAAGTTAGCAGCCATCTTGAAGTTAGGTCCAACTGTGAGGATCTCGTGGATCAAGTCCTCCATGCAGATGATGTTGTACTTGCCTGCAAAACATCAAGATTATCATTATGTAACAGATTTGGATAAAATGGTGATATGGTACAGCAGTAGCAGCAGCATTCCATCAATACGAAGGTTGAGTGTACACATGGACCACGACGACCGCGCACTGCTAAGTAACTACCACGACCGCACACTGCTAAGTAACTACCCGCGACGCGACACTGCTAAGTAACTACCACGACACGCGACACTGCTAAGTAACTACACACGCTAAGTAACCACAACCCGCACACAGCTAAGTAACCAAGACGACCATGATGACACTCACGGGACTAAGTAGGCGACTACACAGCTAAGTAACCAACACGCGCACACTGCTAAGTAACTAAGGCGACCGCGCACACTGCTAAGTAACTACCATGACCAACGCACACTGCTAAGTAACCACCACGACACGCACACGCTGCTAAGTAACCAAGGCGACACGCACACTGCTAAGTAACCCTACGCCACGACACGCTAAGCACTGCTAAGTAACACTACCGCGTGACCCGCTAATAACGCGACACTGCGCAAGCTAAGTAACCCGCGACACGCACACTGCTAAGTAACCAAGGCGACCGCACACTGCTAAGTAACTACCGCGACGACACAGCTAAGTAACCACTACGTAACTACCATGACGCTCACACTGCTAAGTAACCAAGGCGACCGCGCACACTGCTAAGTAACTACCACGACACGCTACACTGCTAAGTAACCAAGGCGACACGCACACTGCTAAGTAACCAAGGCGACACGCACACTGCTAAGTAACCACACGCAAACACAGCTAAGCACCACTGCTAAGTAACTACCACGATGACGCGCACTGCTAAGTAACCACCACGACGCTACGCACTGCTAAGTAACCACTACAACACGCACACTGCTAAGTAACTACCCACGACACGCGACACTGCTAAGTAACCAAGGCGACCACGCGCACTGCTAAGTAACCACTATGACACCGCAAGTAACACTAGCTAAGTAACCACTGACAACACGACAAGTGACCGCGATGACACTCACAGGACTAAGTAACCAAGACGACACGCACACAGCTAAGTAACCAAGGCGACAACGCGACACTGCTAAGTAACCAAGCGCGACCACGCACACTGCTAAGTAACCAAGAGGCGACACGTAACCACACTGCTAAGTAACCACGACGACCGCGCACTGCTAAGTAACCAAGACGACCGCGCACTGCTAAGTAACCCACCAACAGCACATGGCTAATTAACGCGCACTGCTAAGTAACCAACGACCACGACACGTAACCAAGGCGACACGCTGCTAAGTAACCGACGCACCCAAACACAGCTAAGTAACCACTACGACAAGTGACCGATGACACTCACAGGACTAAGTAACCCTGGCGACACGCACACAGCTAAGTAACCAAGGCGACACGCACACTGCTAAGTAACCGCGACGACACGCACACTAAGCTAAGTAATCCACACTGCTAAGTAACGACATGCACACAGCTAAGTAACCAACCACCACAGGACCAACACACAGCTAAGTAACCACCACGACACACATATAGCTAAGTAACCATGACGACATGCACACAGCTAAGTAACCACGACGACATGCACACAGCTAAGTAACCACGACGACACGCACACAGCTAAGTAACCACCACGACACACACATAGCTAAGTAACCACGACAACATGCACAGGTAAGTAACCATGTCACAGCCTATAAAGCAATGGAGTGATGGGGACGTAGGTGCCCTGTGCTGATGGAATGTTTTCAGCTTCACAGTCCTCAATTCAGAAAAAATCAAAACTAACACAGAGGAAATAAAACATACCAAGTGCTTTTTCAATGACGGCATTGTCAGTGAGAGGGATCTTCCTGCCGTTCACCTTTCCGTAGCCACGCTTGTAGATGAGCTCACGCACACTCTTCAGGTTAGTGGGTCTGCAAGATTAATATGTAAACACCACCATCAGCTGTGGATGCTGAGAATGACAAGAGCACATCACCACTTCAGTAAGAAAGAATATATACAAGAAGACATGGTCATCAATATCCCCCGCCAGTCTTCTGTTCCTATTTTGACAACTATTCATTCTTCCTACAAGTAGCGATACATAAGCTGTTAAATGAGAAACGGTTTCTGCAACAATCTGTCCAGATTGGGAACAATGCGCACTATAGTCAAGAAACGCATGACAAGGGCCATAACTCTGTAACAAATTGTAACATGGTTTCCGTTTTCGAATTCCATCAAGGCATTCATGTCCTGAAAACACATGTAACATGTTATATTTGAGATAACACTTTCTTAGTAAAGTACAGATTCTAGTACTTTTGGGGTTGAGTCCCATCCGGGATTCGAACCCACACCCTCAGAGTCAGGCACCTAATCGCCAGCACACAAAGTCAGACACCCAGACCGCTCAGCCATCGCGCCTTCCACAAAAATGGAAGTCGGACAACTGGTAGTCTAGACTGCAAACTTAGTGTACCCCTCTGATAAGTGTCAATTGGCACAGCTCCCATACGACAGCTATGAAATACACAATGCCATTTTAGAAAGTGGTCAAACGTAATATGTTATATTTGGGATTACACTTTCTTAGTAAAGTACAGATTCTAGTACTGAGTGGTCTGGGTGTCTGACTTTGTGTGCTGGTGATTAGGTGCCTGACTCTGAGGGTGTGGGTGCGAATCGGATGGGACTCAACCCCAAAAGTACTAGAATCTGTACTTTACTGTTAACATTTGACCACTTTCTAAAATGGCATTGTGTATTTCACTGAAAACACATAGCAAATTTGTTTTCCCTATCTATAATGGTTTCTGCGAAAATCTGACTCTTAATCAGAGTGAATCTGAGATTTAAACCCACAATCATCAGGGGTGGAAATAACACATTGCCAGGCGTCCGAGTAAAGTGTTTTTTCCAGTTGGGTTAACCCTTTCAACACCGCAGGCCGCTTAAGCCGCCACAACGCTATGAGTCCCCAGACACCGGAGGCCGCTTTGCCGCCAGGCAGTATCATCACGCCAAAATCAGACATAATTTTAGGAACCTACCTGACTTATGATTCATATATTAAATCTATCACATTTCACAATGTCTGAAAACACTTATTAAATTTAAATTTATCATATATTATCAGCAGAATTAAAATTATAAACTATTTTTCGCAATGTTCTTGAAAACAACGATTCTCGGACACATGCTTCGCAGCTGGTCCACAATAACATTGTCAAAGAGCAAAGTAACGATGTTTCGAGGAATTCATTAAATAAATTGAATAAACTAATGAATAAAATCAACAACAACATTCATAAAAGTTGTCAAACGCACATATAAAATTATTATTTCCATCTTTTGTGCGATCATGTAATGTAAGTCAAGTCACTGACAAGTGACATCCCGCTCTCGCCACTCAATCTTTCACTCGGACACGATGTTTAATGCGAAAATATATACATAAAGCATTTTGTCACAGGTCATAACCTACCACGATACATCCAATAAGTTCCATAATTTACGATAGGTAGCGCATTTCTTGCTTAATATGTTCAAAATAGCATTATTTTACCCAAAACTTTCGCCTAAATCTAAAAGTTTTCGCTTTATTTAGGACGGTATCCATTGCCGTAATATGATTGGCTGCCTTAGGTCACGCGGTATGATTTTGACCAATCACGCACCCTTATAGCAGACTGTAGCTAAAAAGCGTCATTAGAAACCAATTTTTATCCAATAAAATCGCTTCTTACAACTGTGAAAATACTCTTGGCAAGGGTTCAGTGATGTTGTTGATGTTCAGAGCTTTCGAACGATACCCGACATCAGACGATTCGCCTCCCATGTTATTCATAATGACGCTCAAAACGGAGGTATTTTCCGTTGTTATGTCATGTTACCGAGCGGAAAGCCACAGATATCGGGAAATAGGCGACCATACATATTATTTAAGAAATATTTTTATAATAGTTTTCTGATTACGTAAAAATGAAAATATAAAAGAAAAAGGCACGGGCATGTTATGACATGTCACAAATGGAAAAAAATCGCCATAGTTTTTGCTTCTTTCGTGGTTTATCTGGACGTTATAAATGTAAGCTTGCATTTTCATTAAAAATTAATTTTATTTAAGTTGTAGTTGTATTATTTGAATAATATTATAAAAATAAACTTCATATTTATCAACAGTAGGATTAGATCTTTTAAATGGTGTATGGGATGTAGTAGCAATAACGTTTTACAAGCTTATAATTTCCTTCATAAACATAGGCTTCATCTATGACCTCAGAGTCTCTGGGAACTCGGTGTCATGGCAGTAAATGCCTCTGGTTGACTGGTGTTGAAAGAGTTAAGCAACATTCCAGCAATATCACGGTGGAGGACACCAGAAATGAGCTTCACACATTGTACCCATGTGGGGAATCGAACCTGGGTCTTTGGCGTGGACGAAGCTTAACGCTTTAAGCACTAGGCACGGCAAGCACACACGACACACATTACACACACACACACCAATTGGCAAAAGGGGTCAATAGTATTGTAAGGAATAACCTATCACCAATTTCAGGCTAAGTCAAACTTGTTGCCATTGAAGCGCCAAAAATATTTTATTCAGAAATCCAAAACTACCAAAAGGCACCAGTACACCACCAGATCTATCTGTGCCAAATTTGGTGAAGACATATCGAACGGTTTTAGAGTTCTGCTCGGGAAAAGAGCACTACCACTAATTTCAGTCAAAGTCGAACTTATTGCCATGGAAACCCCAAAAATATTTAATTCAGAATTCTAAAACAACCAAAAGGCACCAGTACACCACCAGATCCATGTATGTGCCAAGTTTGGTGAAGAAATATTGAGCGGTTTTAGAGTTCTGCACGAAAAAGAGTCCAAAAAAAATGTGCACGGACGGACGACGCACAGAGTCCATTTTAATACCCCCTGCAAAATGAGTTGCAGGGGATAACAAAAACGAGTGTTTCTGTAGTGGCTTCGAAAATGTCATGATAAGCACTATAAATCATGCATACTGACCCCCATGTGATGTAGGGTTCAATGACCTTCAGCATCTGCAGAGTGGCTTTGTTGAGGCGCACAAATGTTCCGTTGTTGATCTGCCGGAGACGAAGTAGCTGCATGATCTTCCTGGGCCGGGGATGGACGCCATTGATACTACAAGGACACACAGCAAAATATACTTTCATAACTCTTCATAATCGTGTGTAGTACCTGATACTGTGATCAGTCATCATGGTCAGGAACACTAATCCTTTGGTGCTAATAGAAAATCTGTGGAAATATGATTGTGTCAATTCTATAGTGCAGAGTTACCAGACACTGTTCTAGGGACACTGATGGTCCGTTTGAATCCCACAAGCATGGATATGGTGCTAACAAAGAACCAATCTCAACTGAGCCCACATGAGGGAGGAGAGGGTGGGGCAATACCACCGTCAACAGTGTTTCTGTTATACAACAGGCTTTACCCACAAGCGACTGGGCTCACAACCAGGGCATGCTTAACAATGAAGGTCACACACGTGGCAACAGCAACTTTCCTGGGAATGTTACAACCATTATGAGAACTCCATGGTAGGAATCCATGGAATTAAAGAGGTGGTTGTTTTCATATAGCAAGATGAAAAATTGAACCATTCTACACGGAATGGCACAGAGTGTTACTTGCATGGGGATGACTACATATAGAAGACAAAATAAAATTGGAAGTGTCATTGATTGTAAAGCGTTAACACAACAACCCAAATATGTGAGCAGGATTCACTAATCCCCCCAACAATGACTTAACTTCAGTTGAACAATTTATAATGATTATCCTGTACAAAAATACAAAATCTGCATTAAAGTTTGCACTGCACCTCTCCTGTAGATAGATGTTCGGTAATCACTAAATTAGAAAATCATCCATCCATATAAAAGTTATTGGTTGAGCAGTTAAAAATGAATATTCTGCCTTCTTATTGCACATGTTAACACAGGGTACAGTGAGTATATACTAGTGGCTAGTGTTGGGAATTGGTTGAACTCTCACAATTGATGATTACTTCATTACCAGCGAACAAAATTGGTTAGCGTCATTTTTCAGATTTTTCTATCCAGGTTGTTACTGCAGAAAAAGTATAACATGTTGCAGCGTGCTACATTAAAGTGATGACTAATATATCATGAGCATAAACTTCCTGGAGTCTTAGAGAAATATTCAGTCATGACTTCTCAGTTAGTGGAGTGAGTTTTCTAAGAAATAAACATGTTTTCAGGCCCTGACAACTTCTAAGATATGTTCCATTGTCAAATTATTTCATAGACAAAAACAGTAGTTCCAAAATTGTTTATGTTAGATTATGAGAAGCGTGATCGATTGCAGTCTTGGTCGTTTGGTCACTGAGACCAATCTTGATTATTTCAATTAATCGAACACTACTAGTGGCAACTGCCTTTTCACTATGAATATTCATAAATTTGTATCAAAATAGTAACAACAGTCAGTATTTATGGATACACTGATATCTCAATATTCATCCCTTCTTACAAGCCCCTTGGTCCCCTGGTTTGCTGCCACACACTATCACTGCCATACTTCAGACTGTACAAGATAATGATCTCCAAAATGAACTTCAGATGCCTGAAACTACCAGTGCTCAAGATCCACTGTTGGAAAATTCAGATAATGTGTGAACTTTGAGTATCCCGTACTTACCCTCGGATTCGGATAACAAATGCAAGCCTTGGCTCATCAGGAACATAAAAGTTGTCACATTTTCTAGCTTGGCGTTGAAGGCGAATAGAATCACGCTCCTTGGAACGATATTCTTTTACATATTTTTCTGCACGCTGGAAGATGATACCCCTCTTCTTCTTCAGACTCTGTAATGAACCAGAGACATCTAATCATTTTCCCACGTTTATGACCTACCAACAAGCATCCATCTGAAGCTTCATATTTTCAAAATATGTTAAATTTGAGATAAATATTGGACACACTGTGACACATCCAACCTGATGGATTAATGGTCAGCTCTCTGCAACCTGAGATTCAACCCAGTGAAGCAGGACTTGGCCGAGCATTTCAGTGACTGGTCTGATGAAGTTTCCATTTTACAAGATTCCAAAATGGAGGTATTTCCTGGTGTTTCAGATTACATAAATATGACACTATATATAATAGAAATAGGTAAGAGAACATTATGATATCCTACAACAGGCATTTTTCTGATTTTCCATGCTTGACAATGCAGGGGCTCGATTTAAGGGATGTTAACCTAGTTCCACCCGGTGCAACCTAAGATAAAAGCCTAGCTGCACCCGCCAAATTCCAGTTGCACTGCTTTCATTGCAATATGTAATGAAAGAAATATGCTATTGAATTATTTAGATGGTTTACTCAGAAGTTTACCCACTCAAAAATTGACTTGCACCTGGTGCAAGTTAGACTAACAACTAGGTTGCAGTTTGTAAAACTGGGTTGCACCTGTGCAAGTAACAAAGCACTAAATCTAGCCCTGCAATGAATGTGAAAGGTTACATTTTTAATGAAAATGAAAATAAGTTGTAATTGCATTATTGAATTAATGTGAAACAAATATAACTTTCACATTTATTAACAGTAAGATTAGACCTTTCAAATGGTCCAACTTGATGAAGGAGCAAGCTAGACTCTGAAACGTCGTGTTATTCACAATAAAGAAGCTGACATTCAAAAATCTTGCTTTTCTTCTTTCAAATGGTGCATGACATGTATAGTCTGTTTGCGGAGAAAACGTACCAATGAATTTCACTTTAAACAAAAATGTAAATCCAATAAAGTGAAATTAAGATTTCGAATCCTCATAATTTTACATTGCCAATTGAACATTTAAATCTCAGAATTTTATTCAACTTAGGATAAAAGTTGTCTAACAAACGATCATAGTTTCAAATCTCTTTATTTGTTTGTATTACAAGGGGTATGCACATTAAATGAAACACCAATAACAAGTAGGGTTGGTCTAAGTTAACGCTCATCAAGTACCGCACATGCATTTGTTTCACTGTTCCAACTACTGCGCTTACCCCCTTGTAATACAAACCAGTAATAACGATTTCAATCTATGATCGTTTGTTAAACAACTTTTATCATAAGTTAAATAGAATCCTGAGATTTAAATGTTCAATTGGCAAGGTAAAATTATGAGGACTCGCAATCTTAATTTCACTTTATTGGGTTTAGTTTTTTGTTTAAAGTGAAATTCATTGGTACGTTTTCACTGCAAACAGACTATAGTTACAATTGTGCTTTACAAGCTGATATTTTTCTTGATAAATGTAGGCTGGGTCAATCACTCTCTGGGAACTCAGTGTCAAAGCAGTGAAACTAGTAAAAACTTCTGGTTCACCGATGTTTAAAGATACATAATAGGACATGTGGGTCTACATCAGACGACTGACCACTTTGGCACAACATAGCAGACTCCCTTAAATCACCATTCAGGGACTCAAATACAGGAGAACTTGTACAGTGAATGAATGAAACATGGCTGTATTATCCACTACTGGTTTGAAAAACAAACGTCTATCTTATCCTGATTGTATTTCAAGATTACTGACGTCATAACATTTACTGTCATACTTAGCTACCAGTTGTGTAATGTTTCCAAATCCTTAATTGTTATCAAACTGTTAAAAAAAATACTAAACCCTTTCAATTTTAGCTATTAGTTAATTCTAAATATCCCTTCTTATTCTGTGAATATTTAATTCATCTGCGGTCAGGCCTAAGCAACTGGAGTGATCAGTGATCACACAACAGGTTAAATGACAAAGCCCATCCGAGTTTTCAGGCAAACTGAAGGCATATGATCACCTGACCTGCCAATATGGACAGATGACGGAATCAAGCAGCACACTGACAAGAACGGATGTCATCACGCACTCACATCACTTCAATCAACCCTTATAAGCTTATGATGCAAGATAAGCAACCTCTTCCTATCCCCATGTCTTCACAACACTGCCAAGGCGATGCCATGTTTTTCTTCTTTGCACATGCAAACAAACCATACAGCATCCAAGCTTTGATCCAAATTAGTTTTAGTATACTACAAATATGCAGCTGGTTTGAACTTAGGGAGCACCTTTGGTAGCAAATGATTGACACGTAACTTAGTCAGTTTGCTGCAAAACCGTACATGATCGTTTGTTAAACAATACTTCCTTTTCTCCATGCCAATGTCTGCAATCACAGGGACGATTTAGTATGGACAAAAGACTAACTTTCATACCATTTAAGACGTATCGACCGTACATATATATACCATTACATTGGTAGGATATAACAGCAAACGGACTATAATTAGCATGTAGCCAAAGGCAATTCTCACCTTGGATTAGTGAGTGAGTGTCATAAAGTTCACATCTTTAAAAGATTACGACAAAGAAATTTAGGTGAAATCTAATTTCTATGAAGTTTCAGCACGTGTGCAAGTCAAACAATCATGAGCTGATAAACTAAATATTCACCAATCATATATGATGGAATAGTTAGTAAAGTGATAGCTAGTTGAATTGTCGTGTAAGCCTTGCCTATATTCTGTGCTTCACCTCTGACATGAATATACACAGCAACAAACTCGTTAATATGTGCTCACCTTTTTGGCATCGACTGCTGCTCTGGCCCGCTTGGCCTTCAGTTCCTGGAACTGTTTTCGTTTTTTCAACAGGGATTCGGGCACCTTTGGCTTTTTCTTGCTGTAAACATATCAAAATCATACACTCAACCACTGACAAACAACCAGCTACAATGTCGAGGGCATAGTATCAGAACGAAAACATGCATTTTTGTAAAGCTTCATATACCCTGTTCAAAAGGGGTAATTAATTCGTAATGGCATGTCTAAAACACAAAATAAAATTTTCAAATGAATAATCAACATTTATTTGTATGCCGCTGATGGCAGATTGCTGTTTATTTCACATTCATACAGAGATGCAAAGAGATTTAACAACGGTAATGGTTCAAACACGTACGTGTCCGCCATGTTGTATTATGGAAAAGGCCGGAAGAAGAGGAGGTTGTACTAACCACACAACTAGTTTGTTTTAATAGGTATTAGCCTAATAAATTAACATTTACGATTTACCAAATATTTTTTAATTTGAATGCTTTTGTTGTGACATATTTGGTTGAAAGTCACTGAAAACCCTGACGATTCAAATGCCCTCTTTAGCAAGACATTACACGATAGACAACTACTGAAAGTCCATGTACATGTACACCAACACTGCATCTTAATAACAGACAAGTGCAACCCAAGGACGCCAGTCTTCTGCAACTACACCTTGATCTTGATCTTATTATTTATCCGATCTAAACATGATGCTTTACACAAATTCATATTGCACATACACTCAGGCCCGGTTTCTATGTATTTAAGCACGTAAAAATCTAAGGAGGAATACAAAAAATTCATGAACCAAAGTAGAAGTGGATGATAAACACCACAGGCTACAGTAGGTTGCAAGAATTACATTTCTCCACTGTGCCATCTCCCCTGACACTCTACGGGTAAACCTGTTTCACAACAAAAAATATAGATAAGGATGCACGAAGGCAAGCTAAATAATTACATTTACAGCTGTGTGTCAGAACATTCCCCCCTTAATATCAAAACCATTATAAAAGTACTAGAATATGTACTTTTCTGAGAATGTTTAATCCTAAATCTAACACATGAATAAATGAATATATATCTAACACGTTTAAAATATAGAAATATATGTAAAATACGCTGAAGAAATCATATAACATGATGAAAAGATATTCAGGAATTTGGGCACCACCAACGCTGGTCATATTGGTTATGAATATTACTTGTGGCTTGTCGGGTTCATTACTCCCTTGATACTAAACATTCCAAGTTATAAAACCATACCGGTACACTGCATTGCGTATGTTATAAAATAAGTTGTCCTGTAGTAGTATGTTCACAGTAACGTTTTACGACATTCTCTATAAATCATTGTAATATATTTGACACTTGAAAGTGATTAAAATCAGCCTAAAAAACAAACACGTTGCAATAACTTGGAATGCTTTAATACTCAAATCTTACGACAAATGATACCACTTTTTGGTAGGGATGAAAGATCAAAGGGAGCCGCGCGCACCTGCTTGTTGCAGACGACAAAGTTCGGGTTCCATCAGTTATGTCTGCGGAACAGAATCCTAGATCGAGAGAAAACATGAGCCTTCTTCACGAAATTTTAGTGACGGTCAAAAATGTTTGTGTTGCATATTTCGTATCTTTTTATCGCTTCTTTATTCCTCAGTCGCCAAAATCAGTTTTCGGTGACATTGTTTTGATAACGGGATCGGGTAGTGGAATGGGTCGTCAGCTCGCGGTTGAGTTTGCAAAGCGTGGAGCGGTGATTGTTCTGTGGGATATTGATAAAGAAGGAAATAACGAGACACTAACAATAATTGAGGATATCGGAGGGACAGCGCATTCCTTCATTGTTGATGTCAGGTGAGTTAAAACTTGGTACGTAAAGTTATTTTAATTTAAGACCATGACTTGCGCACAAGGCGCTCACGTTAGACCAGCTTGAGTTCGAGACACTGAAAGAAATCTCTGAAACTGTTGACATTATATTAATGACAAGGTGAACTGGTGCTTTTTTTGATCGTATGCGATATTGAAAATATGGCACAGAACTAAACGTGGGGTAAAAAGGAAAACTCCAATTTAAAATGTCATATGTCATCCCCTTCTGATGCACTTGTTTTCTTCAGCCTATCTTACTTTTGCAAATAGTGTTATTTGCTACATGTTCTGATTTTTAAAATTATAGATATTTAAAATATGCATGTTTATCTTTCTTTCAAAAAAGTCCCTGAGCCCATGAAGTTATAGCTATAGCTGTCAGTTAACATTTAGTATTTACCAGAAGAGAAGAGATGTCAGTTTTGGAAACCATGTGTTTGCCCAAGAATGTACCAAACGCAATGTGTTGCAGCAAAAAAATCCTATACATGCACAGAATGTGAAGAGACAGCTGTTAATTTGTTACCATAGAAACATCCAACAAACTACAAATTTGTTAAAATATGCATATGACAGCAAATTGACATTCACAAAGGCAAAAACCATCAGGATGTTTGAGTTCAGTAACTGAAGCAGCTGTGTGAGTGATTTTTAGACTGTCATGGACTCCCATATTTAGGGTCCGTTTATAAATAGACATGGCTAGGGGTTGTGGGTGATGATGATGATGTTTTTACGGGGTGGGGGTGGGGATATGCTGGAGAATGGCCCAAGATGATGTGGCCAGACATTTTGGTGTCCATGGAAACACAATCTCTTGTCTATAGAGACGTTTACAACATAATTGGAACACGAGAGATTTGCCTTGGACCGGCCATCCATGTGTGACATGACATCAGCAAGACACCCATATTCAGCTGACCCATCTAAGGAATCGATTCCAGGCGGCCAGCTTGACTGCTCAGACCATTCCTGGTTTATGTCCAATCAGTTACAGGACTATACGGAAGTGACCGAAGGAGCACAACATCCAGCCCTGACAGCCTGCAATATGTCAAATTTTGCTCCAACATCACTGACAGGCAGGTCGATCTTGCCTGTGCAGACTAGATTGGAATGGTGTTTTGTTCACTGATTAGTCAAGATTTCATATGGACTGCTCAGATGGCAGTGCAAGGGCTTCAAGACGGTTAGGTGAACGGTATGCTGACGCGTGCGTTGTTCAATGGTGACAGTTACGTGGCGACAACCTTATGGTATGGGGAGTCATCACATCTCATGGTTGGACACAATTTGTCATTGTCAATGTCAGTCTGACAGATCTGTAATACAGGGATGATATCTTTGGGCCTCATGTGCAACCGTTCATTCAGGAGCAGAGAAGTAACTTCCCGCTTCAGCAAGATCATGCCCATCCATATGTCGCTCGTGTTGTGACAGATTTCCTGAAACAGCAGACCATTCCAGTACTCCCCTGGCTAGCTGTTTCTCTGGACCTGTCCCCTATCGAGCATGCTTGGGATGAAATGGAGCGACGTTTAAGTCAAGCCCAGAATCAGCTGAATTGGGACAAGCGTTGGTTCAGACATTTAACAACATTCCCTATTAGGGCTGTGCATTGGCAAATAAATTGTATTGCAATATATTGCGATTCAGGTACCCGTATCGGGATATGTATTGCGATATATTGGGACTTCAGTGTTTGACAGTGAGTGACACTAATTGTGCATGTCAGTCCTATTTTCTACATTATAAGTCCTTAAACACATGTGTTATGGTTCTGATAACAGCAACCTCAAAATTAAGTTGCATAGTCAGGGATTCTATTTTCATTTTTATACAATTTATAGTATTACAGTATGGCATTTTGTCATTGAATAACGAAGGAAAACGTTTGTTGTGAATGAAAGTATATGTAGATTTTTATTTAAACCATACAGATAATCACAAAAACTTCATATATGTTCTTTACCCAATATACCGGTTCTCAGGAAAAATATTGCAATACGTATTGTTTGAAAAGTATATTGCGATATACCGGTATACCGGTAATACCGTGCAGCCCTATTCCCTCTGCTTTCTTCAATCGCTTTGTGTTGTCTATGCATCGTCGTTGTCAACCCTGCATCAATGCCAATAGTGGACACACAAGATACTGAATTTGTGAACTGACTTTTGACACCACATCTCTTCATGCGCATGTCATGAAGCCTAGTGTCAAATCATACAGATTACAGTATTATCCTGTTAACAGTTAACAGTGATTAAGGAAAACACCACAAATTATGTTGTTATCTTATAACATTAAAAAATGGCATAACATAAAAATAATGCACAGTTTTTATTCCAGTAGTATATTTTCTGTCTTTTTTTTAATCTCTGCTATATTCTACATTTTGACCTTTAGTTTACCTTTGCACCTTGACCATGCTCCAAAATTCTCTCAAAATCCTTTTGATAGTGTGGTGAACATAATCACCTGAAACCATTGGACCAATGAAGCTGAAACTTCACATGCACTCATGATGACAACTGATTTTTAAAATTTATTTGCATCCAATTTACAGCATGGCCACTACGGTTCATGGCCGGGAAGGCTAAAATCGTGACGCTTCTCAGTTCAATTAGCTTAGCCATCGCGGTACTTGCAATGCAATGTTATGGCTGAATGAACACGGTGCTCCTCACTGGGAGGCTCTGACAAATTACAAAGAAAACAGGATTACCGTGGGGGCTCTTTCATCTGGGCACACATACAAATATAAATACAGTTATTTACCCATTTTCATGTCTATTCTTCATTATGCATTGTCTTTAATTCGACATTAAATTATCATTTTCTACCTGTCAATCTACTTAACTGCAACTTCAATATACCATAATATTATAGCAATGTTTTGAAAAGAAATTCTTATGAAAATGTATTCCAAGGTATAAGTATCAGACATGCTCAAAGGTACATCACCAGGATAATTTTTTTTGAAAATTAACACTTGCAGTTCCAGAGCCAAATACGACTACTTTAGTCTTTTCGATACTGTAAACGTATTATATTTCGCGCAGGTTTTATTTTCGCACTTTTCACGCAAAACAATTTAGCGCGAAAATTTATACACCGCGAATAAACCTGTCATTCATTCAGTCTAGCCACGCTCGCCCCTGAGTTGTTACCATAACACATCACGTTTGAAGACAGAAATCAACGGGAATCTTAAAATGAGTATTTAATTAAACTTCCACTTTACACAATATAAATACTATGCTGTAACTCATCCGGACTCAAATGAGACCATGTCATCAGCATACATCAGTACAAAAATCTTAACAAATCCAAATATATCCTCAATTTCTACATCATCACAGGCATTAGTCGCTAGATATGATTCAACGCCATTAATATACAGTGAAAAAAGGAGAGGTGATAAATTTTTTCCCTGGCGTATGCCTTTACAACAGTCAAAGTAGGTAGAATCATTTTCACCTGTTGAAACACTTGGTATTATCATATGCAGAGGCCAAGATAAGCTGCGTATCCGGGTAAAATACGTATAGAAAATTTTCAATTACGCATTGAAAAATAATTGTTATGCACTACCAATTTCTCAGATTTAAACTGTTAGATACGCAAAGAGTTTAAAACAAATGCGCACGGAATATACTTATAAAATCGCTATGCGAATGAAATAGATATCGATTGCTATCAATTTGTACTGTTAGTATAGGACAAGTGTTGTACTGTCAGTATAGGATGAGTGATTTTTATGAAATCATTTCCCTTATATTTAAGTTGGTTTTGAGTAGGTATGACATAAGGCAGAACATACCTGCTTAGTAAACTTACTCAATGACACAATACTTAGGTAGGTAAAATGACTGAAATACGCACATATTTGAAAGCAGTGGGTAACGGAAAATGAAATACCCACTCAACATTCATAATACCCACTCCAAAAAATACAGTAGGTACAGTACCCACATTAGCTAAATCTTATCTGGAGCTCTGATATGATACATATTATAAATAACCTTTTAAACTTGCCCAGTAATTCGTGTTTAACAATTTTTTGCCAAAGTCTCACACGCCAGACATTATCAAAGGCTTTTTGAAAGTCTATAAAAACACTATATAACTTTTTCTTCTTAGATTTAAGCTTAGTATATCAATTAATCCTTTAAAAACAAAAATATTATCTAAAGTAGAGTACCCCTTTCGGGAAACCCGAACCATAAACAAGCGAAGGTTATAACAATGATTTGAAAAGAAATCTGTCTACTCATGGATTATGCCTAGTGACAATTATTCTAATGGTTTTTTATAATTAAATACATCTGAAATACAATTGCCACTTATATAAAGTTCTAACGTTTCAGAAATAAATCGCGATATTGGCTTAGCCAGAAACCAACGTTAAACCCCCCAAATCTACTCCCGACATGGATTATGTTTCCTGGCACCGTATCTTTAGCTTTGGTGGTACTTCCCTATTCCCTTGGAAATTAGCTCTCCCGGGAAATCCGAAATATACATTTTAGCCTTTCCTGGACATCTGAAAATAAATTTTAGCCTTCCCGGCACGACACCGCCACTACACCAGCCATATTGAAAAAGCTAATAAATAGTTTTCAGTCATCAGTATTTATTTAGAACATATTTGAATACCAATGCATACAGCTATCATGGATGATGAGTGTCAAATATGAACATGAGTCTTTTTTTTGCAATGACATTATATTTTAATGTTCTGTGTTTTAGTGTGTGTTTAACGAATAACCACCAGTTTCTTATAGTTATTTTAGCTTTAGACAATTAAGCATTACTACAAAGACTCATTTCCATATTTGACACCCATGATACAGTTACCTTCCATTTCAGTCTCTGTCATCGTTAATATTTACAAATATGAAAACATCTAAGAGGAACAAAGAACAGTCCATACTTTCAATGCTGAGGTAATCTAAACTGGCCCAGTCATTTTAGACCTGAGTAGGACTCTTTTTAGTCTATCCTCTAAGGTCTTGGAAACAGGCCAAACAGTTGTCTCCATATAAAGATGAGGGCCTGTGGTGCTATGTTTGATTTCACACACAAAATACCTGAAAATTACCGGTATTGCAAACATGTCTGATGTCCTGGCAACCAGCAGAAAGGTGTGATAGATAAGGTGTGATAGATCAGATCAAATTCTTTTGTTTGTGTCACAGTCAGAAATCTTTTGGCTGTATGTGTTCACCTGAAATAAGTTAAACTTATGTCATGTTACATTGTCAGACATTCTTTTTAATCTTTCTTATGTGAGTCCCAAGGATGTCAAGGGTAATTACTGTCAGCATGGTAACAGTCTATAATCCCTTTAAATAGAATACACTTTAAACTAAACTCTGGGTTAGATTTTGAGACAAACATGTCCGTGTGTGTAGAAACTTGGAAGTTATTTATGTGCATAGTACCGTACATGCAGCGTCTAAATTAACTGCATTTTAATCAGTTAGATATGTTTGCATATTGTCAGTAATAATGAACTAGTTGAACCTACTTTAATGTGATAATGTTCCCTGACTGAGCATGTGTACATGCATGTTCATATTGAAGAGCAGGCTTGTCTCATTGTTGAGACAGCTGTGTCTTAGACCCGAGTGAGTTTAGTTTTACGCCGCACTCAGCAATATTCCAGCTATATGGCGGTGGTCTGTAAATAATCGAGTCAGGACCAGACAATCCAGTGATCAACAGCATGAGCATCGATCTGCGCAATTGGGAACCGATGACATGTGTCAACCAAGTCAGCGAGCCTGACCACCCGATCCCGTTAGTCGCCTCTTACGACAAGCATGAGTTACTGAAGGCTCATTCTAACCCGGGCCTTCTTGGGTCCTTAGACCAGAGAGTGATATTGGTGATTCTGTGTGTTCAATGATATCAAGGCAGTGTTTTAGACCAGAGAATGATATTGGTGACTTTGTGTTCAGTGACCGACAGGCAGTGTACCGGACAGGAGAGCAGGTCAGGCAGGAGGTGGGAGATGTCACTATCTTGATCAACAATGCTGGAGTTGTTACTGGCAAGTCGCTGTTGGAGTCTCCGGATCACATGATTGAGAGAACTTTTGATGTTAATCTACTTGCTCACTTCTGGGTATGTAAGAACAATTTCAAACATCTATTAACTGCAGCTATTAATCACTAAATACATGAAACTCAGTTGTATGATAGTAAATTTACATTGAGTTATTAACAGTTTATGAAAGTGTAATGTGAATTTAGCAAAATGATCTCAATGATTTGAGGTGTCCATATCTTTTCTTCAGACCTTGCAAATTGTAATAGACTATTGCAAAGCACTGGACATCATTATGAGGCAAACAAGGGAGTGGCTGTGTTGTTATGTAGCTTGAAATAGCTGTGTACCTGAAAGAACACTAGTCCATTTAGTGTGAACTGAAATGGCAAAGATACATTGCCATAAACCCATGGTTAATGATTAGATATTTTGGAAATCCCTTCACTCGAGTACTGTGGCTGCAACACCTAGGACACTCATAAATAGACGCCCACTCACCAACTGATACTAGCAGGACTGATCTGTGATAGCAGAAACCTGTCCAATATAATGCAGTCCTTGGTCAGAGAGGCATGCCCCTGCTTAGTTTTCTGTTGGTAACACTTGCACGGCTGCAGTTGCTGATTCCATACAGTCTAGCGTGGCGACCTGTTTCAGGCTGACAGATCTTGCCATCTTTTCAACTAGCTATTCAGTCAGTGTATTGTTCAAAATATTTTGTTTATGGTAAAATTCCTCCACATGGTTGATGGTGCATCTCATTTATGTTTCAATATACTGGCTTACCCTTGATTACCATTACTAGGGACATCTGATTCTGCTGGTTTGTCCTTCGTTTATTTAAATATTAGGAGGGACAATCTGATATTTTCTTCATTATAACAATAATAACTACCTCAAGTGTTAAATGATTTTTGTAATGCCAATTTGTGGACTCTTTTATAAAACAAACAAATACCTTAACTTCCTTTTCACTGTTTGAATCAAGTCATCCTCTATTAAGTACATAACATTGTTAAGTCAAGTGCCCCTGGAGTTTCAAGCTTAATAATTCCCTAATACTGTATGACTATCCTTATGAAGTACAAAACTGATTCAAATGTAATTATCTCTTTTTCGCCTTGATAAACATGATACAAATTTCTCCTTGCAGTAAGAATTCTTTGAGCTGTCACTCTATTTGTATAATTTATGAACCTGGTACTATACATGAACCTACAAATCTAGCAATGCATTTATCAATTGTAGGCTTCAAATAGAGGTAGGGGGTGCACCCCTATGGCCTGTTTATATACATCGAGAATGCTATGGTGGCTCAGAGGGTTAGAGTGTGCTGGCGATTTAATGTCTCATGCTAACTGTGTGGGTTCAAATCCCAGATGGGACTTAACCAAAATAACATACTAGAATCTGTACTTTCCTGAGAAAGTGTAATATCAAATATAACAGCTACATCTGACCACTTCCTAAATGTCATTGTGCATTCATAAATACACTTAGTCTGTGTGTTCAACATCAATAGGAGTCTTAAGCCAGAACATAAAGTTTTTGCATTATTTGATGAATATTGTTACCTATTGAGATTAGTATCAACAGATCTTCCTAGGCCAATTACAATTTACAAGATGACAAGAAAAAATTTCAACTTTTTGCTGAGATTCTGCTGATGTTCTTGTCAATGGTTTAGGGTACATCCCTGTACAGTTATTTCACAAGGCAGGCTATTGTGCCCAGAAACACAACTCTTTTCCCACAGAGAACAATGGGGCATGTTGACATTTTTATAGAAGGTCGGGTCAACCTCTTGACCGACCTACATTACCCAGGTAATTCCATCCTGGGGGGCACCTGTTTAATTTATACTTGACAATTATAGAGGAGGTGTTTGATTGAAAGACTGACTGAGTGGTCTGGGGCTCTATTGTCAGGTTGTTTTGCTGGAAAGCACAAAATGATGTGAGATACTTCTCTTTACTACCATGTTGTTTTCTGAAGATACAACGCAATTCTGCAAAATATTTTTGTGACAATTTAGTTTGCTTGACATTCATATGAAATTTGTGCATTGTCAAAATACAATAAACGGTTTGTTACCAATGCAAGCTTCATGCTGGTGCACTGGGCTGTGGCTACTAAATTACACTGATAACAAGAAATTGTTTAATGCTTCGATTTTGCTATGAATTAGAACTGAATATGAAAATGTGTAGTTTTGTTCAAGCAGGACCAGCTAAAACCTCTTGATGACCAGTGAGATGATGTTTACTTTAGGTCTGGACTAGTCTGAAAGAACAGTTATTTAAACTGTAGAAAAATACAGGGTGATATTATTGCATTGACAGTTCTAGGTTTTCAGTGAAGTTGAAAGGAGAGTCATTGCTTGGGTCACTGAGGTTTGCTTCTGTTGTATATGAATCTGTCACCACCTGAATGTGACCATGTAACACTAAGGTCATAACAAGGAGCATTTTCTTTTCATCCTTTTTAAGAATCCCATAGTCTTATGATTTTCAGGTCTGGAATAAAAACAGTGTTAAAAGGTTATAACTGATATAGTCCAAACCAAAAAATCCTTTAGAGTGACTATTCAAAGCCTTCAAAAACCATGTCTGTATGAAGTCTGATGTTAAATGAAAGGAAAATCCCAGTACGGCCTATGCAGCCTACCATTGGCTAGTACTGGATTAAACATACCACCTCAGGAAGTGTGTGGACATATCACAAACACAATTTGACCTTGCGTAGAATGAATACTACAAATGTTGTCGATCCACCTTTTTTTTATTTCAGACAGTAAAGTGTTTTTTACCTGCTATGCTACGGAGGAACCACGGACATGTTGTCAATATAGCCAGCTCTGTCGGACTTGTTGGTGTCAACAAGCTGACAGACTATTCAGCTTCCAAATTTGGAGTGGTGGGTTTCACGGAGGTGTTGAACTATGAGATAGTGTTTGCTGGTTATGATCAAGTCCATACTACCGTAGTGTGCCCATCGTATACAAAAACAGGGATGTTTGAAGGCTGTGAAATGAGGTGAGACTTTTTGTTCATATTTCTCCAAAGATTTTGTAACAGCTTTGACATAAATATTTTTGGAATGTTGAAATTGCTCAATTTCTTTGTTTTGTCCTGTAAACAGGCTTCAGAATGTATTTTTTTTAGCAGATATCTCATCCCCTGCAAACTCTTGGTGTCATTTGGGATCATATGTACTTCAACTATGTAAATTTAGTGTTCTAACCAAATGTTATGAAACAGGGCCCCGTTCCTCAAAGCGATCGTAGCTCTACGACAGTCGTAAGTCTATGTTAAAGTATGGGAGTTACGATCATCTTACGGCTATGATTGCCTTGAGGAACGGGCCCAGAACAATGTGCTGTTGCTGAATTATGTTGGTTATGTTGATGATGGAGCTAGTTGCATCAAGGGAGTCTTCATCTGTACATATGTTTTCCAGGACATACCCTATTTTTGAGCATCACAGGTTTGTAGCGAGATGCTGAAGTCATCAACAGGTTGTTCATGTATGTCTGGCTTTATTTCACATGAATCAGTGGATCATGTGACCTAATGTCATGATGCACTCTGTCACCACATAATGTTTTGAACACTTATATATATAAATAGCACTGTCTCTGAAAGACTGTTCAGGAATCAGTTCTATAGTCTGTTTGCGGTGAAAACGTACCGATGAATTTCACTTTAAACAAAAAAGTAAATCAAATAAAGTGAAATTAAGATTGCGAATCCTCATAATTTTACCTTGCCAACTGAACATTTAAATATCAGAATTCTATTCAACTTGGGATGAAAGTTGTTTAACAAACGATCATAGTTTCAAATAGGTATTATTGGTTTGTATTACAAGGGGGTATGCACATAAAATGAAACACCGAGATCAAGTAGGGTTGGTCTAAGTTAATGCTCATCACGTACCGCACGTGCATTTGTTTCACTGTTCCAACTACTGCGCTTACCCCCTTGTAATACAAACCAATATAAGCGATTTGAAACTATGATCGTTTGTTAAACAACTTTTTTCATAAGTTGAATAAAAATCTAAGATTTAAATGTTCAATTGGCAAGGTAAAATTATGAGGATTCGCCATCTTAATTTCACTTTATTTGATTTACATTTTTGTTTAAAGTGCAATTCACCGGTACGTTTTCACTGCAAACAGACTATAGTGGGCTGTAGCCTAGTGGTTGCAGTGCCCCATATAGATGCTGTATTGGTCTACTGTATGTATAAACAGTAGTCAGATATGGACGAATTGTAAATTACAACCGTATGAAATATGCAGGCAGACTTTACCATGCACCTCCATGACCAGTTTTACTGTACCTTGTCTATTCGTTCTCAAAAACATTCTTCAAAATAGTGTAAAACCACTGTTGACCAAATCATGGCATTACACTCTGCTTCCCCTCAAGTATGTTATTTCATCTTAGCAGCAAAAGAATTTCCTACAAGTCATGCATTGTCTTTGGCTAATAATGCACTTGAAATCTCTTGTCTCCATCTTTGTACATTAGAGCTTTTGTATGGATGTCAACTTCTTTATTATGAGGAACACAACGTTTCGGATAATATCCTTACTCCTTCATCAGGTGAATGAATGGTATGAAGCAGATAGCATACATAGTATGACCAGAAATTATTGAGAATTTTAGGAATATGTTTAATTGGATGTCTAGTATAAACAACCTTGACCAGCTATCAAGTGCTTGGTTTCATTCAAGAGAGACAACTCCGTGAATCCTTTTTCATTAGTTTGTGAAGAGTTATCCCCCTTTGTTTACTTTCTAGCAGACGACATTTTCAGTGATCCTAAGTATGGATGATTTAGAGAAGAGGAAGTTGATTTTAGAGTATTATAACAAGGACATCAGATCAGCTAAAGTGATTTCAAGTAGAACAGGTATCCCATTGTCCACTGTTTATCGTGTTTTGAAAAATATTGCAAATGAATATGGCATTGAGCACCAGGGAGGCGCAGGTAGGCCCAGAAAACTGACTGTCGGTGACAGGAGGCGGCTTGGTATTCTTGTTTCTAAAAACAAATGAAGGAGTTTAGAAAACTTAAGGCTGGATATGATTGATAGAGGACTGACTGACTGACTGACTGAGTTTTGGTTTTACGCCGCTTTTAGCAATATTCCAGCAACATCACGGCGGGGGACACCAGAAATGGGCTTCACACATTGTACCCATGTGGGGATTCGAACCTGGGTCTTCGGCATGACAAGCCAACGCTTTAACCACTAGGCTACCCCACCACCCCGATTGATAGAGGAACTGTGGCTGTCTGTAAGGAGACAATTAGAACTGAGCTGCATGCAATGGGTTGGCAGAAAAGTCGAATTCCATCACCGATCATGAAACCTGAACAAAAGGAGCGAAGGTTGAACTGGTGCTTACAGCATAGAAATTTTAACTGGGACAATGTGATTTTCTCAGATGAAAGTTCTGAATGGCTGTTTCCTAATACACTGAAATTCTGGACCAAACAAACTGAATAACCTTTGTATCAGTGCCCAAAGTACAGTCCGAAATTTAACGTGTGGGGTGGCATATCTGTGTTAGGGGCAACGCCCCTCTGTGTATTTGAAGGGAATATGAACAGTGAGCGGTACACAGATATTCTCGAGGGACATTTACTTCCATCTGCTCATGTGTTCTATGGAAATTTTTGGATTTTCCAGCAGGCCAACGACCCCAAACATCGTTCAAAGCATTCACAGGCCTGGTATCGGACCCAAAATATGACATTATTAGATTGGCCAAGCTATAGCCCTGACCTAAATCTAATAGAAAATGTTTGGGGACTTATGAAGGAAAGTGTCAATAAGAATATTGCTGAAATAAAAGAAGAGGTGGTCCGATATTGGGACAGCATGGACCACGACTTTCTAACTTCTTTGATCAGTAGTATGCCCCGCCGCATTGAAGCCTGCATTGCTGCCCATGGTGACTTGACAAAATACTAACTGTTAACCTGTCTATGAATCTGGAGTTATGTTCTGCTCATATTCACATTTATTACGTGAGTAATGAGTGAAAAACATAAAAAATTTACAATCTTTAAATTCTCAATAATTTCTGGTTGTACTGTATATGTACATGTAAGAACAACAAAAATGCAAGCTAAACAGTGGAACAATTGGAAGCCAGTACTACCAGTTAATTAGTGCTGAATGGATGCCAGTAATTAACAGTTAATGGAAGAAGTCCCAGCAGCACTAGCCCCAACCCCAGAGGATGTATTGTTTCATTGTTTATCAAGCATCTTTGTTGTCTAATTACTTTTGTAATCACATCTAAATGCCTTTCAAAGACCTTTGTACATTAGGTTTGCATCCAAATTCCAGAATATACAACAGTTGGTGTTTGAATGATTTCAGCACAGTAACATACCAGTTCTTGTCAATTCTGGAAATGAGCAGTACAGAACATATTGAAAAAACATTTCTGGAACTCAGCATTTGTGATAATTACAAGTATGTGGTTGAAATGTAGCACTGGGTACAAGCACTTGGCATCATGCCAATGTCCTGAAATCAATTCCCCAAACAGGTTTAAGAGTGAAGGTTATTCCTTATGTGACCCTGCCCGCAGTACTTACTGAGTCACAGAACTCACTGACAGAATTTGAATCAGATCCACCATGACAGCCATAGTGATGTCCTGCTGGGCCTTTCCTTGCTGTTCATTAATGGCTTATTTTTATTTTATTTGCATGAGTACAAACTTCCACTTATGTATATCCATTTCATATATATTCATACCCTCCGATTTGTGTTGCACTGCATCTGTCAGTATCATGTCCAAAGTCCTTTTAACTACCAGTATATTTGTATCCAGTATTTGCTGCTAATTTAGTCAGGGTTTAGTATTAATACTTATATCATACATATTTTAGCGTGCAAACTAGAATGTACTTGAAATGATGCCAGGTAAGAATTGGCCCCGACGGATTTATGCTGGGCATACAAGGCAGCTGACTTAATGGATTACGTTGTTCAGCTCTGTGTCTTCACATGGTTTCTTCCTCTTCATGCCAATCACTTCTTAACATACACAGTTATTTACAGGCCACCAGCTGGAAGGCTGTTGCTGGTCATGAAGCTGAATAGAGAGTAATTAAACAAAGTTTGACAATCTGGTGGAATCAAATGTTTGAGAGAGTGGCTGCACCTATACACTTTAACCCATTTTCCTTTCCCCCCAAATAGTGCATGATGTTGTTGCATGACGGTGCCACCCTATTTACACCAGTAGAACCTGTATGTGCATATACTTATTTATGGTCCTTACACAAGTCGGACCTGCTTTACCAAAAAACAAACCACAACACCAGTTACAGAATAATTATATATATATTATATAAGTATATATATTTCAAGTCATTGATGATTAGCTTTTGATTATTTTCCATGGATAAAAAAATTGTTGACTGGCCTATCAATTTGCCAAGAGAATCATTGTATTACATGTAGTAATATTAACTTCTGTTGTATTGATCAGACTTTGAAGCAAGTTTATCAAATGCTCTACAACATGCAGTATAACTTACTATATAATATCAGATTGACGTTGATCCATGCAGCATACATGTTATTGACTTGATCACCTGGTGTGAACACTTAATGTCTAGATCAATCTTACCTGGTTTCAGATTCTACCCACATGTATAGAATTAGAAGGTAATAAGATGTTTGAAGCTTTGATAAGAAAACTGTGTGTTTGATATCTACCTCTTCCCACAGATTCCCTGCAGTTATACCACCCCTTGAGACCAGGGCTACAGTGGAGAAGATCATTCAGGGAATTCTAACCAATCAACATCAGATCTGTATTCCACGCCTGGTGTATGTCGTATCAGTGCTGAAGACGTGAGTATATTGCATGTGCCACCATATCTGAATAAATCCTATTAAAGTTACCAGGTTAGATACATGTACTTGTCAGGTTAAGTTAAAGCACAGCTCATTATCTTTGTCGATGATTCCTGTAGGCAAAAGCTGAACACATTGTGAAACTTGATGAAGCTAAATAACTTAACATTTTATCACTCAAAGCTTTCTGAGATGGATTTTGAAACGATGAAAGCCAGATCAGACAGATATCATTGATTGGATGCCCTGTTCTTGTTCTTGTCAAGAGATGGCATGCTTGATGTGTCGCATTCTTCTCTAATTAGTGTAAGGCTATGGTTTTTTGTAGAATCACTTCTGGGTTTTTTAACTTACATTTTCAAGTTAGCCATGTTAAATATACTTTTACAGATTTCTCTTAGTGTAGAGATCATTTGGTGAACTTTTTGGTCTGTGAGGCTTGCTGAGTCTCCACTTCAACCAGTGAGAAATGTAGTAATTAATGGTCTTACATTATCAGAATCAGTTAGACTCAATGCTATGGGCAAGTGTGATGTATGCCAGAATCTCTTAGTGTAAGATCCTTCATTTTGGTTTGTTAGATATACACTTCCAAGTAAATGTACTGATGGTCTTACATTATCAGTGCTGGCACCTCCACTGGTGAATCCTACAGGCTTTGTTAGATATATACCCTCCATCCCTCCCCACAGTGCCACACCTCCACCCCTACACGCAACTCAACCTATTCCCCTCCCCAGCTCAAGTCGACTGTTGGGTTGGAAGGGTTGCGTGGATTCATTGCATGAGCCCCAACAATAGTCAGTAGTCAGAGAGGCTGGTGTATAGCTACAGTGACACTTGTATTGATTTCCAAGCCAGAGCCTTGAAGGCAGATTCTGTCTCATGGCATACAGGAAAGAGAGGCATTTCAGATGACAGTTAGGGTCAAATTATCTATCAGAATGTACTTGACACTGATCCGTGCATTGCGTGGTAGTAAAGCATTAGGCCCAACCTGAATATAGAAGCATGTATTTTCATTCAAGAGTTCTGCAGACTAGTTTGTTGCCACTATTTGCCAATAGTTTATATATAGTAGAACATATTTATAGAATGTCATTTTTCACATTCACATAGTACTTACCCTGAAAGAGATAAAGCAAGCAATGGTGTTTCAGTTGTTCAACTGCCAGGCTTCATACCATTAACCTCCAAACAATACAAATAGCACTGCCTCCTCTAAATTATGTAACTTGGTGGAAAATGCAAGTTTGTAACATGGTCATAAATAACGGCCACCTCCCTCTGCACAACCAAGTTAGTTCTGTCAACTGCTTTTATTTAAGGATTCTGTACATTTGAAATATTATGATGTAAATCAAGCAAATCAGCTAGCCTGACCCCTCAATCCTACTTATCAGCTTGTATGACAATCAAGCAAGTCAGTAGCCTGATCCCTCAATCCTGCTTATCAGCTTGTATGACAATCAAGGAAATCAGCTAGCCTGACCCCTCACTCCTGCTTATCACCCTGTATGACAATCAAGGAAATCAGCTAGCCTGACCCCTCAGTCCTGCTTATCACCTTGTATGACAATCAAGGAAATCAGCTAGCCTGACCCCTCAATCCTGCTTATCAGCTTGTATGACAATCAAGCAAGCCAGCTAGCCTGACCCCTCAATCCTGCTAATCAGCTTGTATGACAATCAAGCAAGTCAGCTAGCCTGAACCCTCAATCCTGCTCATCAGCTTGTATGACAATCAAGCAAGTCAGCTAGCCTGACCCCTCAATCCTGCTTATCAGCTTGTATGACAATCAAGCAAGTCAGCTAGCCTGACCCCTCAATCCTGCTTATCAGCTTGTATGACAATCAAGCAAGTCAGCTAACCTGACAGCTCAATCCTGCTTATCATCTTGTATGACAATCAAGCAAGTCCACTAGCCTGACCCCTCAATCCTGCTTATCAGCTTGTATGACAATCAAGCAAGTCAGCTAGCCTGACCCCTCAATCCTGCTTATCAGCTTGTATGACAATCAAGCAAGTCAGCTAGCCTGACCCCTCAATCCTGCTTATCACCTTGTATGACAATCAAGCAAGTCAGCTAGCCTGACCCCTCAATCCTGCTTATCAGCTTGTATGACAATCAAGCAAGTCAGCTAGCCTGACCCCTCAATCCTGCTTATCAGCTTGTATGACAATCAAGCAAGTCAGCTAGCCTGACCCCTCAATCCTGCTTATCAGCTTGTATGACAATCAAGCAAGTCAGCTAGCCTGACCCCTCAATCCTGCTTATCAGCTTGTATGACAATCAAGCAAGACAGCTAGCCTGACCCCTCAATCCTGCTTATCAGCTTGTATGACAATCAAGCAAGTCAGCTAGCCTGACTGCTCAATCCTGCTTATCAGCTTGTATGACAATCAAGCAAATCAGCTAGCCTGACCCCTCAATCCTGCTTATCAGCTTGTATGACAATCAAGCAAGTCAGCTAGCCTGACCGCTCAATCCTGCTTATCACCTTGTATGACAATCAAGCAAATCAGCTAGCCTGACCCCTCAATCCTTATCAGCTTGTATGACAATCAAGCAAGTCAGCTAGCCTGACCCCTCAATCCTGGGCCCCGTTCCTCAAAGCGATCGTAGGGCTACGACTGTTGTAAGTCTATGTTAAAGTATGGGAGTTACGATCATCTTAACGCTACGATCGCTTTGAGGAACGGGGCCCAGCTTATCACCTTGTGTGACACACATGCAATGTAGATCACAGCGTTCTGCAGTTTGCTAAAATATAAATCAATGCCCATGCATTTTATCACTGGATTGTCTGGTCCAACCTTGAATATACAGACCAAAGTCTGCTTAGTGTGGCATTAAATACAGCAGAAACAAGTAATCCTACCAGCTGTGGTCAACCACCGTCTCAGAGTTGTCAGCAGTGATACAGTGGTAGGCCATTCCTGGCCCTGAATATAAGTGAGACTGTTTGTAATCACCTGTAGTCTTTTAGTAAGCTGTAAGTTTTGTTTTTCTCTAACCACTCTGTTATGGTTGGTTTACATCACAATGTTGCAACATAATTTTAAGTCATGTCATGCTGATCAATAAACTCTCTTCGGCTTCTTACTTGATGACAATTGACTTTTACTTGGTGCATTGTGGTTAAACAAACCAATAAATACTGCCACTGACAGTGGTGTGGAATCTGTGCTGGGCAAGATCCTACTCAGCCCTGATTGGACTACTTAACTTAATATGATTAACTGTGGAGAAACCTGATCCCACAGGTAATGGAGCCTCTGATCCTCTCCTGGCAGAAATAGAAACTAAGTCATGGGGAAATCACACTAATCTGGTGACAATGAGAGTCTGGCCAGCTCTTGTCTCCTACACGCAGTTGCACATTGCACGCTATTGGTACAACGATTTTGTATTTTACAGGGCTTTTGGATCCCAAACCACTTTCCAGGCACTGATTACTTCATGGAAATACATTTAGTTTAATATCATCAATATATATATATTAAAATATAAAAAATGTCAATTGAGCGTTATGTAAAGAAATGTTATAATATGCTTGTACAAATGGAAAGTAATGGTTGTAAGAGCTGGGTATCTAGGATAAAGCATACATTAAAAGTCTATGGATTTGGATTTGTTTGGCAAGAACAGATCGTTCGAAGGCGAATGCTATTATTAAATGAATTTCTAGGTAGGCTCAAAGTTTCGTATCAACAAGACTGGCATTCTGCACTAATACAAGGCACAAAGACATTGGGATACTCGTTGTTTAAACCTATGTTCGGTGTTGAATCTTATATCTTCACAGTTAGCTATTTTAAACATAGACGTGCTCTTGCTCAGTTTAGTTCAGGGTCTCATAAACTACGAATATACACTGGCAGGTATATTGGGAGAGGCTAGAAATGACAGATTATGTAATATCTGTAAACTGACTTATATAGACGATGAATATCACTTCTTGCTTATTTGTAATAAATATCAAGCATTGCGGCGTCTGTACATCTCTTTATAATTTTATAAATATCCAACAATCTAAAAATTAAATACGCTTCTGCAATCATCAAATGCAAGCATCTTAAAACATTTTTCAGCATATATATCAAGCTATGTTACTGAGACAGTCTTCATTATAACATACTTTCTCACTGTGTAATGTTCAATGTGTTACCTGGGCCTATAGCCTATTTTACTTTTCTGAAATAAACAACCATACAGTTTATTTTCTTCATTTCAGAATGCTGCCAACAGATGCTATGGTGGAAATTGTCAAGTTTTTTGGAGCAGATAAGTTCATGGACACATATACAGGAAGGAAGTGAAATTCCTTCAAAGAGATTTAGATGTCATATGAGGAACTTGCTCAATCACTATAGTCATCATGTGAGAATCTTGCTCAACCAATCACTATAGATATATCCATTAAGACTATGAAGCAGAGGCTCACTAAGGTTGGCATCAAGCATTACAGAATGTCTTCTAAGCCTTAAGTATCACATGACATTTTTACGACGCAGTGGACATCCTTGCAATGAGATTTTGATGGTAAGAAGATTTAGTTGACTCTTTGGTTGCCAATAGGACAAATTATACATTAAACGATCGTTTACTTACTCAAGTCAATATACAAGTACTAGAATCTGTACTTTCTGAGAAAGTGTAATCACAAATATAACATGTGTTACGTTATTGCTCTGATGGTGACATTTAAGGCATGAGGATCACGGGAGCATAATGATATTTATCACAGGGAAGATAATTTCTGTATCCACATGGAATACTTTTATACAATTAAGGTTGTAACAGAAAGCTGTATTCAAACCATTGATGGTGGGTGATATTGTATTCCAAAGTGCTGTCTGGCACTGTTTTGAGAGGAATGTAGACAATATTTGATTACTGGTACCTTAGTATTTTTCATAATTCTAAAACTGTTGTGAGTGACTTAAGAGTTACACTTAAAACATGTAAAACTCACCTTGTGTCTCATCATACAATTGTAATGAGCTCAGATAAGGTTTTACTGTCATCAGTGGAAACTGAGGTTTCTCTTTCAGCCAAAGACATAGTAAGGAGACCTGTGGGTAGCTGTATCACAGCACTAAGATTGTTTTATGTTGAAGTTGACATACTGAGGGTATGAATGCTACAGTTTTTAGCGCCTTGCTCTGATGAGCACCCCCTGTGCAACATCTAAACCACTCAGTATGATAGTTTTACAGAAGTAGCAATGGTGCCAAAACTATTATCAAAAGAGTATAACCTACGTTTGTGTAGTATTGCTTGTCTCTAAGATAATGTTTACTCAGCAGTACTGGCTTGATAAGCCGTGGTAGCCAGTGCAGTGAAGGCAGCGGAGACACTTTCGAGATGTGTGAGAAATTGTGTCTGTACTGTTCAGATGAGGTAAATAATGTGTGTGGCAATGTGTGTGATGTTTGAGTCACTGTACCTGATGTTGGAGTTAATGGGTCGAATTTCAGTTGCAAATTCAAACAAATTTGTTATGTCTTACTGAAACATTTGTAAATCATTGCCAATGACTGAATCTTCATGTATATGTACAGAGTGAAAGGTCATGTATATGTACAGAGTGAAAGGTCAAGTACATTTACCAGGGTTTTACGCTACACACAAATGTGTGTTCAAATGTAGAGATGGACGCAGAAAGCTCCAAATCCTGCTTCCAGAGAGATGCACCAAAATACCAAAATCATACCTACAGCGCATCAAGAGTAGTAATCTGTGTCTGTAATTTGACCCATCAGTCATGAACACTGTCCATATGACTACTGATTCATTCCAGGCTCTGAAGTAATTATCCGAACCTACACTACTCTACACCATTGGATCATACAATTTCAATACAACTTTACAGTGACCCTTATGTACAGGTTACATACAAGCTTTCAGTAAAGAAACTAAACTGGACTCAAATGAAGTTCAGTCATTTTTCTTGTCTACATTGTCAATCGACATCTGTATATGTATGTGTAACAACTGGCCACAAATTACTGTCATGCTCAAAATTCAGAATGTTTTCATGTTCAGTCATTCACCAGCTTCAGTGTACATGTGTATCATTATCTCACAAGAAGCAGTTAATATTCTACCTTGACACACCTAAATGAAAACAGTTCTGAAAAGACTGTCACAGAAAATATTACATTTTTAATCAAAGAGTAATTCATAGTGCTTGTCTGAATAATGTTCATAATGAAATGTATTTCTGTAAATGTGTACTTGTGATTTTTGTAAAGCATTTAGGGAATTGTGCAAAGAGTTGTTTAGACCAACTATATCTTTAGTCGCACAGCTTTTTAACCTGTATATACTCGACAGTTGATGTTTTATAACGTTTACATATTGTTTTCATTGTGATGTTGCTGTGCTCAGGGAGGGATGCCCATGCAGGTTTGAGTGAGTGAGTGGGTTTACAGCTTTTTGGAGCAGTAGTTCTGTCTGTGAGTGTGGAAACTGGACCTCTATAATCATTTCACTCTCTTGCCCGGGGAAGATGCAGTTTTATACAATATACAGTAAGAAAATAAACCACAAGAATTTATATCATATGACTTACTTGAGGCAAATCTAGTTCAAGGATATATTTTACATTTCCTGGTTGTGTTTTTCTTTTAATCAATCCTTTCCTTTGTTAATGGTGCACTTGTATTTGTTTCTTGTTGAACAGATTGAATGTTGTCACACTTTAAATGTAAATGATCATGTATTAGATTTTATCTATAAAATAAGAAAATTACCTTATTTGTCTTCCAGTTTTCATTTTATATCTTATGTGTATTTGAACATATGATAGGGTCTCCTAAGTATCCTCTGCTTCCAGTTGGGGTGACACTGAATCATGGGTCACACATCACCTCCACAAACATCAACTGCATCTGTCCAGAGTCTTCAGTGTCAGTTTGAACCAGTCATGTCATGTCAACTGGTGTTTCAACCACCTGTCATGTAGTTTAATGTTTAACACACATTTTACCTTTTACTGTAAATAATACTGGAGGCTGCAACTTAACAACACAGGTTTGGAATATCATCCCACCTTTTGTCATGAAAAATTATTAAAGGACCATCGAAATTCTCGTGAAAATGAAGTGTGCACACCCTCAAGAGTGTAACGAACACACACGCTCGCACGCACGCACGCACACACGCACGCCCACCCACACACACACACACACACACCTTTTCTCAAAATGCTGTGTCCGCCCCTAAATATTATTCCTGATAAATGACAATGTTGGATACAGTTTCTTCCAAAAAAAATTAACTTCTATTACAGCCCATATTGTAACTGAATCACCTGTGGGAGCCACACTCTAAGAGGAGGCACCTAGAATCACCACGTGTACACTGCATCACTCACACACACACACACAGGCTTCCAGGAAAATGGAAGTTGGACTTCTGTCTAGTCTAAATGTTGCTGTATCACACATACCCGGGAATTGTCAGGCTTGAGTAGCCAAAATCCCACATTTGTAATGGCTACACTTAAGACGCAAGAACGTTACTAGAATACACCTGTATCACGTTTCAGTTACATGGACAGTGCCCGCGGGACTGTCACAATAAAATGTAAGCGATGTGTTTCCCTGTTTCTTCAACATGATGATAACACAAGCTTAAAAGGCGGACGCGCGACATGATTTGAACCCCGAGTGCCATGACCAGGTGTACTTTTAACAACTGGAAATTCCAGTTATGGATATGAATCCGTTGGTATTTTGATCTGTTTCTATATTTTTGTGACGTTTTGTTATCAGCATTTAGAAATTATTTGGTGAAAAACACGTATGTACCATATCTTGTGCGTGTATTGTTGATTTGTTTTATATGATAGAAATACGTCTGTGTGACAATGTTCTCAGTCAAGATTTATAATATATGATATATTTGTGCTTGAAACCAGGTTTAACAAAAGCAGGACGTAAAATCCAACTACATGTATTCATCAGTCCATGTACTGTTGCGAATACCTTCCTACTGATAAAAGTCGGATGAGGAAAAGTTCACCGTACACCACGGATATCAACCAGCAAAAACACAAAGTCGACCTCCAAAGAAGCTTGCCGTCAAGACGGTTGAATTGAAAAGCTGCGTTGCGTTGTGAGTTAACATTAAAGAACGCGATACAATGTTGAATTAGGTTACGGATTGTTTCGATGCTGTCGAGCCTGTTGAAGTGGACACCAAGGACAGAACGCTTTCATAGTGGACTAAGGAGAGGCTGAATAAACCGCGAAGGAGGTTCCTTGTTTTTCAAATCACGATGAGCACGAGTTCATGGTCTGATAAACGTTTTGATGAATGAGTGAGTGAGTTTTAGTTTTACGCCGCTTTTAGCAATATCATGGTTTTTGACCAATGAAATTGATACATTAAGACATAATTATGACAAAGAAAGGTCAGACTCGAACACCTTAAAAATATACCTTAACACTAGCAGAGCGGTGCGAGCTTTAGCTTTACAATGACCGAGGCTGAAGCCAAGTAAACTTAGGGACCGTTTATAACTTATGGCTAGGGATGTGATGATGACTGGCATTTTTGTTCTTTCTTCTTTTTTTTTATTGTTCAGCAATTTTTTAAACATGTACGGGGGTGTCATTGATATTGTACATGCGAGGGGGCACTTAGAACCTGGTGTTGCCTTAATCTTTGTATGAATGTGAGCCAGTACATGAGTGTGATATTGATCGTTAGGACTTACGGTCGTCCGATCCTTCACTTCTAGCAGGGGACCCTAGGGGCCCGATTTCGATGTACCATATGTGGACAATGTGAGAAGCCCATGTCTGGTGTCCACGCCGTGATATTGATGGGATATTGCTAAAGGCGGCGTAAAACTGAATCCTCGCTCACTCACCCTTAACGTTGTGACCGGCGACGGACCAGGCGAGTATCTAGTCATGGCTTACACCTAACACTGGCCACGTGGAACAGCAAAACTAGTAGCTAACTGTAGTAGGGTCAGCTGATATGTGGGCATTTTACAAGAATGTTGAATTATTAAAACCGTTTTCATTACTCATACAAACAAATGGTTCCCCCATTCTCCTCAACCTGCCCCGGACCACGCCTATTCACGTGACAGGAGATACTGCGTGGAAATACCAGGCTGTCGTAACCCCAGGGAACTGAAACTACATGACGCGGAGTTTACGTACGATCTACTTTCATTTCACAGAGTCGTTTAGCGAACAAGGGGAATCCCCAATAAATTGCCTCATCTCACATGACTCGACCAACACACTTCCTTGATGGCAGTCACACTCTTCCGTGGATTTCACGTAATAACGCTCTCCTTTGCTGTCTGTTAAGCAGTTGGAGAAAGTCGTGATGTCAGTGGGAGTGTGCCACAACATGATCTTGTTTTTGTGCCGACCTGTGCTTCAGGTGAACACTCATTAGGGGAATTTACGTCACCTGTTCCAACAGTGTGCGTGTAACACACGGGACTTGGACCCTATCTCCTGCAGTGTGCGTGTAACACACGGGACTTGGACCCTTTCTCCTGTAGTGTGCGTGCAACACACATACTTGGACCCTTTCTCCTGCAGTGTGCGTGTAACTCACGGGACACGGACCCTTTCTCCTGCAGTGTGCGTGTAACACACGGGACTTGGACCCTTTCTCCTGCAGTGTACGTGTAACACATGGGACACGGACCCTTTCTCGTGCAGTGTGCGTGTAACACACATACTTGGACCCTTTCTCCTGTAGTGTACGTGCAACACACATACTTGGACCCTTTCTCCTGCAGTGTGCGTGTAACTCACGGGACTCGGACCCTTTCTCCTGCAGTGTGCGTGTAACACATACAACTCGGACCCTTTCTCCCGCAGTGTACGTGCAACATATACAACTTGGACCCTTTCTCCCGCAGTGTACGTGCAACACACAAACTTGGACCCTTTCTCCCGCAGTGTACGTGCAACATATACAACTTGGACCCTTTCTCCCGCAGTGTACGTGCAACACACACATAGAATCCAACACTGTGACATTTGAGTCGTCTTGGTCCTGTATCAATGGATAATGGCTTCACGTCTGTGATGGGCAACGAGTGCTCAGCGTTAGTGTCTGTTCTGACGGCGGTACTACATGCGATCGGACTGTACAGCCGCCACTGGTGCGTCGTTGTGGGAGCCCACAGACGTTACGGCGGCGGGGAGCAGTGGTTTGAAGGGCTGTGGCGGACGTGCGTGAAGAACACTACTACGGGCAGTTTCGACTGTATGGTCATACGTAACGTGCCAGGTACGTTTGATCTAGCTCATATCACTTAGGAATGTAAAGTTAACAGCCACATACAGAACATAACAGAATGTAGACACACAGAGCACATGGACCTTGCCATACAGAGCACATGGACCTTGCCATACAGAGCGCATGTACCTTGGCATACTTAACATAACATCAATCTAAAATACAGAGTATAACATCAACATCTCAGACAGAACAGAACATAAACCATCACCATGTTCCCTTGGTGCCTCATACCTGATAACCTCCCTGTACAATTATAGTCTTGATAACCATCACCATGTTCCTTTCTTGTCTGATGTCATACGTTTTCATACCTTGTGTGTTGTTTACGTTGTCAATGTGATGTGTGTTGTCTATATTGTCAGTGTGTTGTCTATGTTGTCAGTGTTATTTGTGTTGTTTACGTTGTCAGTGTGATGTGTGTTGTCTATTATGTCAATGTGATGTGTGTTGTCAGTGTGTTGTCTATGTTGTCAGTGTGTTGTCTTTGTTGTCAGTGTGTTGTCTGTTGTCAGTGTGTTGTCTTTGTTGTCAATGTGATGTGTGTTGGCAGTGTGTTGTCTATGTTGTCAGTGTGTTGTCTATGTTGTCAATGTGTTGTCTTTGTTGTCAGTGTGTTGTCTGTTGTCAGTGTGTTGTCTTTGTTGTCAATGTGATGTGTGTTGTCAGTGTGTTGTCTATGTTGTCAGTGTGTTGTCTTTGTTGTCAGTGTGTTGTCTGTTGTCAGTGTGTTGTCTATGTTGTCAGTGTTATTTGTGTTGTTTACGTTGTCAGTGTGATGTGTGTTGTCTATTATGTCAATGTGATGTGTGTTGTCAGTGTGTTGTCTATGTTGTCAGTGTGTTGTCTTTGTTGTCAGTGTGTTGTCTGTTGTCAGTGTGTTGTCTTTGTTGTCAATGTGATGTGTGTTGGCAGTGTGTTGTCTATGTTGTCAGTGTTTTGTCTATGTTGTCAATGTGTTGTCTTTGTTGTCAGTGTGTTGTCTGTTGTCAGTGTGTTGTCTTTGTTGTCAATGTGATGTGTGTTGTCAGTGTGTTGTTTATGTTGTCAGTGTGTTGTCTTTGTTGTCAGTGTGTTGTTTGTTGTCAGTGTGTTGTCGTTGTTGTCGATGTGATGTGTGTTGTCTATGTTGTCAATGTGTTGTCTACGTTGTCAATGTGATGTGTGTTGTCTATGTTGTCAGTGTGATGTATGTGTTGTCAGTGTGTTGTCTATGTTGTCAGTGTGTTGTCTTTGTTGTCAGTGTGTTGTCTATGTTGTCAGTGTGTTGTCAGTGTGATGTGTGTTGTCTACGTTGTCAGTGTGATGTGTGTTGTCTATGTTGTCAATGTGATGTGTGTTGTCTACGTTGTCTATGTGATGTGTGTTGTCTATGTTGTCAGTGTGTTGTCTATGTTGTCAATGTGATGTGTGTTGTCTATGTTGTCAGTGTGTTGTCTCACGTTGTCAATGTGATGTGTGTTGTCTATGTTGTCAGTGTGTTGTCTATGTTGTCAGTGTGTTGTCTATGTTGTCAATGTGATGTGTGTTGTCTATCTTGTCAATGTGATGTGTGTTGTCTATGTGTTGTCAATGTGATGTGTGTTGTCTATGTTGTCAGTGTGTTGTCTATGTTGTCAGTGTTGTCTACGTTGTCAGTGTGTTGTCTATGTTGTCAGTGTGTTGTCTATGTTGTCAATGTGAAGTGTGTTGTCTATGTGTTGTCAATGTGATGTGTGTTGTCTATGTTGTCAGTGTGATGTGTGTTGTCTACGTTGTCAATGTGATGTGTGTTGTCTATGTTGTCAGTGTGTTGTCTATGTTGTCAGTTTTGTCTATGTTGTCAATGTAATGTGTTGTCTATGTTGTCAGTGTGTTGTCAATGTAATGTGCTGTCTACGTTGTCAATGTGATGTGTGTTCTCTATGTTGTCAAGGTGATGTGTGTTGTCTATGTTGTCAGTGTTGTCTATGTTGTCAATGTGATGTGTGTTGTCTATGTTGTCAGTGTGTTGTGTGTTGTCTATGTTGTCAGTGTTGTCTATGTTGTCAATGTGATGTGTGTTGTCTATGTTGTCAATGTGATGTGTGTTGTCTATGTTGTCAATGTGATGTGTGTTGTCTATGTTGTCAATGTGATGTGTGTTGTCTATGTTGTCAATGTGATGTGTGTTGTCTATGTTGTCAATGTGATGTGTTGTCTATGTTGTCAATGTGATGTGTTGTCTATGTTGTCATGTGATGTGTGTTGTCTATGTTGTCAATGTGATGTGTGTTGTCTATGTTGTCAATGTGATGTGTGTTGTCTATGTTGTCAATGTGATGTGTGTTGTCTATGTTGTCAGTGTTGTCTATGTTGTCAATGTGATGTGTGTTGTCTATGTTGTCAATGTAATGGGTTGTCTATGTTGTCAATGTGATGTGTGTTGTCTATGTTGTCAATGTGATGTGTGTTGTTTATGTTGTCAATGTGATGTGTGTTGTCTATGTTGTCAATGTGATGTGTGTTGTCTATGTTGTCAGTGTGTGATGTGTTGTCTATGTGTGTGTGTTGTCTATGTGTCAATGTGATGTTGTCTATGTTGTCAAATGATGATGTTGTCTATTCTGTTGTCAATGTGATGTGTGTTGTCTATGTTGTCAATGTGATGTGTGTTGTCTATGTTGTCAATGTGATGTGTGTTGTCTATGTTGTCAGTGTGATGTGTGTTGTCTATGTTGTCAATGTGATGTGTGTTGTCTATGTTGTCAATGTGATGTGTGTTGTCTATGTTGTCAATGTGATGTGTGTTGTCTATGTTGTCAATGTGATGTGTGTTGTCTATGTTGTCAGTGTTGTCTATGTTGTCAATGTGATGTGTGTTGTCTATGTTGTCAGTGTGTTTTGTGATTGTTATGTTGTCAATGTGATGTGTGTTGTCTATGTTGTCAGTGTGTTGTCTATGTTGTCAATGTGATGTGTGTTGTCTATGTTGTCAATGTAATGTGTGTTGTCTATGTTGTCAATGTGATGTGTGTTGTCTATGTTGTCAATGTGATGTGTGTTGTCTATGTTGTCAATGTGATGTGTGTTGTCTATGTTGTCAAGGTGATGTGTGTTGTCTATGTTGTCAGTGTTGTCTATGTTGTCAATGTGATGTGTGTTGTCTATGTTTTCAGTGTGTTGTGTCTATGTTGTCAGTGTGATGTGTTGTCTATGTCAATGTGATGTGTTGTCTATGTTGTCAATGTGATGTGTGTTGTCTATGTTGTCAATGTGATGTGTGTTGTCTATGTTGTCAATGTGTTGTGTGTGTTGTCTATGTTGTCAATGTGATGTGTGTTGTCTATGTTGTCAATGTGATGTGTGTTGTCTATGTTGTCAGTGTGATGTGTGTTGTCTATGTTGTCAATGTGATGTGTGTTGTCTATGTTGTCAGTGTGATGTGTGTTGTCTACGTTGTCAATGTGATGTGTGTTGTCTATGTTGTCAGTGTGTTGTCTATGTTGTCAATGTGATGTGTGTTGTCTATGTTGTCAGTGTGTTGTCTATGTGATCATTGTGTGTGTCATGTGTTGTCAATGTGATGTGTGTTGTCTATGTTTTCAGTGTGTTGTCTATGTTGTCAATGTGATGTGTGTTGTCTATGTTGTCAGTGTGATTTGTGCTGTCTATGTTGTCAATGTGATGTGTGTTGTCTATGTTGTCAGTGTGTTGTCTATGTTGTCAATGTGATGTGTGTTGTCTATGTGTTGTCAATGTGATGTGTGTTGTCTATGTTGTCAGTGTGATTTGTGCTGTCTGCGTTGTCAATGTGATGTGTGTTGTCTATGTTTTCAGTGTGTTGTCTATGTTGTCAGTGTGATTTGTGTTGTCAGTGTGTTGTCTATGTTGTCAGTGTTGTCAATGTGATGTGTGTTGTTTATGTTGTCAATGTGATGTGTGTTGTCTATGTTGTCAATGTGGTGTGTGTTGTCTATGTTGTCAATGTGATGTGTGTTGTCTATGTTGTCAATGTGATGTGTGTTGTCTATGCTGTCAGTGTGATGTGTGTTGTCTATGTTGTCAATGTGATGTGTGTTGTCTATGTGTTGTCAATGTGATGTGTGTTGTCAATGTGATGTGTGTTGTCTACGTTGTCAATGTGATGTGTGTTGTCTACGTTGTCAATGTGATGTGTTGTCTTTGTTGTCAATGTGATGTGTGTTGTCTATGTTGTCAGTGTGTTGTCTATGTTGTCAATGTAATGTGTTGTCTATGTTGTCAGTGTGTTGTCAATGTAATGTGTTGTCTATGTTGTCAATGTAATGGGTTGTCTATGTTGTCAATGTGATGTGTGTTGTCTATGTTGTCAATGTAATGGGTTGTCTATGTTGTCAATGTGATGTGATGTTGTTTATGTTGTCAATGTGATGTGTGTTGTCTGTGTTGTCAATGTGATGTGTGTTGTTTATGTTGTCAAGGTGATGTGTGTTGTCAGTGTGTTGTCAATGTGATGTTTGTTGTCAGTGTGTTGTCTATGTTGTCAATGTGATGTGTTGTGTACGTTGTCAATGTGATGTGTGTTGTCTATGTTGTCAATGTGATGTGTGTTGTTTATGTTGTCAATGTGATGTGTGTTGTCTATGTTGTCATGTTGTGTTGTCTATGTTGTCAGTGTGTTGTCTATGTTGTCAATGTGTGATGTGTGTTGTCTATGTTGTCAATGTGTGTGTGTGTTGTCTATGTTGTCAATGTGATGTGTGTTGTCTATGTTGTCAATGTGATGTATGTTGTCTATGTAATGTCAGTGTGTTGTCTATGTTGTCAGTGTGTTGTCTATGTTGTCATGTGTGTGTTGTCTATGTTGTCAGTGTGTTGTCTATGTTGTCAGTGTGTTGTCTATGTTGTCAGTGTGATGTGTGTCTGTTATGTTGTCAGTTGTGTGATGTTGTTGTTATGTTGTCATGTTGTGATGTGTGTGTTGTCTATGTTGTCAGTGTGTTGTCTATGTTGTCAGTGTGTTGTGATGTCAATGTGTTGTCTATGTTGTCAAGGTGATGTGTGTTGTCTATGTTGTCAGTGTGTTGTCTACGTTGTTAATGTGATGTGTGTTGTCTACGTTGTCAATGTGATGTGTTATCTACGTTGTCAATGTGATGTGTGTTGTCTATGTTGTCAATGTGATGTGTGATGTGATGTGTGTTGTCTATGTTGTCAATGTAATGTGTTGTCTATGTTGTCAGTGTGTTGTCAATGTAATGTGTTGTCTATGTTGTCAATGTAATGGGTTGTCTATGTTGTCAATGTGATGTGTGTTGTTTATGTTGTCAATGTGATGTGTGTTGTCAATGTGATGTGTGTTGTCTATGTTGTCAGTGTGATGTGTGTTGTCTATGTTGTCAGTGTGTTGTCAATGTGATGTGTGTTGTCTATGTGTTGTCAGTGTGTTGTCTGTGTTGTCAATGTGATGTGTGTTGTCTATGTTGTCAGTGTGACGTTTCCATGTTGCAGCATGGCTGCTGTGTGTGCAGATCCTGGTAAGCCTGAGTTTCGGGGGAGCCTTGCTGTCGGCGCTGATGAAGCTGCTCTATCACTTCAATCCTTTCTGTAACAGCCGGGGAATTGTTGCCGGCGTCATAATGATGTCATTCGTTGATGGTAAGGCAAAACACCCGTTTGTCAGGCAAGCATCCCATTAGTGAGTGAGTGAGACAAATTTATTGTGTCCAGGTTTTCGGTTGTTGTCTAGCTTAAAGCTGTAGCCCCAAGTGATACTTCAGCACTCTCAAGATGAGTGTGTGGTTTATGAGAGTGTAATTGTTCATCATAAAAAAACATGACAGTTGATAATATAACTTGTATATTAAAATAACCTTATATGTAGCTGTCAGCGCCATCACTGCTATACCACAACTCATAGATAGGATTGATCATGCATCCGACACACCAATGGTTGATACCGTTAACCAGATCAGCCACTCGTACTCAACCAAGACCAGACAGATTGGGGCTATTCGTATATCAGAGGGTCTCTGTAGAATTGCCAAGTAAGGACAATAAGATATTCTCCAGTAGCCAGTGTTTGTACAAACCAACAGGGTCAGTGTGTAGCCAGCATATATGGGATCATTGGGCGAAGGCTGAGACAAACATATTGCTGATATATGTTGATTACTAACTGTGATACCTCATGCAGCGTTCATGCTCCTGTTTGCTGTGAGCATTTATGCAACAAACTACGGGGAACGTCACATGCTGTCGTCATCACCACCGCACCTCGTCTGTCAGCTGTCATGGAGCTTTGTCATAGAGACGGTTGCCATGGTGTCTAGTGTGGCCATGGGATCACTAGCCCTGTGCACCAATAGAAGGTAAGTAGCTTCAGTCAAACTCTTCATTACCCAGTGTACCTCCAGAAGGTGTGTAGCTTCAGTCAAACTCTTCATTACCCAGTGTACCTCCAGAAGGTGTGTAGCTTCAGTCAAACTCTTCATTACCCAGTGTACCTCCAGAAGGTGTGTAGCTTCAGTCAAACTCTTCATTACCCAGTGTACATCCAGAAAGTGTGTAGCTTCAGTCAAACTCTTCATGACCCAGTGTACATCCAGAAGGTGTAGCTTCAGTCAAACTCTTCATTACCCAGTGTACCTCCAGAAAGTGTGTAGCTTCAGTCAAACTCTTCATGACCCAGTGTACCTCCAGAAAGTGTGTAGCTTCAGTCAAACTCTTCATTACCCAGTGTACCTCCAGAAAGTGTGTAGCTTCAGTCAAACTCTTCATTACCCATTGTACATCCAGAAGGTGTAGCTTCAGTCAAACTCTTCATTACCCATTGTACATCCAGAAGGTGTAGCTTCAGTCAAACTCTTCATTACCCATTGTACATCCAGAAAGTGTGTAGCTTCAGTCAAACTCTTCATTACCCAGTGTACCTCCAGAAAGTGTGTAGCTTCAGTCAAACTCTTCATTACCCAGTGTACATCCAGAAAGTGTGTAGCTTCAGTCAAACTCTTCATGACCCAGTGTACCTCCAGAAAGTGTGTAGCTTCAGTCAAACTCTTCATGACCCAGTGTACCTCCAGAAAGTGTGTAGCTTCAGTCAAACTCTTCATTACCCATTGTACATCCAGAAGGTGTAGCTTCAGTCAAACTCTTCATTACCCATTGTACATCCAGAAAGTGTGTAGCTTCAGTCAAACTCTTCATTACCCAGTGTACCTCCAGAAAGTGTGTAGCTTCAGTCAAACTCTTCATTACCCAGTGTACATCCAGAAAGTGTGTAGCTTCAGTCAAACTCTTCATGACCCAGTGTACCTCCAGAAAGTGTGTAGCTTCAGTCAAACTCTTCATTACCCAGTGTATCTCCAGAACATAACCTGTTGGTAACCAACACTTGTTTTCTATTGCTGCGTAGCCTGTCAAGGTAATTGGTAAGATTCCCTTTCCTCTGTCAGCTTTCCAGTGTGTTGTAAAGACTCTGTGACCACCACATGGTGCCTCCAGCACATTCTGAACAGCTGTGTCTCTTCTTCCAGGGAATACACAGAAATCTGACACCAGACCCAGCCGTAGCTGAAGAGAACATTACACAACACAATGGATGGTTGCATCAAGTACCTGGCTGTTAGAACATGTAGATTATGTTAATCCTTAATAAACGCTTGATGTAAACAGAGTTCATAGTATGACACTGCAATGTTCCTCTCATACCTTTATGATACGACTGACGGATACTGACTGGCCACAGGTCAGATACTTGTCAGCTCTCTCATGTCAGTCAGGAATACTCAACCAATAACACTGAGGCCCGAAAACAATCAAACCTGGCCCACTCATCAGCACAAAGTGATTTTAGTGCTACGACTATCTTAGCCTATGTTGGAGCATGGGAGTTACAATCATTGTAGCACTAAGATTGCTTTGTGCAAGTGTGCAGCCTAGGGTCTCAGAGCTTCAAGGTGAGAATAGGTACCCAGCAAGACATGGACAAACATGTGACCCACAGTGGTTCTTCCAGCTGACAATAGGTACCATGCAGCATGTGTCTGTAGCTCTCAATATTGACAACTGGATTTGTCTGGACAAGACTGAATTGCAGAAAAATGAACACACAACACCCATTTCAGCTTTGTCAATAAATTTTTATTTTGACAAATAGCTGAAGGTTTTGTGAAGAAGTGTGTTTTACTATTGCAGAATACTGACAAAATAGTTAGCAAATGGATAACAACAGCAAAACACACTAAGCATATACTCCTTACCAATGGAAGAATTAGTTCACCCTCAAAATAACAAGTACCACAAGTACTGGCGAATATAGGTGCCAGCAACACCCAGCACACAACATAACATTCAAAAGGAGGTGGATTTTACCAAACCAAGGAACAATGTACAGACCCAGACATGTTTGATCTGCTTCCTAACATCGATGCCATTGGCAATACAGAGTCTATGCTTGCTCCTGTCTGGTAAAGTTATCAAATTCTGACAAGTGAGCATCATCCAAAATATGACAAAAAGTAAAATAACTGCAAATTTTGCTTGACGCTTCATTTCTGGCCTACATCCATTGGTAAGAAAATTCAGCTGGTGAATGCCCAGTCAGTACAAGACTGGGTATTACCATAAAACAAGGACAGAAAATAATAAATGCCATTATATATCGACTCAAAACAACTAGATCTCATGTAAAAAAGTATAACTCAAAACTCATAAAAGAAAACTTTCTTCAGACAATTTGTTTAATTTGATCATATGAATTTAGCTGATGATGACAATTTTTGTTCTGTTAACTCTGTCTTCAACATCAGATCCATGGAGTGATATCGGAGACACATTTTGAAAATGTTTTGATTTATGGGGATTACCTTCATATAAGTCAAAACAAGCCAACAATTTGTCTGAATCAAGCAGCAAAGAGCGGTTTAGATCTAGGAGTCGATATAGAAATACAGCATGAACAATCTTAATCCGAATTTCTGGCCCTTTGAAGATAACCAGGAACCAGTGAAGAACCACGACAACATTAAGTTATGTTCACACACGATGATGGAAGTGACATGGTCATCTGTCAAAGGGCAATGTAGAACAATTGGGGCACAATACCTAATCAACAACACTTGGCTGTCAAACCCTTGATAAACAAGTCCTGCAGTATCCCTCCAAATTAACCCTCTACACATGAAAAGCACCAAATTCTGCATTTGCCCATAGCTCCCTGGCATAACCTCAACATGTGTAAGAATCAGTTCTGCTTTCTTGCTTTGCACTTTCGTTCTTTTTGAAACACATGAAATAAAGTAAGCACTCTCACATTAGAATGTTGAATCAAAGACTAGTACAGTGAACATAGGATGATTAGACAAGCAGTGTGCAGCCATGCTGGATACAAAGGGAAGACAACAACTGGGAAAACTGGGGCCAGACAGCATCACCAAACAATATTAGTGCAACATTCATAGTTTGTAAAACTTTTAAAAATCACTGTGCCTACATAAAACCACTGGAAGTAGCAATATTATAAGCGCTGAATTTATCAAGGAAATTGAATTTATTCAAGAGTTAACCCCTTTCCTTGCCCCTTTAATCAGTTGTCTCCCCTTTGACCATACCTCCAGGGCAAAATGTCTACTTAGGTTACAGTAGCACAGGTCTCTGCAGATTACCATGTAGGTGATCCAGCCCCCACACTTAGAGATGAACCGGGTTAGAGAGATCAGGCTACAGATGCTTATCTAGAAAAGTACAAAGATAGAAACAACAGCGGGCTGGCAGCATACAACCTTGTCTTGCACAATTTCTTATTATGCACAATTATTTAGAGAATATTTGCTTTTGCACCTGGCTAAATAATGTTTTTGATAGGGATCTTTCCTTAACCCAAATACACAGAGACTGTCCCTGCTACAGATTGTCCTCCACAGGAACACAAGACAAGGCTGCCGCCAGGCTCTATTCCTTCTGCATCAGCTGGCTCGTTGCCCCGCCTAGTGTCGGCAGGGGGATGCTGGTGTTGATCTCAGACTTTATCTGCAACCTGCAACATTAATGCCAAATAAACTTTTCATAGAATCACGTGTGACTCGGCTTCCCTACACAAGGTGATCTCTTCCCATACGACTTGCTCTCTGTCTATGTGTGACTTACTATGGGCTGGGAAGACAAATAAGACAAGTAAACGAAAAATTCCCCAACAGTAACGCGCAAACAGAACACTAATATTGATTGGTTAAATGGAAGAATTCCCCACAGTAATGGGTAAACAGAACACTAATATTGATTGGTTAAATGGAAGAATTCCCCACAGTAATGGGTAAACAGAACACTATATTGATTGGTCAAATGGAAGAATTCCCCACTAAATATTTGTTTGATATGATGAAAACAACTGCTATTATCAAGAATTTAGCTTTAGCTTTAGCTGACATAGGTAGGGACCCTAGGTAGGGTCAGAGGTCAGATGACCAAGTAGTGAATTTAGACATGCCCCTTTCGAAAACTCACCCATCTCCAATGTGTTTCTTATCTTCAATGTAGTAGCCCATATCCGACAACATTTTGAGAGCAGCGAGCGAGGCGTTGTCCCGGGAGGTTTCAGGGGTGGTTCCAGAGCCGTGATGGACCTGAGGGGGGTTGGTAGACAGCGAAAGTCGGCTTAGATGCTCCTTGCTGTTGTTCTGTTACAAACAACATAATAAGAGTGTCCCATAAACAACGTCAACATCACACTGCTACAATATGTCCCAGCTGAGCTTGTACAGCAGTATCAGAACCATTCTGACAATGCTGACATTTACCTTACAATTATAATGTACAAAGTTAGAAGCATAACTTGTGTGTAATTAAAATTACAACAAGCATTGTCACTAAGGTGACATAATCCCCGCCGCAAATTATCAAATCTTTCTTATAAAGTAATGAAAGTTTAAGATGAAGTTAAATGTCAACAAAAACATGACCAGTCAACCTCTCTTGATATCTTGCTCTTTAGCTGTTCAAACACACACATATTTTCAAGACTGACTTTGACCTTGACATGGATGTCATAGTGTATGAAATATGCCAAAATAGTACTAAAGAAATTGCTGATGGAAAACATTCAAGGGAAGTCATGAAAGTCTATGAAGAAAATCCAGTGAACCGTTCTTGAAATTTCAGGCTGACAATTCAGGTTAACATGCTGAAATCTTTAAAGTGTCGTCGTGACCCTGAAAATTAAGTGAAGGTCACCAAAATTGACTGGGCCCTGGGCCTTCCTTAGATGAAGCTTGGTGTCGAATATGAAGAAAATCCAGTGAATATTTTTTGCGATATCTTGCTGACTATCCTAACATGCAATTTAACATGCTGACATCTTTAAAGTGTCGTCATGACCTTGAAAATTAAGTGAAGGTCACCAAAATCGACCGGGCCCTGCGCCTTCCCTGGATAAAGCTTGGTGTCAAATATGAAGAAACTCCATTGAATGGTTCTCCAGGCATCTTGCCTTCAAAGTGTCTCTGTGACCTTGAAAATTAAGTGAAGGTCACCAAAATCGACTGGGCCCTGCGCCTTCCCTGGATAAAGCTTGGTGTCAAATATGAAGAAACTCCATTGAATGGTTCTCCAGGCATCTCGCCTTCAAAGTGTCTCTATGACCTTGAAAATTAAGTGAAGGTCACCAAAACTGACTGGGCCCTGCACATTCCCTAGATAATGCTTGGTGTCAAATATGAAGAAAATTCAGGGAACGGTTCTTAAGGTATTGAATATGAAGAAAATCAAGTGAATGGTTCTTGAGATAGCTTAACATGAAGGTAAAACATTAAAGTCCCCTTGTGACCTTGAAATCAAGGTCAAGGTCACCAAACCTGACCTGACTGACCTTTCTTATACTGTGATGAACCTAGGTACCAAATATGAAAAGAATCCAGTGAAGGGTGCTTAAGATATTCCAATTCGTACGTACGTACGAAGCCTAATACTATATCCCCAGCTTCGCACTAAACACGAGGCAGGGGATAAATACAGTCAAACACTGCTATGTCAAGGTCAGTGGGACCAACATAGTCTTTAGATATCCAAGGTTCCACACAACCACAAACTGACGAAATAAGGAGCTTGGATCAAGTTATTACTTCAAGACAACAGGTTTGACACAGCAATATTTGACTGTACATACACTCAACACATACACAAACCTTACACACCCAGTAGAACTACTTCATTGTTCCTTGTCACAACTTTTCAATAACACAAACAATCACACTTTTGTTCTTATTTTGCTAATACATACAAACAAATACATAAAGGTAAATCAAAACAGTAGGCCAAGCTATTAATCAACAGAGTGCAAATGAATCTGTGTTACTGGTGGTTGTAAGGTCTACACCGATCTAACCAGTGATTGTCAGGTCTACACTGAACTAACCAGTGATTGTCAGGTCTACACTGATCTAGTCAGTGATGGTCAGGTCTTGATCTAAACAGTGATGGTCAGGTCTACACTGATCTAGTCAGTGATTGTCAGGTCTACACTGATCTAGTCAGTGATTGTCAGGTCTACACTGATCTAGTCAGTGATTGTCAGGTCTACACTGATCTAGTCAGTGATTGTCAGGTCTACATTGATCTAGTCAGTGATTGTCAGGTCTACACTGATCTAGTCAGTGATTGTCAGGTCTACACTGATCTAACAGTGATTGTCAGGTCTACACTGATCTAAGCAGTGATTGTCAGGTCTACACTGATCTAACAGTGATTGTCAGGTCTACACTACAGTGACTGATACACTGAGTCAGTGATTGTCAGGTCTACACTGATCTAGTCAGTGATTGTCAGGTCTACATTGATGTAGTCAGTGATTGTCAGGTCTACATTGATCTAGTAAGTGAATGTCAGGTCTACACTGATCTAACCAGTGATTGTCAGGTCTACACTGATCTAACCAGTGATTGTCAGGTCTACATTGATCTAGTAAGTGAATGTCAGGTCTACACTGATCTAGTCAGTGATTGTCAGGTCTACATTGATCTAACCAGTGATTGTCAGGTCTACGCTGATCTAACAGTGATTGTCAGGTCTACGCAGATCTAGTCAGTGATTGTCAGGTCTACATTGATCTAACCAGTGATTGTCAGGTCTACACTGATCTAACCAGTGATTGTCAGGTCTACATTGATCTAACCAGTGATTGTCAGGTCTACATTGATCTAACCAGTGAATGTCAGGTCTACATTGATCTAACCAGTGAATGTCAGGTCTACACTGGTTAGATCAATGTAGACCTGACATTCACTGGTTAGATCAGTGTAGACCTGACAATCACTGGTTAGATCAGTGTAGACCTGACAATCACTTACTAGATCAGTGTAGACCTGACAATCACTGGTTAGGTCGATGTAGACCTGACAATCACTGACTAGATCAGTGTAGACCTGACAATCACTGACTAGATCAGTGTAGACCTGACAATCACTAGTTAGATCAGTGTAGACCTGACAATTACTGACTAGATCTACGTAGACCTGACCATCACTGTTACATCAATGTAGACCTGACATTCACTGGTTAGATCAGTGTAGACCTGACAATCACTGACTAGATCAGTGTAGACCTGACAATAACTGGTTAGATCAGTGTAGACCTGACAATCACTGACTAGATGAGTGTAGACCTGACAATCACTAGTTAGATCAGTGTAGACCTGACTATCACTGACTAGATCAGTGTAGACCTGACAATCACTGGTTAGATCAGTGTAGACCTGACAATCACTTACTAGATCAATGTAGACCTGACAATCACTGGTTAGATCAGTGTAGACCTGACAATCACTGACTAGATCAGTGTAGACCTGACAATCACTGGTTACATCAGTGTAGACCTGACAATCACTGTTAGATCAATGTAAACCTGACAATCACTGTTAGATCAGTGTAGACCTGACAATCACTGACTAGATCAGTGTAGACCTGACAATCACTGACTAGGTCAATGTAGACCTGACAATCACTGGTTAGATCAATGTAGACCTGACAATCACTGTTAGATCAGTGTAGACCTGACAATCACTGACTAGATCAGTGTAGACCTGACAATCACTGGTTAGATCAGTGTAGACTTGACAATCACTGACTAGATCAGTGTAGACCTGACAATCACTGACTAGATCAGTGTAGACCTGACAATCACTGACTAGATCAGTGTAGACCTGACAATCACTGACTAGATCAGTGTATACCTGACAATCACTGACTAGATCAGTGTAGACCTGACAATCACTGGTTAGATCAGTGTAGACCTGACAATCACTGACTTGATCAGTGTAGACCTGACAATCACTGTTAGATCAGTGTAGACCTGACAATCACTGGTTAGATCAGTGTAGACCTGACAATCACTGTTTAGATCAGTGTAGACCTGACAATCACTGTTAGATCAGTGTAGACCTGACAATCACTGGTTAGATCAATGTAGACCTGACATTCACTGGTTAGATCAGTGTAGACCTGACAATCACTGGTTAGATCAATGTAGACCTGACAATCACTGGTTAGATCAGTGTAGACCTGACAATTACTGTTAGATCAGTGTAGACCTGACATTCACTGGTTAGATCAATGTAGACCTGACATTCACTGGTTAGATCAATGTAGACCTGACAATCACTGGTTAGATCAATGTAGACCTGACAATCACTGGTTAGATCAGTGTAGACCTGACAATCACTGGTTAGATCAATGTAGACCTGACAATCACTGACTAGATCTGCGTAGACCTGACAATCACTGTTAGATCAGCGTAGACCTGACAATCACTGGTTAGATCAGTGTAGACCTGACAATCACTGACTAGATCAGTGTAGACCTGACATTCACTTACTAGATCAATGTAGACCTGACAATCACTGGTTAGATCAGTAGAATCGACAATCACTGGTTAGATCAGTGTAGATACTGACATTCACTTACTAGATCAATGTAGACCTGACAATCACTGACTACATCAATGTAGACCTGACAATCACTGACTAGATCAGTGTAGACCTGACAATCACTGACTTGATCAGTGTAGACCTGACAATCACTGTTAGATCAGTGTAGACCCCGACAATCACTGCTTAGATCAGTGTAGACCTGACAATCACTGTTAGATCAGTGTAGACCTGACAATCACTGACTAGGTCAGTGTAGACCTGATAATCACTGACTAGATCAATGTAGACCTGACAATCACTGTTAGATCAGTGTATACCTGACAATCACTGACTAGATCAGTGTAGACCTGACAATCACTGACTAGATCAGTGTAGACCTGACAATCACTGGTTAGATCAGTGTAGACCTGACAATCACTGGTTAGATCAATGTAGACCTGACATTCACTGACTAGATCAATGTAGACCTGACAATCACTGATTAGATCAGTGTAGACCTGACATTCACTGACTAGATCAATGTAGACCTGACAATCACTGATTAGATCAGTGTTGACCTGACAATCACTGGTTAGATCAATGTAGACCTGACAATCACTGGTTAGATCAATGTAGACCTGACAATCACTGGTTAGATCAGTGTAGACCTGACAATCACTCTTAGATCAGTGTAGACCTGACATTCACTGACTAGATCATCGTAGACCTCCGACATTCACTGGTTAGATCAATGTGACCCGACAATCACTGGTTCGATTCCGACAATCATCGTTTAGATTAGACCTGACATCATCGTTAGTCAGTAGATTCGACAATCACTGACTAGATGAGTGTAGACCTGACAATCACAGTTAGATCAGTGCAGACTCGACCATCGATCAGTGCAGACCCGACAATCGCTGGTTAGATCGGTGTAGACCTGACAATCACACTTTTAGATCAGTAGACTCCTGACAATCACTGTCTAGAGATCTAACCAGTGATTGTCAGGTCTACATTGATCTAACCAGTGATTGTCAGGTCTACACTGATCTAACCAGTGATTGTCCAGGTCTACATTGATCTAACCAGTGAATGTCAGGTCTACACTGATCTAACAGTGATTGTCAGGTCTACACTGATCTAACCAGTGATTGTCAGGTCTACATTGATCTAACCAGTGATTGTCAGGTCTACACTGATCTAACCAGTGAATGTCAGGTCTACATTGATCTAACCAGTGATTGTCAGGTCTACACTGATCTAACCAGTGATTGTCAGGTCTACATTGATCTAAACAGTGATTGTCAGGTCTACACTGATCTAACCAGTGATTGTCAGGTCTACACTGATCTAACAGTGATTGTCAGGTCTACACTGATCTAACCAGTGATTGTCAGGTCTACACTGATCTAACAGTGATTGTCAGGTCTACACTGATCAAGTCAGTGATTGTCAGGTCTACACTGATCTAACCAGTGATTGTCAGGTCTACACTGATCTAGTCAGTGATTGTCAGGTCTACACTGATCTAGTCAGTGATTGTCAGGTCTACACTGATCTAGTCAGTGATTGTCAAGTCTACACTGATCTAGTCAGTGATTGTCAGGTCTACACTGATCTAGTCAGTGATTGTCAAGTCTACACTGATCTAACCAGTGATTGTCAGGTCTACACTGATCTAGTCAGTGTTTGTCAGGTCTACACTGATCTAACAGTGATTGTCAGGTCTACATTGATCTAACCAGTGATTGTCAGGTCTCACTGATCTACAGTGACCTCAGTCAGTGATTGTCTAGTCAGTGATCTAGTCAGTGATTGTCTACACTGATCTAACAGTGATTGTCAGGTCTACATTGATCTAACAGTGATTGTCAGGTCTACACTGATCTAACCAGTGATTGTCAGGTCTACACTGATCTAGTCAGTGATTGTCAGGTCTACACTGATCTAACCAGTGATTGTCAGGTCTACACTGATCTAGTAAGTGATTGTCAGGTATACACTGATCTAACCAGTGATTGTCAGGTCTACATTGATCTAGTCAGTGAATGTCAGGTCTACAATGATCTAACCAGTGATTGTCAGGTCTACACTGATCTAGTCAGTGAATGTCAGGTCTACATTGATCTAGTCAGTGAATGTCAGGTCTACATTGATCTAGTCAGTGATTGTCAGGTCTACACTGATCTAGTCAGTGATTGTCAGGTCTACACTGATCTAGTCAGTGAATGTCAGGTGTACACTGTTCAGTGATAGTATGTCGTTATATTCCAGGTGAGTGTTAGTGACAATAGAATCCCTGGTCTAGACATGCAGTTACATAGCTGGAGAGCACACACACAACAACGCACCTTATCAATTGTGAGATACTACATGCTCTATGGCTGAAATAATGCCAGGGTGACACTAAACTCAGTGCAAGATTAAAGAAAAGGAAATGACTGACGGAGTTCCAAAATTTAGCCAATAGTTTGAACCAAATATTATGAATATTATTAAAATTCTTTTGCGATGATTTGAAATAATTCATTTGGTACTATTGTTTTTAATCAAATGAATGAAAGGCACTTGTTGCTGCACTGTGTATTACTGTGTGATGTATGCAGAGTGTCTGCCCCCCTGCCACAGCCTAGCAGTTGGTTAGTGGCTAAATATGGGTCTGTTAGTCATCAAGGTGACTTAAAATTGAGTACCAGAGGTACCTGGCCTGAAAAATCGTCAAACTGCACTTGAAAGTTGTTGCGAGTGGCCAGCTCACGAAGCTGCTGCTCGGGGCGTATCGGGACCCAGCTGGCTGCCCATACCTGCAAACACAGAAATCAACATGAGCAAGGTTTCAAGGTATCAGATTTCTATATAAGTATATATTTGCAAAATAATTGTCATTTCAAAAATATATATTTAATTGTTGTTGGAGACTGGAATTTGGTCTTAAAGTCATCTGTTGATTTGGAAACCAAGATCAGGGTTCAAAACCACACACAGGAGCGGTGGGGAAGGTAATTCATAAATTATGTAAAATACACTTTCAGAATATCCTTAAACAGAGGTCTAATGTTGAAAAAATAAATAAATAAATACATCATAGATAAAAATCAGCTTACTGGATTCTTTCCTACACAAAGGTACAGAATGATTGAATAAATCAGTACAAGCAAATGAACTGAATGATTAACAACATTTTAGAGCAAGTCGTTTGGAGAATAAAATGAAAACCAGCTTTAAACAGGAATCAACTGAAAGTGTCATCAGTGTTTGGACCACAGCAAGGAATGATAGTAAGATCTTTTGTTATGTGAAATCCTGAAACATCATGCAATTGCAACCTAAAACATGCAACGATAATACATCAGTCAAGGAAATTAAATATAAAACACTAAATAAAAACAAAAAGCCTTCTGGTCTAGTCATATCCTGAGAACATAGGTAAGGGGGTAACTCGTGTCTAGTTAATGTCATAAGGTCATAGGCCTGAGGGAGTAACTATGATCTAGTCAATGTGAGAAGACTGCAGTTATGGGAGGTAACTCTGGTCTGGTCATGTCAACATGACGAGATCATAGGTAAGGGAGGTAACTTTGGTCTGGTTATGTCAATGTCAGAAGATCGTAACTAATGGAGGTAACATTGGTCTTGTCTTGTCCATTTGAGAAGATCGTAGGTAAGGGAGGTAACTCAAGTCTGGTCATGTCTATGTCAGAAGGGTGTAGGTAAGGGAGGTAACTCTGGTCCAGTAACATCAAGAAGAGAGAAGGAACTAACTTTGCCCCATGCCAGCTTGAGGAATAAGCAACAGCCCCGGGAACCAGCTGCCGACCTGTCTTCGTGATGCCTCCCAGAGAAGCTGAAACAGAGGATGTCATCAGACCTACTATAGTCCGTTTGGGTTCAAATGAGAATGATGAATGATTAAACAAGTCATCAGAAGATGACTAATCCCCCCGGCCCCAACAAATATTTCCTTGATCGATCTTAAAACATCAGATTTCAGATCCTGTTGGGTACAGAGGTTTCAGGGCCATGCGTCTTATTTATGCTTTGTGCACTTATCCCTATTTCAAGTTTTTTAATCATTCATCGTTCTCATTTGAAACCCAACGGACTGTAAAAGAAAAGCATCTATTATGTAAATCCTTCCTCAAATAGATTATTTTGGGCAGTTGTTATCAAGATTACCCCAAGAATACATAAGCAGAAAGCAAATAAACAAACTTGAAATGTTTCAGCCTTCATGATTGTAACAAGAAAATAATGATGGACGATGGCAAGGAAAGCAAGTCAGTCAACACAACGCATGCCACACACAAACATTCTTAGTTAGTTCTCCCAAATAGGAGCACAAGGCTAGTATTGTATTTTAGAGGTCAAGGTTGAAAGAAAAAAACTGAAAAAAATTTCACCCAATGTGGGAGTCTATTATGCAGACTCACTGCCCATAATAATCAGTACCGAACCCTGTACTGGGAGCCTGAGTGTTTAGATCACTGCTTGCTAGTCTATACCACAGTTTCTGCCCATAATAACATCAAGGTGGAACCAGTTTCTATATCTGTGCAACACCCTTACCTCCATTATCTGTGCTGTTGTCACTAAATGTAACTTTCTTATCGCCAGTCCCGACCTTTGAACAAAAAGACATTTGGGTTACTGCTAGGTCTTCTCTTGACTCAAGCAAACTCTACAGAGATGAAAACAACTTAAATTATCAGCGTGAATGCTGCAGGCAACTATTTCAATTATTGACATGAACAATCATCCATGGCAACTGAATCGTACACAGTAGTGGGTATCAAATGATCAGGCTATGAATGATTGTGCGACTTTCTTTCCTGACAGTATGGACATGTAATCAAGTGTCATTGTGATCTGACAGTATGGACATGTAATCAAGTGTCATTGTGATCTGACAGTATGGACATGTAATCAAGTGACATTGTGATCTGACAGTATGGACATGTAATCAAGTTTCATTGTGATCTGACAGTATGGACATGTTATCAAGTGTCATTGTGATCTGACAGTATGGACAGTATGGACATTGTAATCAAGTGTCATTGTGATCTGACAGTATGGACATGTAATCAAGTGACATTGTGATCTGACAGTATGGACATGTTATCAAGTGTCATTGTGATCTGACAGTATGGACATGTAATCAAGTGTCATTGTGATCTGACAGTATGGACATGTAATCAAGTGACATTGTGATCTGACAGTATGGACATGTAATCAAGTGTTATTGTGATCTGACAGTATGGACATGTAATCAAGTGTTATTGTGATCTGACAGTATGGACATGTAATCAAGTGACATTGTGATCTGACAGTATGGACATGTAATCAAGTGTCATTGTGATCTGACAGTATGGACATGTAATCAAGTGTCATTGTGATCTGACAGTATGGACATGTAATCAAGTGTCATTGTGATCTGACAGTATGGACATGTAATCAAGTGTCATTGTGATCTGACAGTATGGACATGTAATCAAGTGTCATTGTGATCTGACAGTATGGACATGTTATCAAGTGTCATTGTGATCTGACAGTATGGACATGTAATCAAGTGTCATTGTGATCTGACAGTATGGACATGTAATCAAGTGACATTGTGATCTGACAGTATGGACATATTATCAAGTGTCATTGTGATCTGACAGTATGGACATGTAATCAAGTGTCATTGTGATCTGACAGTATGGACATGTAATCAAGTTTCATTGTGATCTGACAGTATGGACATGTAATCAAGTTTCATTGTGATCTGACAGTATGGACATGTAATCAAGTGTTATTGTGATCTGACAGTATGGACATATTATCAAGTGTTATTGTGATCTGACAGTATGGACATGTAATCAAGTGTCATTGTGATCTGACAGTATGGATATGTAATCAAGTTTCATTGTGATCTGACAGTATGGACATGTAATCAAGTTTCATTGTGATCTGACAGTATGGACATGTAATCAAGTTTCATTGTGATCTGACAGTATGGACATGTAATCAAGTTTCATTGTGATCTGACAGTATGGACATGTAATCAAGTTTCATTGTGATCTGACAGTATGGACATGTAATCAAGTGTCATTGTGATCTGACAGTATGGACATGTAATCAAGTTTCATTGTGATCTGACAGTATGGACATGTAATCAAGTGACATTGTGATCTGACAGTATGGACATGTAATCAAGTGTCATTGTGATCTGACAGTATGGACATGTTATCAAGTGTCATTGTGATCTGACAGTATGGACATGTAATCAAGTGTTATTGTGATCTGACAGTATGGACATATTATCAAGTGTTATTGTGATCTGACAGTATGGACATGTAATCAAGTGTTATTGTGATCTGACAGTATGGACATGTAATCAAGTGACATTGTGATCTGACAGTATGGACTTATTATCAAGTGTCATTGTGATCTGACAGTATGGACATGTAATCAAGTGTCATTGTGATCTGACAGTATGGACATGTAATCAAGTTTCATTGTGATCTGACAGTATGGACATGTAATCAAGTTTCATTGTGATCTGACAGTATGGACATGTAATCAAGTTTCATTGTGATCTGACAGTATGGACATGTAATCAAGTTTCATTGTGATCTGACAGTATGGACATGTAATCAAGTTTCATTGTGATCTGACAGTATGGACATGTAATCAAGTTTCATTGTGATCTGACAGTATGGACATGTAATCAAGTTTCATTGTGATCTGACAGTATGGACATGTAATCAAGTGACATTGTGATCTGACAGTATGGACATGTAATCAAGTGACATTGTGATCTGACAGTATGGACATGTAATCAAGTGACATTGTGATCTGACAGTATGGACATGTAATCAAGTTTCATTGTGATCTGACAGTATGGACATGTAATCAAGTGACATTGTGATCTGACAGTATGGACATGTAATCAAGTGTCATTGTGATCTGACAGTATGGACATGTAATCAAGTGTTATTGTGATCTGACAGTATGGACATGTAATCAAGTGTTATTGTGATCTGACAGTATTGACATGTAATCAAGTTTCATTGTGATCTGACAGTATGGACATGTAATCAAGTGTTATTGTGATCTGACAGTATGGACATGTAATCAAGTTTCATTGTGATCTGACAGTATGGACATGTAATCAAGTGTCATTGTGATCTGACAGTATGGACATATGTAATCAAGTTTCATTGTGATCTGACAGTATGGACATGTAATCAAGTTTCATTGTGATCTGACAGTATGGACATGTAATCAAGTTTCATTGTGATCTGACAGTATGGACATGTAATCAAGTTTCATTGTGATCTGACAGTATGGACATGTAATCAAGTTTCATTGTGATCTGACAGTATGGACATGTAATCAAGTTTCATTGTGATCTGACAGTATGGACATGTAATCAAGTTTCATTGTGATCTGACAGTATGGACATGTAATCAAGTGACATTGTGATCTGACAGTATGGACATGTAATCAAGTTTCATTGTGATCTGACAGTATGGACATGTAATCAAGTGTCATTGTGATCTGACAGTATGGACATGTAATCAAGTTTCATTGTGATCTGACAGTATGGACATGTAATCAAGTGACATTGTGATCTGACAGTATGGACATGTAATCAAGTTTCATTGTGATCTGACAGTATGGACATGTAATCAAGTGTTATTGTGATCTGACAGTATGGACATGTAATCAAGTGTCATTGTGATCTGACAGTATGGACATGTAATCAAGTTTCATTGTGATCTGACAGTATGGACATGTAATCAAGTGACATTGTGATCTGACAGTATGGACATGTAATCAAGTTTCATTGTGATCTGACAGTATGGACATGTAATCAAGTGTCATTGTGATCTGACAGTATGGACATGTAATCAAGTGTCATTGTGATCTGACAGTATGGACATGTAATCAAGTGACATTGTGATCTGACAGTATGGACATGTAATCAAGTTTCATTGTGATCTGACAGTATGGACATGTAATCAAGTGACATTGTGATCTGACAGTATGGACATGTAATCAAGTGTCATTGTGATCTGACAGTATGGACATGTAATCAAGTGTCATTGTGATCTGACAGTATGGACATGTAATCAAGTGTCATTGTGATCTGACAGTATGGACATGTAATCAAGTGACATTGTGATCTGACAGTATGGACATGTAATCAAGTGTTCATTGTGATCTGACAGTATGGACATGTAATCAAGTGTCATTGTGATCTGACAGTATGGACATGTAATCAAGTGACATTGTGATCTGACAGTATGGACATGTAATCAAGTTTCATTGTGATCTGACAGTATGGACATGTAATCAAGTTTCATTGTGATCTGACAGTATGGACATGTAATCAAGTGTCATTGTGATCTGACAGTATGGACATGTAATCAAGTGTCATTGTGATCTGACAGTATGGACATGTAATCAAGTGACATTGTGATCTGACAGTATGGACATGTAATCAAGTGACATTGTGATCTGACAGTATGGACATGTAATCAAGTGTCATTGTGATCTGACAGTATGGACATGTAATCAAGTGACATTGTGATCTGACAGTATGGACATGTAATCAAGTGTCATTGTGATCTGACAGTATGGACATGTAATCAAGTTTCATTGTGATCTGACAGTATGGACATGTAATCAAGTTTCAATGTGATCTGACAGTATGGACATGTAATCAAGTGTTATTGTGATCTGACAGTATGGACATGTAATCAAGTGTCATTGTGATCTGACAGTATGGACATGTAATCAAGTGACATTGTGATCTGACAGTATGGACATGTAATCAAGTGTCATTGTGATCTGACAGTATGGACATGTAATCAAGTGACATTGTGATCTGACAGTATGGACATGTAATCAAGTGACATTGTGATCTGACAGTATGGACATGTAATCAAGTGTTATTGTGATCTGACAGTATGGACATGTAATCAAGTGTCATTGTGATCTGACAGTATGGACATGTAATCAAGTGTTATTGTGATCTGACAGTATGGACATGTAATCAAGTGTCATTGTGATCTGACAGTATGGACATGTAATCAAGTGTCATTGTGATCTGACAGTATGGACATGTAATCAAGTGTCATTGTGATCTGACAGTATGGACATGTAATCAAGTGTCATTGTGATCTGACAGTATATACAGGTGATTAGTGACATGCACCACTGAAGTATGGACATGTGACAACAGGTGCTCTCTTTGATGGACTCACATCAGGCCCTGTGGATGTCTTGATAGACGACTTAGCTGGTTGTGGAGAAGGTCGACTGTAACCAAGCAACTGTAGCATGGCCTCGGCTGCATTGCGCTTTGCCAACTTCTTGTTAGGTCCGACACCAGTACATGTCTGATCTTCCACCTGGACCTGCACAGTAAAGAAACAATGTGAAAATTGAAGATCTACAAGCAGCAGCAAGAAATTATGGCACGGTAACTATATACATCATGCAACAGCAACTATTTATAACAGAGACAATTTCAATGCCAACTGTAAGTCTCAGGTTTGTCAAATAAATGGTTGCAAGAATAAGGGACTCAATTGGCACTAAATATTTTAGCACAAAATAATAACAGTAAATAAATTTATAGGTATAGGAATAGGTATGGGTATAGCAACAATAACTGACATTTCAATCATGTATGGGTGCAGGATCAAAAGAAACAGAGAGAATCTTTCTGATTAATGAACTGATGACTGACAAATAGGGACACATGGATCTGTGACAGGGACACTGAGACTACATGGATCTGTGACTGACGGGGACACTGTGGGGCTACATGGATCTGTGACTGACGGGGACACTGTGGGACTACATGGATCTGTGGCAGGGACACTGTGGGACAACATGGATCTGTGACAGGGACACTGTGGCACTACATGGATCTATGACTGACGGGGACACTGTGGGACTACATGGATCTGTGACAGGGACACTGTGGGACTACATGGATCTGTGACAGGGACACTGTGGGACTACATGGATCTCAGACAGGGACACTGTGGGACTACATGGATCTGTGACAGGGACACTGAGACTACATGGATCTGTGACTGACGGGGACACTGTGGGACTACATGGATCTGTGACAGGGACACTGTGGGACTACATGGATCTGTGACTTACAGGGACACTGTGGGACTACATGGATCTGTGACAGGGACACTGTGGGACTATATGGATCTGTGACAGGGACACTGTGGGACTACATGGATCTGTGACAGGGACACTGTGAGACTACATGGATCTGTGACAGACAGGGACACTGTGGGACTACATGGATCTGTGACAGACAGGGACACTGTGGGACTACATGGATCTGTGACAGACAGGGACACTGTGGGACTACATGGATCTGTGACAGGGACACTGTGGGACTACATGGATCTGTGACAGGGACACTGTGGGACTACATGGATCCGTGACAGACAGGGACACTGTGGGACTACATGGATCCGTGACTGACAGGGACACTGTGGGACTACATGGATCTGTGACTGACAGGGACACTGTGGGACTACATGGATCCGTGACTGACAGGGACACTGTGGGACTACATGGATCCGGACTGACAGGGACAATGTGGGACTTCATGGATCTGTGACATACAGGGACACTGTGGGACTACATGGATCCATGACAGACAGGGACACTGTGGGACTACATGGATCTGTGACAGACAGGGACACTGTGGGACAACATGGATCTGTGACAGACAGGGACACTGTGGGACTACATGGATCTGTGACAGGGACACTGTGGGACTACATGGATCTGTGACAGGGACACTGTGGGACTACATGGATCCGTGACAGACAGGGACACTGTGGGACTACATGGATCTGTGACAGGGACACTGTGGGACTACATGGATCTGTGACAGGGACACTGTGGGACTACATGGATCCGTGACGGACAGGGACACTGTGGGACTACATGGATCTGTGACATACAGGGACACTGTGGGACTACATGGATCTGTGACAGACAGGGACACTGTGGGACTACATGGATCTGTGACTGACAGGGACACTGTGGGACTACATGGATCCGTGACTGACAGGGACACTGTGGGACTACATGGATCCGGACTGACAGGGACAATGTGGGACTACATGGATCTGTGACATACAGGGACACTGTGGGACTACATGGATCCATGACTGACAGGGACACTGTGGGACTACATGGATCTGTGACAGACAGGGACACTGTGGGACTACATGGATCTGTGACAGACAGGGACACTGTGGGACTACATGGATCTGTGACTGACAGGGACACTGTGGGACTACATGGATCCGTGACTGACAGGGACACTGTGGGACTACATGGATCTGTGACAGGGACAATGTGGGACTACATGGATCCGTGACATACAGGGACACTGTGGGACTACATGGATCCATGACTGACAGGGACACTGTGGGACTACATGGATCTGTGACTGACAGGGACACTGTGGGACTACATGGATCCGTGACTGACAGGGACACTGTGGGACTACATGGATCTGTGACAGGGACAATGTGGGACTACATGGATCCGTGACATACAGGGACACTGTGGGACTACATGGATCCATGACTGACAGGGACACTGTGGGACTACATGGATCTGTGACATACAGGGACACTCTTGGACTAAATGGACTGTCCGCCATACTAGAATACTGTCTACAAGGATCTGTGATTGTCTAGAATACTGTCTACATGGACATATTACTGGAGTAGAGGCTGACCTGCATGACAAACTCTCTGCGTCTAGGGAGACCTCGTTCAGCCACAAGGGAGTACACTGGCTCCTTCTTCTTCTGTGCCTGCATGATCTGGATGAGGCGACTGATGGGGTTGATGCCACTGCCATAGCTGGGATCCGCCTTCTGAACCTTGGAATCAAACATCACACAGGTCAGTAACTCAGTCAAGGTGGGGTCCACTGTTCAAACTGTCTCAGGGTTTAAATTTTGTTATGAAGGATTAGCCATTCTGTAGGCCAAAGACAGGATGTTATGAAACATTCTTCAGTTGTACAATATGGTGAGATATGGTGAGAATGTTTGTAATCTCTGATGCTTTCTTTTATTATAAAATAGTTTTCAGCAGTATTTGACTTATATGATGGGAGTCTGTGAATATTTAAGTCTGGATCCAGTGACTAACATCATGAGGAGCTTTCTGCACACACAATTGAGATATGCCTTTATGCACCGACCACGTCGGAGTCTCAACATCCCATCTCATTAGAAGGCTCGAAATGCAAGAAAGGGTTGCTGCAGACCAGTTGAAAGTCATTTCTTCTGGTGGAGTGAGTGAGTGAGTGATGTAACACTGCTTCGGGCAATATACAGGAATTTGTTTATAAAACCCCAGGGTTAATAATGAACTATTACCCCTTTTGTAATCAAATCATAAACCATAATTAAGCCCCGGAACAGCACATATTAAACAGGAAAAAACACAGGGACATTTTTTAGTTACCTTTAATGTTTGATTCATTTTTATGAAGAGCTGAACAAGGAGGCCAAGTTACATGTTTTCTGTTTTTTAAAGTCACAGGAAATTTCAATTATATCAATAAACGGGAATAGTCTTAAACAAATAAAAGCTGTTATGGAATTCAAGAACTGTCAAATGCACTTGTTTGCTTAATAATCTCTATTTAGGCCCATGAAATGCAGGAAATCCCAGCAAGAGATGCCAAGTGTTTGAGTACTTAACAATGTGGCCATATATTGGGGGCAGCCACAAGTGTGCTCCAGCATGCAGCAGAGAGGAAGAAGTCTGTCTTTGTGAACAACAAAATGACAGCCATGTTTTCCCAACTGGCTGGCTCCAACACCATGTCCACTGACTATTAGTGTCATATTAGTATCAACAAATCAAAACAAAAGCCCAAGAATCAGTCAGCCAACACCAGCCTACAAACAGATGGAGTCCCTATGTCACATGTATTGCTGCGGTTTCATCAGTTTTGCTTTTGTGTCCAGTATTTCACACTGAAAATTTCTGTTTTCTTCTATTATAAGTATAAGAAAACGGCTCAAAATCATGTAAATGGATACTGGTTGAATCAGTGCTTTACTTTTGTCACCATCCTCCTGCACCATGTTCACAGGCCACTGGCCTTACAACAGACTAAAGTTTGTATAGACCAATCAGCAGAGCTCTCTCTACCTGGCCAGCATGCAGGCCGTCCGTCCGCTCCACCGCCGCGCCGTATGTGCTCCCACCACTAGGCACCAGGCTGTCCGATAACTGAGGAGACAGACAAGTGGGTTGGAGTTATCTCTCTTTCGAGCATGCCCCACAGAGGCCAAGATGGCTACAATCATTATTATCAGTAATACATCTACAACACATCATCCTGGTCTATTCATGCAACATATGTAGGTAAATTGTAGGTCATATAGTTGAGTTGTACATGAAAAGATCATATAAGATCATGATCATAACTTTGTACATGAACACAGTAACAGATAGTGACATAATGAGCATACATATTCAAAATGATTCTTCTCAAAATTTCAGGTAACCTTTAAGTTTTTTCCACCTCGTCTCAATAGTGTCACATGCTGCATGAGCTCACAACAGCAATACAAGTCTCAGTTGCACAAAGTGAGACACAGGATTTCTATGCACTAACTATAGTACAGTTTATGAATACCTGATGCTCGATCACTAACTATAGCACAGTTTATGAATACCTGATGCTCAATCACTAACTATAGTACAGTTTATGAATACCTGATGCTCGATCACTAACTATAGTACAGTTTATGAATACCTGATGCTCGATCACTAACTACAGTACAGTTTATGAATACCTGATGCTCGATCACTAACTATAGTACAGTTTATGAATACCTGATGCTCGATCACACCAAAAACTAATGAAACCAACAGTATTTCATCATGTTAGGAAAATGTGACAGGATAGATGCTTGACAAGATCGGTGAAACATTAAAGGTAAAGTATATCGCTGAGGCTGATGAATGATGATCTGGGATCATGTATGCTGAGACTGACATACAGCTACTAGTGTAATCTGTCAACTGTTATAAAGCTAAACAGTAAGTGAAACAGTGATCAGCAGATGTGGCGTCACACATCATACAAATTGCTAGGTAAAACACACAGATATTGTCCAAACATAGAGCCAGCAGAGAAGGCAAAAAGAGAGGTTCCCATGAAAATGTTTTGCTTGTAACTCTCCCCACATTTAACATTACAACAGCCCTCATTTATCACCAAAAGAACTTTAAGATGAAGGAGAATGCTTTTGGCAAATCCATTTCAGCTCTCAGTGTATCTATCATATGCAAGGTTTCTATCCTATGCAAGGTTTCTATCCTATGCACTGCAACGTGTGGACCTAAACCAGCAGGGTGTTGAACATGCGATCAGAGCAATCACCTTGATGAGATTTCTATTCTTCTTCTTGTTGACTGCATTCTTGACCTTGGGCCTCATGGTTGTCGCTGGCAATGCCGGTAGCTTCTTCAGCTCCTCCAGCATCAGCTCCGCAGCTCGCTTCTTGGACAGCTTCTTGCTGTTGCCCTCCGCCTCCGTCAAGAACTCCCCCACAGTGCACTTGGTGACAAATGTCTTCATGTGGGGCGGCCCGGACTCACGGATCACCTGCACATGGATACCATTTGAAACATACTATTTTCAACCCAGAGACTTAATGCTGTGTACCCTCAATCTAAATGTTTCATGAAGATAAGAGGCATTACACTAAACAAAGAACTATCTAGCTGATTATTGTGGTCAAGGTGCAAGAATGAGTGTGTTTGTTTTTTTGGTTTCTGAGGCCACACCAGACAATATTTCAGCAATATTATGATCAACTAAATCAGTGAGCATGACTGCATCAACTGTGACCTGCACAGCAACATCATTTACACATCATTATTTACCCATATTAGAAACACAAATGTGTTCAGAACTTGGACTCCGTGCTATGTTTCCAATAACCCTTGTTGACAGAGTGGTAAAATAACCTATCTGTCTGTGGCACCTACCTCAAAGTCCACTGGGAGATTTCTTTTGAGGGCAATTTCATGTACCAGACTGATCTCAGATTTCAACTGATCTTGATCTGAAAACAACCTTTAAAAGTTTCAGTTGTGTTGACATAATAGTTTCATTGAAAACAAAACATTAAGAATTTTGAAAGTAGCTATTAGAAATAAAACCTTCCCCCAGTCCACAACAAATTACTCCCTCCCTAGTCCATGAACTCCCCCCCCCCCCCTTTTTTTTTCTTCTCTTTCTCTCCCTAGTCCACGACAACCTCTCCCCAGTCCAACAACCTGCCCATCACATCTAAGCAAAGTACCTGCCCGCCTCCCAAGTCCAACAACCACCCCATCTCCTTTCCTGGGCCACCAACCTCCCATCTGTCTGTCCACCTCCTCAAAAATCCTGCAACTCACCATCCTCCTCCACCTCCTCCTTGTTCTCTCCCTTGTTGTCAGCTGGCATACTCATATTGCGTAGAATGCGCAGTGCTTTCGTTGCAGCGCTGTGGCGTGCAGCCTGCCGCGTTGGGCCATCGCCAATGAACTCCTTCTGACCAACCTTGAGAGACACGTAGAAGGTGCGAGGCATTCGCCCACAATGGTAGCTGGAAGGAATCAATAATCATAAGTTTCATGAGTGGCACAGGCAGTGAAACATGTTAACTGCCATGGGAACGTAGCATAAGTGTTTCGAAATGCAGAGCCACATTCACAGCTATGGCAACAGCAGTACAAACCTCCACATTCCAAACATCTGCAGCTATGTGTCTGTGTGCCCAAACTCACAGCTCAGTAGAAACACCTCCACATTCACAGCTCAGTAGAAACACCTCCACATTCACAGCTCAGCAGAAACACATCCACATTCACAGCTCAGCAGAAACACCTCCACATTCACAGCTCAGTAGAAACACTTCCACACTCCCAGCTCAGCAGAAACACCTCCACATTCCCAGCTAAGCAGAAACACCTCCACATTCACAGCTCAGTAGTAACACCTCCACTTCCACACCTCAGTAGAAACACCTCCACATTCCCATCTCAGTGGAAACACCTCCACATTCACAGCTCAGTAAAACATCTCAACGTTCACAGCTCAGTAGAAACCCTTCCACATTCACAGCTCAGTAAAACATCTCAACGTTCACAGCTCAGTAAAACATCTCAACGTTCACAGCTCAGTAGAAACCCTTCCACATTCACAGGTCAGTGGAAACACCTCCACATTCACAGCTCAGTGGAAACACCTCCACATTCACAGCTCAGTGGAAACACCTCCACATACACAGCTCAGTGGAAACACCTCCACATTCACAGCTCAGTAAAACATCTCAACGTTCACAGCTCAGTAGAAACCCTTCCACATTCACAGGTCAGTGGAAACACCTCCACATTCACAGCTCAGTGGAAACACCTCCACATTCACAGCTCAGTGGAAACACCTCCACATTCACAGCTCAGTGGAAACACCTCCACATTCACAGCTCAGTAAAACATCTCAACGTTCACAGCTCAGTAGAAACCCTTCCACATTCACAGCTCAGTAGAAACACCTCCACATTCACAGCTCAGTGGAAACACCTCCACATTCACAGCTCAGTGGAAACACCTCCACATTCACAGCTCAGTTTAACATCTCAATGTTCACAGCTCAGTAGAAACCCTTCCACATTCACAGCTCAGTAAAACATCTCAACGTTCACAGCTCAGTAAAACATCTCAACGTTCACAGCTCAGTAGAAACCCTTCCACATTCACAGCTCAGTAGAAACACCTCCACGTTCACAGCTCAGTAGAAACCCTTCCACATTCACAGCTCAGTAGAAACACCTCCACATTCACAGCTCAGTGGAAACACCTCCACATTCACAGCTCAGTAGAAACACCTCCACATTCACAGCTCAGTGGAAACACCTCCACATTCACAGCTCAGTAGAAACACCTCCACATTCACAGCTCAGTGGAAACCCTTCCACATTCACAGCTCAGTGGAAACAATTCCACATTCACAGCTCAGTTGACTGACTGACTGACTGAGTGTGGTTTTACGCCGCTTTTAGCAATATTCCAGCAACATCACGGCGGGGGACACCAGAAATGGGCTTCACGCATTGTGCCCATGTGGGGATTCGAACCCGGTCTTCGGCGTGACGAGCCAACGCTTTAACCATTAGGCTACCCCACCGCCCCACAGCTCAGTAGAAACATCTCCACTTTCACTGATACAACACAGCTAATACAAACTGGGAATTGGCAGAGACACAAAGGACAACCAATACAGACATATGAAGGTTGAGGCACAACAGATCTAGTAGAGACAGACTCACCGCTGGTTATACATGCCTCTGTAGTCAAAGTTTGGCGGAGAGTAGAACTGGGGGTGTCGTGGTTCAATGGGTTTGTAGACAGCCGGTTCTCCTCGCTTCATTGCCAGAGCGTTCAGTTCCACTGTTGGAGTGATGTTATTAGCTGTAAAAACAGTGGACTCTCGACTAGCTTCCCACAGTATTCAACGGTGGACAAAACTTTCTTGCCATTCAAACAGAAGCTGCCAGGTTTTCCCACAATGCACTCCTCTAAAGGGGAGATAATTAAGATTTTTGACACATAATAACACTCCACAAGTAGTGAGGTAAGCACGTTCTCAATAAACGAGCTGCAGAAACTGAGAAAACCTTTTCAGCTATCGAGCAAACTGACACGCACAAAGAAAAATCTCATCAAAAAATAAATTTGATTTAGTTGTGAAACGTCTGGAAGTCACTATGTCTCCTCCTCATAACTGTACAGCTGGAGCAAGTCTCAACACAAAGATTGTCAAATGGTAAATGAACAGTTTTGGAATAACTTCAGCCCAACAAGCTTCAAGGGCATGAGAGAGACTGACTTCCAGAGTGGCAGAGAGTAGGAGATACACACATTCATACAGAAAGTCCTCAGGTAATCGAGAGTCGACTGAGCGGCATTTATCATACATTAGCTTTTGCTCATCATGAAAATCTTTTGCAATAATGGTCAAAGCAGACAATAGTTTCAGCCACGGATCACTATAATACATGATGAATGTGTATAATGAACTACAATGGCAATCAGACACTCCACATACAGGCAGCAACATCGAGTATGCACCAATGTGAACAGCTTCAACAAACATCAAACCAAAGATTAAATAATATTCTTATTTGATATGATATTCACTCAATAAAAGGAGAACTGTTCTGCAAATCAGTTTCACTGCTGTATGGTGCATATCCAATGATCTGCGAATAAGTGAAACTTGACTGTACTCTCCATAAATGCTTAGACATTCAGTACCATGTTGTCATTTCCAGCTACATGACCGGATACTGTAAATAATCAAGTGTGGACTAGACAATCAAGTGATCAATAATGTGACCAATGATCCCTGATGTCAGGATACATATTATCAATCAAGTGACTGAGTTGGACCACCTTTTCTAACATGGAATTCCCTACGGTGTAAAGTGAAATGTTAATGTAGAAACGAGATCCACCAAGTGACATGGTAGGAATGGACATTGAGTAGCAGGCGAGGCTGGACAGTCGCCAGGTCAAACATTTCACAATGTACAATCAAACAACAATCACAATCCATGCACAAACTCAAAAAACATTTCAGTAAGCTATATACAATAGCCTAACGCAAAGAGAATGCAATATATTACAAGAAAATACATAAGTATATCAATCTTAAAGAGAGGCCATGTATAGAGTCCCTTTAACTTAACAGAACCAAGGACAGTGAGATGGAATCCCAGATTTGACTAGACTCAGTACGAGTATGTGCTGGTGGAAGTCCTTTTTCCTCCCATATGAAGCTGACATAAGTCTGATGATCAACTGCTACAAAATAACTATAGGAATCAATCTGTCTTGTGTTCCTAGACCAACTGCCACGTCCAGAGATCCCTTCACATCAAACATTGTGTAAGTGACAAACAACATTGTGCCTGTAAGCCAAGCTGACCATGGTACATGAAGGTGCTTACTTTCTGTCATACTGCCCATATTGGGTGTGCGATTGGGTTTGGGTGGAGGGTGGGTGAAGCTGGTCTTCTCCAGGGCGATGGCAGCTGCGGAGTGTTGCGCCTTCTTGATGCTGGGACCAGACGCAGAGTACTCTTCCTCCCCTAACTTGAGTTTCACAAAGAAAGTCTTCTTGTGAGCTGGTCCTTGCTCATCGACGAGCGTGTACTGGTGCAAGATCTGGATACATACCATGAACACTGTTACCTGGGGTTACACTGCTTCCCAAATCATATACCGTATATTACCGTAGATAAGCCACCCCGAAACTTGACCCTCAAAATCAGTGTCAAAATGGTATGTTTCGTACATAAGCCGACCCCCCGCGATGGGGTCCTAATCGCGGCAAACACAGACAACTGGCAGTTACCAATAATGATAACTTTGGTCCACATTATTCAAAGAATTCACAATCATATCGCATCTACTCACGCATCGAAATGAAGTGTAGTTGACAGAAAATGGATAACATATTTTGTTTCGCTAAATATCATACTTATTGTAGCTGGACAGTCACATGTCAACCAACTGGCTTGCTTAATTTACCCCACTCAACAATCATGAACTGATTACCGCCTCGTTTTCAATGGACTGCTAGTTTACAGTAACATCAGGGGTGGAAATAACCCTTTGCCCAACGTCCGAGTCCAGTGTTTTTTACTGTCGGACATTTGTATATCACACTGTACCGGTGTCCAGTTGACTTTCCAATGTTAATTATGTTGTTTATTTAAAAAATCAACAAGGAAACGAACGGTATAGTGGAACAAAAGTCATCACAAGATGACATATCCCCCCGGCCCCCACATATTTGAAAGAACAAATTATCTGACAGTTACTTAAAGTCCAGCCTGACTTTTTTTAAAACTAAGTCCAAATCGTTTCCATGGAAATCATGAGAAATATAAATGCCAAAAATATGTAAATAGCAAAATGCACCATTTCAAAATTTGCCTAATATATCTGCCAAGTTCTGTTGAAAGATACTGAACACTTTTCGAGTTGTGCACCGGAAATGAAGCCCACCCCTCCCTTTTGGGACTAAGTCCTAATCGTTTCTATGGAAACCGGGAAAAATAAAAATGCCCAAAATCTGCAAATAGCAAAAGGCACCACTTTGGCATCTGCCTCACATATCTGCCAGGTTTTGCTGGAAGATATTAAGAAGTTTTCGATTTATGCTCCGGAAACAAAACCCACCCCTCCCTTTTGGGACTAAGTCCGAATCGTTTCCATGGAAACCGGGAAAAATAAAACTTCCCAAAATCTGCAAATAGCAAAAAGCACCACCTTAGGTTCTGTTTGATATATCTACCAATTTTTGTTGAAAAATATTGAACGGTTTTTGAGTTATGCTCTGGAAACAAAATGATTACGGACGGACAGACAGACAGACGAGGCGTCGACTATATCCCCCGCATTACATGCCGGGGGGGATAAAAATTATCAGGGCAAGTGATTATATATGTGCCTGTGTACCAGAGTACACTAGCAATTTTAAGTTATTTCCACCCCTGAACATCAGTAAAAATGTGTGAATTTAAATGGCTTGCTTATTTTACCCCATTCCATGTGCGTACAACTTTCGCTTACCACGTTCATGAGGGTCCGTATAACCTTAGTGTTGATTATATATATTTTACATTTATAGAGCAAAAACTGTAATTAAAATTACACAATGATAGGATATATTTCTTTGGGTTAAATAATAGTATTCTGTATTATATTTTACTAATGACTGCATCAGAATTCATTCCATTATATTATTGTGCATGTTTGAACTTAATCGCCGGGAAACGTGTGCACAGCTGATTGCTATTTCCAGCTCAAATACACATGACAAAGTCGTCTTCTGTTGTTTGTTCACGCGAAGTGATACGATGTTGTTTTCTTACCCCTAGAAAATAGTTTGATGAAAGCGTAACCCATAGATAAGCCGACCCCTTCTACAGACTGCTTTTTTTGGTCCTCAAAATTCAGCTTATCTATGGTAATATACGGTACAGAGAAAACACTTAGCAAGACCCAAATGCATGTGTACATATTGAGGTCAATAAAATAGTGTGTCGATATACCTTGGGGACTTACAAAACAAATCAGGTGTTTTTCATCACACCCTTGACAATAGTGAGTGAGTTTAGTTTTACGCCGCTTTTTGCAATATTCCAGCAATATCACAGCAGGGGACACCAGGAATGGGCTTCACACATTGTACCCATGTGGAGAATCGAACCAGGGTCTTCAGAGTGACGAGCGAACGCGCTTTAACCCCTAGGCTACACCAACACACACACACACACACACACACGCCCATCCTTGACAATTAAATTGTTAACAGTGGTATATTGTTATTAAAGGACAAACAATTCTGATATCTATAAATAGATGACAGTTATATTTCGTACACAACACCCAACATCCACAAATAGAAAGTCTAATTTCAATATGGCTTATGGCAGCATGTTGAAATGTGGGTACATTTTGGGGTCACTAACCTTATTATATCTGGCAAGCTCATTAATAAGACACATAGGGGTTTTCTCTTTTGTGTTTGCCAAGGCGGACTGTCCTTCCTGCTGCTGCGACGGGGAGAGAGACTGGGGTTCCTCCAGGGTGAGGGACTCCAGCTGGGGGGCAGGGCCACTCTGGGGGTCAACCAGCGTCACACCGCCCTGTAAACATGATATCAAGCCTCATAACAAGCCTTGACTGAACAATATTAAGCAGCAATGAGTGCGGAGAGTCCTTGGATGGTGACCATGACCACCCATCGATTCACACAGGACATCACAGGACACCACCCAGTACACATGACACTGTTGCAACCCTCCTCTACTCCAGAACATCACAGGACAACACCCAGCACACATGACACTGTTGCAATCCTCCTCTGCTCAAGAACATCACAGGACAACACCCAGTACACATGACACTGTTGCAATCCTCCTCTACTCCAGAACATCACAGGACACCACCCAGTACACATGACACTGTTGCAACCCTCCTCTACTCCAGAACATCACAGGACAACACCCAGCACACATGACACTGTTGCAATCCTCCTCTGCTCAAGAACATCACAGGACAACACCCAGTACACATGACACTGTTGCAACCCTCCTCTACTCCAGAACATCACAGGACACCACCCAGTACACATGACACTGTTGCAACCCTCCTCTACTCCAGAACATCACAGGACACCACCCAGTACACATGACACTGTTGCAACCCTCCTCTACTCCAGAACATCACAGGACACCACCCAGCACACATGACACTGTTGCAACCCTCCTCTACTCCAGAACCTCACAGGACACCACCCAGCACACATGACACTGTTGCAACCCTCCTCTACTCCAGAACATCACAGGACACCACCCAGCACACATGACACTGTTGCAACCCTCCTCTACTCCAGAACATCACAGGACACCACCCAGTACACATGACACTGTTGCAACCCTCCTCTACTCCAGAACCTCACAGGACACCACCCTCCTCTACGACACTGTTGCAACCCTCCTCTACTCCAGAACATCACAGGACACCATCCAGCACACATGACACTGTTGCAACCCTCCTCTACTCCAGAACATCACAGGACACCACCCAGCACACATGACACTGTTGCAACCCTCCTCTACTCCAGAACATCACAGGACACCACCCAGTACACATGACACTGTTGCAACCCTCCTCTACTCCAGAACATCACAGGACACCACCCAGCACACATGACACTGTTGCAACCCTCCTCTACTCCAGAACATCACAGGACACCACCCAGTACACATGACACTGTTGCAACCCTCCTCTACTCCAGAACATCACAGGACACCACCCAGTACACATGACACTGTTGCAACCCTCCTCTACTCCAGAACATCACAGGACACCACCCAGCACACATGACACTGTTGCAACCCTCCTCTACTCCAGAACATCACAGGACACCACCCAGCACACATGACACTGTTGCAACCCTCCTCTACTCCAGAACATCACAGGACACCACCCAGCACACGACACTATTTTAACCCTCCTCTACTCCAGAACATCACTTCTCGTGTTTCCAGTTCACCTTTACTTCAAGAGGAATCAACTTACCCCCACACCGCTCTGACCACCTCGCAGACTGCCGTTCTGGCTTGTCATGGGGACGTTAGCGAGGGGGTTTGGTGGAATCGGGGGCGATGTCATCTGTTGCTGGGTGTACCCTGACATGAGGGTCTGGTTGGGGGTAAATGAGGAGGTGGGGCCTCCATGTGGGGTCATTTCTGGGCGACGTTGTTGGATGTAGGGGCCTTTAGGAGCAGGACCTGAAACAAGAAGGGCACAACTCGACATTCCTGCAGTTAGCTGTTCAGATGCGTGTCATGCAGCCATCATATATTACAATAGATAGTAGCTAGGGGTGAAACAATACACTCTTACCACGGTATGGTACACATTGCGATATTTAATAACATGAAAAAAACACACACCAAAATCTTTATTTTGAAAGAACAAAACTGTCATTTTATGACTTGATAGAAATGACGGTATAAAAATAAAGAATTTTTGGATTGAAGGCAAAATACCGCAGTTCTACTAATAGTAATACCATGGTGTACCAATTCACCCCTAATAGTAGCATCAAATCATTCAAGATAAGCCAGTTAATAATCTACATGAAACCTGTGTAATGTTCATTTTGCATCAGGTAAATCACTGTTAACCCAGCATAACAAACTTGTTGCCCTACATAACTTTTTTCACATTAGGGGACAAAGTGCAGTGGTGCATTTCAAGTTTTCGTGCAACAATACATTTCTTGTCTGTATCAATACTGGAAAATACACTCGCAGCAATATATATTCCCCACTCAGTGACATCCACCTCACCAGCCTTTCTGTCAATGAAATATCACACTATGACCTTGTTAGAGTACTGTTTTGTCCCTAGCTGACACATTGTATATTGATGACACAAGCTTTATTCCTTACATCAGGTTGACAATGGAAACATGTTATTGCGTACAAGAAACATTTTTTCTTCCTTACTTTATCTCACTAGTAAGCATGCCAATAAACAAACCACCAGCCATCACCCACGACACTGTCGAAACCCAACTTGTTTGTTGTTCTACCATACATGATTTGTTGACTCGAGTAATACTAAATAGTCCTCATGTCATCCACAATAACTTAACACACAAAGAGTATGTGGTGTGCTCTGTATGTCCAGAGTTCTGGAATGAATCATAAACCCTCTTCTGATGTAAGAGAATGCTAAAATATAGATTTAAGTAAGGGGAGTTAACTCTTACATCCTGATCTAGAAGACCAGCTTTGAGTGTGACTATCACTGTCTCTATTGCTATAATCACTGCCCTTGTACCATATTACCCTAGAATATGTAGTGCCACTCTATTTTGTACTGCCATAGTGATACCTTGGTAGTGAGTTGTGAACTTAGTTAATGTTAGAATACAATTGTTAATTGCTGCACATTTCTTGGCTGTTTGTTGATGTTGCACCATTTTGTTTAATATTTTTAACCTTATAATATGAAGTAAATATGTGTTGAAATTGACAGTAAATGCTTGCATTTCATTTAAAATTACTGGTCCAAAAAGTTCCATTGTGTATTTACATTTCTTATTCATGTAATACATTACTGAAAGTATAGTTTCAATGAGCCCTGCAGTCCATTATTGCACAGTCAGCTGACAGGGAAAAACTAAACAATCTCCACAAACGGAGAGCTGGACCATCTGAAACAATTTTTTGTAAAAGCTAATTTTACATCCAAATTTCATTTAAATAATCACTGCATTTCCACTGCCCGTGTGATATATAGAGAATACTACACGAGGTCTCATTACATACGAATTATACGAAACGAGTGTCCTTCCTATGGTATCTGACCGAGCGAAAGCGAGGTCAGATAACATAGGAAGGTCACGAGTTTCCTATAATTCGTATGTAATGAGACCGAGTGTGGTATTTTATTTATTACCCACGTCTTACATGCATTAAATTGACAAAATAGGTATTTATGTTATGTTTTTGGTTTCAAAACCGAAACCGGTTTCATAAAGAGGTTGCGGAAGAGTTTTGTACTGTAGTACAATATTTGCATGACGTCACACTGTAATGACGTCACTGCCATGGTAACCGACGTCACGATGCATGTCAGTTGTCATCGCCTCGTACAGCCTCCTACAGTAAACTACTCCGTAGCACCTCGTTTCTTGGTTTCCAGTTGCTTCATTCGGCTAACATCACTGTTGGAAACATTGCGTTTATGTTTTCGATGGGTATAATGTCTCAGTTCGACTCACAATTAAACAGCGACATGGCAACGTTCGCAATGTTTACATTCCCACAATGCATTTAAGTTGTAGAATGAATGAATTCACGTGTTTGTTATGAATGAAAAAATAGTTACGTCAGAATGTGACCTAACTGAGAGGTCATCGGTTATCCAATCAAATCGTTAGAATCTCAGGTCAAGTCGTTACGACACAGGTCAACGCGATACGACACTCGTGTGACGTACAAGATTAGTATGCAACTAACCATATGTTGACCTCGTGGTCAATAAAACCTGTGACATCTTGGCAGTGAACTCAACAACGCATGCGTGACACCTACCTGTCTGTTGAAGGGGGATGGTGTGGCCAGCAGCAGCAGCAGGATTCATACTAGTGTTTGTAGCTTTCAGCATCTGGGACATTAAGACTTGGTTGTACAGTTACTGAAACAAATCATAGATTAAGAGTGAGCCACGAGTAACACATAGCGGGGTTAACACACCTGTCCCACCTGGCTTGGGGGGGGGGAAGGCATGGCAGGGGAATAACATAGTATTAGTGGAGGCAATCCTTCAATATTGTTGAGTTGACAATAGTGGAGACTCTGCTACAATCCACTCACAACGTTGTATTGAGCATCAAAATCCCTTCTAACAGCATTTGTTTCTCAGATGTGGAAATTGTCTTTAATAATAAGTCATGTTGCACAGTCATATGAGATATATAAACTAGTGTCCAAAAGAAACGATACCACGTGTTTCAAAGATCACTAAATGAAAACAAAACAACATAGACATTTCAAATTGATATCTTTCATTAGATAAATGATTTTACGGCATGTGTACAAAAAGTCATGGCAACCAAAGATTTACAATCATTAACACAAGGCTTTAAACGAAGTGTGGTGCCCAAAATTGAAAATTCATTTAAGCACAGTGGAGGAGGCTAGTGAGGGTAGTCTCTGAAAACAGTCTTAACGCCACTTTAGTACCGGGTATGTCCACCAGCAGCTGCGATACATGCTATGACACGCCTCCGAGCTGATGACGTCAAACGCCGGATGACGTTAGGGGCGATTCGCTGCCACTCATCCTGTAGACAATGTTCCAATTGTTGAGGTTGGCTGGGGCAGGGCGTTTTCTGATTTTCCGATTGAGGTGAACCCATATGTGCTCAATTGATTCAAATCCAGTGAACAAGCTGGCCATGGCAGTACCTGTATGTTGGCGCTGGCAAGGAAGTTCTGGGTCAATCTTGCCGTATGAGGCCTAGCGTTATCGTGCTGGAACACGATTCCTCCTGGATGCTGTTGGGCTTAATGGCTGCACGACTGGTCGTGAAAACCTCATCCTGGTAACGCTGTGCATTCAGGTTCCCCGAATAATGACGAGCCTCGCTTTCACATCACCGCAGATACTTCCCCACATCATTACACCTTCGCCTCCAAATGCATGGACTTGCTGGATGCAGTTCGGTGCCAAACGCTCACGAACTCTTCGGTATACTCGCTGCCGACCATCGTTCTTGTAAAGGCAAAACCGGCTTTCGATCAAAACAAGACACGTGCCAAGTTTCGACGTTGCCACCGCTGAACACGCCTGGCCCATATCAATCGGTTGACTCTGTTTTGACGTGTCAGGTAGACTCAGCGGTAGAGGCGACGCGCACGGATACCATGTGCCTGCAGTCTCCTGTAGACGGTTTGTCGACTAATCCGTGTCCCAGTCCCGTCAAGAGGAACGAAGCGTTACGTAGGTGAAGTAACCGGATGTGATTGTCTTGAATAGGCGTGGTCACCCGGGTCTCCCGGCTTCTCAGCCTGTGTGTTGTTCGGCCTGTTTGACGCGAACCGTCGCGATTAACCTGGTAACGGTTATGCGCGCAAGATTCAAACGCGTTCTTGCTACAGCGGCGTGTGATGCTCCCTGTCGGACCATTCCAACGGCTTTTTTTCTCTCGATCGCTGTCAAACGTGCCATTTCTTTTGTGTGCTTTTGACTGCTGTGGGCACAACGTGTCGGACCAGCGGTTTTATACAGTTCATCTGCACGTGCATTTCGTGCTACACGACTTAACGTCATTTTGAGTATCCGTGCGATTGCTTCTTAAGTGAATAAACGTTACCGTTTTTTTCGATCGAATACGTTTGGTTAGGAACGTGGGATACACAGAAATATGTTTTTTCTCCAAAAAGTATCATTCATTTAAAAATATTGAAAAAAATATTTGGTATCGTTTCTTTTGGACATGAGTTTAGTTACATGTATTCTAGATACATTTGGGTATGGTATGTACTACGACTTCCACCAACTTACCATATAACCTAATAGCAGTTGTGTCCAACCTGACTGGCAGTACGAGCAACCATCAACATTGATTAAGCAGAGCTACAGATAACTTTTTGGGTCATTGAATTATGTACTCGCTTGTGTTCATCTCAATTGGGTATCCTAATTTTCCTTGGAGTAACCAAATAAATTGTACCCACCTCACTTAAACTCAATTTGGTATTTTGCCATTTTTCCATTACCTGTAAAAATATACTAAAGTTTAAATGTTGGTTTACGTGTTTGTTATTTGCATTTGATTTGTATACTAAAGAAAGACAGCTGAGCAAGTTGCTAAGTTCATGTCCTGAAATAGAACCTCTCAATATACTTCAGTTATTTTATCTATCCACCGGTATGCAACCTAAGATTTGACATTTTTTGTGTGTACACATGTAAGATCTCATTCATTGATTATTTACAAAAATTCAAGCGTATTTGTACACAATGACTTAACAGGAATTGAGTTTTCACATAAATATTTGCGTTACTTACGCAGATACGCAACTTATCTATACCTCTGATTAAGTGAGAGAATGTTGTTCAACTCCAGTCAGGTCTTTCAACATATCACACATGACTCTGAACAGCGAGTTACAACCACCACAGGATCACATTATGTAGAACATCCTTAAACGTTATAAAATCTCAAAGATATGTCCCTAAACCCCATTCCAATGATCCTTCACACATAGAAATACGTAAATTTGGTAGACTAGGGTCTAATAATGACAAGGAATATGACATAGCCCTTTACTCTGTAATACATGACAGGCTCTGTTGGAGCAACTCCCCTGGAGGCATTAGTTCAGTATAGAACATGTACTGAGGATGCAACACGTGAAGGTAGCTGCACATCAGTTTAAGCCATTAAAACGAAAACAGTTTACACCAACAAAGAATTGCTTCAGATGAGGAAGTTGATTACATGTACATTAAGTGATGATGAACAAGAGAATCCATCACATATGTTGGGAATGTAATTTCAAAGGACTTGAAAAACTTGAACACTATTCATGTCCCCAATAATACATGTTTTACACAACATTAAACAGTATTTGGATACTGAGAGCATGTTGCACAAGCCTGTAACAGATACATCCATGTTTGATACAGTAATGAGCCCGAAACCTAAGTACATGCTGTTCCCTGGAAGCCCTTGCAATTACATTCCTAACACCATCTTGTAAATACTGCATTGTATAGTACATGTATGTTGACGGACACCATCTTGTAAATACTGCATAGTATAGTACATGTATGTTCAAAGGACATAGAACTCATGCTGGACCAACTCTTCCTTCCTCATGATAATAGCTTAATGGGGAACTACATTCAGCAGGAATAAATAACTCGGCTGTTTAGCAACGATGACAAAAAGAATCATTTGAACCTACTCAATCTTTATTTTTGTTGTGTTTTTTGAAGGTAAAGTGAGTGAATATTCAACATGCATATTTACTTGAAAGTTACATCAGTGACAGACAACAAACTGCCACATCAATATATCCCACCTAAATGGTTTTAGGCTAGATACACGGAAACAACTATTTCTGTTATTAAACAAACCATTATTGTCGCCATTCATTAATTCATAAAACAAGACTCTTGAGTAATATATATACTCCTCGTCAAAAGTATTGCATAACCAATGTTTTGAGCTTCAAACTGTACTTTCGAAGAACAAATAACAAACTGTGTATGTTCTCAAAAACACTTTAATTGCCTATGACTATAGAGATTGTAATAAGGAATCAATGTGGACAAGACATGGGAGGGAACTGTCATTGATGAACCGGACAGAACTACACAGAAGTGTCTCAGTAACTTCATACACATCATAGAGATGGAATCACCAGCTTCAGTAAATATCTCGAGTGGCCTCCCTTAACATAGCAAGTTGCCTCTTCTTGCTCAAGATCAGATGCCTATCCTCAAATGGGGAATCTGTTGCCGTACCTCATACAATGCCTAGGTCAAAAGGAGATTCTGTGGAGCAGTGTCCCTTGCTCTAACTGTAGGTCCCAAATGACCCCATAGGTACTCTGATTTAGATCTGGGCTTTGAGCTGGCCAAGGCAACGTCTCTATGGCATTGTTCCAAAGATGATCCGTCACAGCTCGTTACTCAGTGGGGTTGGACATTGCCCTCCATGAGGATGCCAAGTCTCTGGACAGTTATCAGGATGTGGCACAATTGAACTGTCCAATATGGTAACCTGGAAATTTGGTCCACATTATGGCTCAACTGTCACCAGGTCAAGCTTACAGTCATAGAAACAGCAGCCACTTACATGACATGGGTGCCCACCAATTACACTTGCCACATGGATTTGACACTTTAAATTGGGTGATGTAATTCTATTGATGAGGTGTATATATTGGTGCCTTGGAAAAACAATTATTTTAAAGTTTTGTCAGTACTGTTTGCTGTGACTATGAAGTTTAACTATCTTTATCGGTTGGTATTATATGACATATCACCTCTACCGTCAATGACATTCAGACACCCACACAGAGCTCCAGATGATATTTCAAGCAGTTGGGTATTTACTCCCATGTCTGTTTATGTATGAGTAATTGCATTTTTTGAGGAGTAACTCAAAATGTATACTCCCACTAGTGTACAGAATCAACAGTTAATCCTTATTGGGTAATTAAAATTAACACTTCTAAATATATAAATATAAATGCTTCTCAATAGACCTCAGTTTTTAGTAATTCGTATTTTGCCAAATAGTTGCAATTCATTTCTCAGCACTAAGATTTAATCTGTATTTTGACTTATCAAACATTTATAAATCAATATAGTTCTTCATTCAAATTGTAAATCAGACAATCCCTCAAGTTTGACAGCCATCTGTTGTAGACTTCAGGTGCCACGACGAATGTATCATACGCAAACCAATTTAGTTAACTGAATAAAGTACGCAAGGTATTATAGACCTATTGGGTTTTAAGAGATTCTCATGCATTTTTTGTACTCCCAGATTTGTAATTAATTAAGTAAATGTGATTTTTATTGAGTAAACTATGCAAAGACACGCCTTATCTGCAGCTTTGACCCACAGTGACTAAAATGCAAAAACATAGCATTATGGCGTATATTGTCACAAATGGGTCTTAGCAGCTTATGACAAAGGAAAGTTAATTCATAACGTCAACACACCAAGCTCATTCCGGGATCACAAGATATCACACAGATCGATGCCTCACTTTGGGAGCTTGCGATCTGATTGGGCATATTCTTATTATAGCCAGACAGATTGCTGGCACTCTTAAGTGCACATTTGGTCATGGCCATGGTCATCAATGGTGAGTGGGTTTAGTTTTATGCCAGACTCAGCAATATTCCAGCTATACCCAAGCTTAGGATAATCCGTCTGTACAGATTATATGGTGGTCTGTAAATAATCGAGTCTTCACCAAACAATCCAGTGATCAACAGCATGAGCGTCGATCTACGCAATTGGGATACGATGACACGTGTCAACCATGTCAGCGAGCCTGACAACCCGATCCTGTTAGTCGCCTCTTACGATCATCAGTGGCGAATGGGCATGGCACAGGCATAACCGTTTTAAGTGTTTCAGGGTACTTGAAAAGCAGGTACAGTTTTTTAGGGGTATTTACTGAGACCTGTGTTGACTTTCCTTTCATATGGTGCTAAAAACTACGTAGTGACGATAAATACCCTGAAGTCACGTCTACTTTTTTTGCGTTACAAGTCATTGTGCAGACACCATCTCTTGCAGACAAGTCTGTGATACAAAGCTATCATAATCCTACACATCTCATTTTAGAACTTTTAACACCAATACTGTTTCTGAAAATATGGCAAGGAAGTTATGAGTACGACGTAGGAAGTGTTATATTGTTGTTTAAGATGCATTTGATTGCTTTATATGAGAAATGAGCATCTAACGAATATTCCCTGATGTATCAGTCGAACAGGAACAACTACAAACGGTTTCGTTTTGGGGTTGCGGAATATGGACTCGCCCGTTACGTTTCTGTATTTTGACTTTGTTTGGGGTACACATTTCTGCATACAGAAACATACAGGTCTAGGGTTCTGTAGTACCTGACTACTACCTGTGCCGACAACGACCCCTTGAGTCTGACTTGCAGGGCTTACTTTTTCATTGACAGGTCACAAGCACATACATGGTCACAGAAGCAACAGTGCACTGATATGGAATTATGTCTTATAAATTGCATTTGCACATACATGTCACACATGCACCAGTTATTGCAAGTTGTGCATACTGAACCCGATTTCTCATCGAGTCAAATAAATGCGTTATCATGCATTGTTGACAAACGTATCTTTAAATTGAAAGCAAAAAACAAAGTATAAAAATTACCTTGACGTTTACGTTTCCGAAATAACTACTACGTTAATAATGTTTGAATTTTGAATAGTTCAGCACAATATCCCAGACAAAAAGAGCATTAAAACGTTGGCAAACAGTAAAGAAAATGCCAGACTAACATGCGGCCATGTTGGTCTGCACCCAAGTGGTCCTAATCGACTGGTAACCTTCCCTTCGCCTCCAAACGCCTGCTAAAATCACAAAGCTTGAAGTGCGGCGAGGAGCGCAAGCGCTGTTTGGCAGGCAAACCAATCTAGTCCTAACGGCGCATGGCCGGGAAAAAATGCCGGTGTGTGTCTCATTCTTGAAATAAACTTTTTAAATAATATATTTTTGTCATTATATTTGATAAAAACATTGCACGTAGCGTTCTCAAATTTGAAAAATAATGTGAAAATATTTGCCCCAGCAACCCCGCTCGCTTCAAAATGGCCGACGTGTTTTGATGGAATGGATACAGATAGAGTAGGATCTGCATTTTTTATCATTTAGGTGAAGAATTATCCACCTTTATCCGTACAAACATGTCGATGATAGCCAAGAACAGAACTAAAAGTACCTGGACGCCATTGAGCAACGATGAAACGAATAACAAGGTATTTTCCATGTTAAAGTTTATATCGGAACATGACTGAGCAGGTGCTCGTTTTAGAGGGTGCACATTCAAAGGCAGCGATCTGAATGTGTTTTTGCGAAGATGGTAGTTTGCATTAACATCTTAGAAGTATGTTTATATTGTTGACCGGACAAAATCCACCCTGACAAAATCCACCCCAAAATTGCCACCGCGGACAAAATCCACCTCTTCTTAACAAAATAATGTCCTAGGTTGCAATTTTGGGGTGGATTTTGCCCTGGATTCGTTTATGTTAAGGGTAGTCACTGGGCTCAGATCATCTGTCAGTCACAGAGACTTGTAAATGAAAATACATCTTAAACCCATTTCCGTGTTCATGGCTTGCTAAATCACATTGTTTCAACTTCAAGGGAAATGTCATGATGCCCCTCAGTAAACAGAAAGGAAGATACCGTTGAAAAAACACCATGGGCAAAAATGCAGTTTATCGGGCACAGCTTGCTGTTGTGTATTCAACAGAGCTGCGATTCTCCCTTTGCAAATTGTCTTTAATCCTTTGGGTTAATTGTGTTAGGTAGGCTACGGTAAGAGTTCCACCCGTAAACCCCGCTTGAAATGTATTCTATTTATTACGATTATTTCGAGGGTTTAGGGATAGGTTAGATGTTAGGGTTAGGGGTTAGGTATAGGCTGTTTATAAAAAAAACATAGGCGTATATTCTTAGGCATATAATGATTTTAAAAAATACGGGGGTTCCAGGTGGAAATCTTTCCGTATGTACAAAGTGACACACACACACACCCCCACACCCCCCTCCCCCTCCCCTAAAACCTTAAAATCATCATCGTTATCTTCCAGCTAAACTTGCAGAGATTTTCTCTTTTCTTGATAACCAAAACTATTCATTGCATGATACACTATAGTCTGTTTGCAGTGAAAAAGTACAAGGGGGCCTCTTCTATATCGTTTTCTTCTATTCTAGATTTTAGAAATGCCATTTAAATATACATGTTGATGTATATAATTAATTCATCATGAATGAAATGCAATCACTGTAGAAAATTGCAACAGATATCTACCATTCATCCGTACAATTATTTTATGCACCATGCACCATAAACCCTTTTACATACCCAAAAGGATTTCAGTGAATTATACTCTGTTGAAACTGTATTTTGAACATTGTATCATATGTAGGTAATGGTTGACAGAATTCATCCATTACTGTTTATTTTACAATTTCTTGAACATTGTTTCTCACATCTCGCAGTTATATGCCTGCTAAATATCGAGTACTGTAGAAAAAATCCCAATATGCACATGTAATGAAATTCACATGTTGCATACAAGACCATTACATTTGGCATAGCGCATCATGGTCTGTTAGTTTAAGGTTTGACCATCAGGATCAGCACACCTTCCGGGCTAGTGAGGGAACGTGAAAGATCGCCCCTCAGTTATCATGTTTTGACCGATAGCCTCAGGTCTTCATAAACAGACAATGAGAAATAACCAGCTTGGTTCTCATTCAATTATTGTATTTTAGATTTTCAGCGAGTTGAAAGTTATGCTGACCACTACTCCTGATCATTCTGAAGATATTTGATCATTCTCATGGTATTTGATAGTTCTGACAGTATTTATTCATTCTGCTGATTTGTTTTTTTCAGATATTTGAAGAGAGAAGAATTCTAGTGGGAAAATGGGTAATGAATTTTGAACTTATATTACATCCTGACTAATCAAACCTCTATTTTGTGAGAGATTTCTGTCTAATCTGACAAAGTCTTTTGCTTGGTGATGATGATGATGATGATGATGAATATCCCACTCGAGGCTAGTAGAATAGTATGAATTGGTCACAGATGGTAAAGTAATGATAGCATGGTAATATGCAGATATTCAGACTTGCTGACTAGGTTGATTCTAGTGCTGGGAATTGGATAAAATCTAATTGATGATTGGTTCATTACAATCATCGAAAATAATTGGTTTGCACCATTTATGAAATTTTCCTGATTATTTTTGTTAATGGACAAAAAAATAAAGAAAGAAACATGTAGTTCTTTGGGTTTTTTGCAAATTGCACAAAATCCATTTGCAAATTTCACTTCTTTAAAGGATGACTGGTATGTTAGGAACATTAATTTCCTGGAATCTTGCAGATAAATTCAATCATGACTTGGAACGAGCTTGTACTGCTCATGAAATGTAACAGACAAAACCAACCTTGTGAAAAATAATGTTAATGCAAACAAGTGTTCCAGAATTGTTTTTGTTTGATTATGAGAAAACATGATCTTGGTCGTTTAGTCACTGTGACCAATCTTTGATTATTTTAATTAATCGGACCACCACTAGTTGATTCATGTCGTTGTATCCCAGCTGCATCGATAGATGCTCATGATATTGATCACTGGATTGTCTGATCCAGACTGTTATTTACAGACTGCCACACTACAGCTGGAATATATAGCTCAGTGAGGCATCAAACAAGAAACAAAACAAAAACAAGTTTTTTAATCCGAACCAATTATTAACAATAACAGACTGTGTGAGTTATATGAATGTGGGTGAGTTTGGCCACAAACAGTATTTCAGTATACACTTTGCTGAAATGTTGCTTTTGTGTACCACCCATGTTTACTCTATAGTCTGTTTGCATTGAAAACATACCGATGAATGTCAATTTAAACAAAAAGTAAATCAAATAAAGTGAAATTAAGATTGAGAATCCTCATAATTTTACCTTGCCAATTGAACATTTAAATCTCAGAGTTTTATTCATCTTAGGACAAAAGTTGTTTAACAAACGATCATAGTTTCAAATCGCTACTATCGGTTTGTATTACAAGGGTGTATGCACATTAAATGAAACACCAACAAGTAGAGTTGGTCTAAGTTAACGCTCATCACAAACCGCACGTGCATTTGTTTCACTGTTTCATCTACTGCTCTCACCCCCTTGTAATACAAACCATTAATAGCGACGAGAATGTATGATCGTTTGTTAAACAACCTTTGTCCTACAATGAATAAAATTCTGAGATTTAAATTTTCAGTGGGCAAGGCAAATTTATGAGGATTCGCAGTCTTAATTTCACTTTATTTGATTTACTTTTTTGCTTAAAGTGAAATTCATCGGTACGTTTTCATTGCAAACAGACTATAGCAGGGGTTTGTTCAAGTTTTTTTGTTGCTGAATTCAAATTTGATGGAATATTTTCCCTTGACAAACTCAGTGAATGATGATACTTTACTAGTGGTTACTTTGGCTAATTTCAGTATGAAAGATGGAGCGATGACCAGCGCCGGCGCCTGCTGGAGGATTTGGTTGCGAAAAGCAAGAACAGGCAGTTAGACTATGCCAGGGATCTCATCAAGGAGAAGGTCCCAGCATTGAGAAAAGACTTCACACGAGTCATGCCAAGAGTGGTCTCCCTTTATGTTATGTCCTACCTTGACCCACGAAGTCTTTGCAGGTGTTCAAGGGTGGGTAGCAAGATAACTTCTCCAATAACATCATAGTGTCTGTGAAAATAATTCAAAGTGATTTATGTTTGTTTGAAATGTTTTCTAATTTAGCCCCATGATCAATTAAACACTGTTTGTAGTGTTCTGTGGCTCGTCAGTTCTTTTGAAGGACAGTAAAGATGTGAACTGCCATTATAGGTGATCACTTTGTAGGAGTTTTACTGCTCTGCTTCCTATAGATTTGTCTGGGGCATGCAGTTATTTTACAAGACGCTTGCTACATACATGTATTTCCAATGATATATTCATGTTCATTCAAGACACACCTGTACAGTGTTGGTCAGGAAACACCTGTACAGTGTTAGTCAAGACACACCTGTACAGTGTTGGTCAGGACACACCTGTACAGTGTTAGTCAAGACACACCCATACAGTGTTATCGTCCGTCAACTGAACTTTTGGCACCCTGTTTTTCACAATTTACCTTTTAACCAAAAATGCCTTCAAAATGTTTTTGTGCATACGCTCTTTATATCTTATGACCTATCCAAGGTTTAAATTTCATAATTTTATGTCAATTATTAAAGCTTCTTCTTAAGAAGCCATCTTATAAAAATATGAAAAATAGAAGTAGTTATACAAGGGAGTAAAATGATACGATGGAACAGCCAACAACATGGTGTGACACGCCTGCATCTTGTTTACATTGTTATGCCTGCAAGCAAATCTACAGGGACTGTATAATCATCATAAATCCATTTTAAACAAGTAGATTCATTGAAGTCTTTAAAGACTGGTTGCTTGATCTCTTGTATCTATATCCAAATTTGAGCAACAGCTTGCATATGGTATGCTTTGATACAGTGATGTCATGGTCTTCTTTGAACAATATTTTCTTCAGTTTGCTTGACAATATGGAGCGATGTAACTGACGCATGACGTCCCTCACAACCCTTCTATCGAATTCATCAAGCTCTGTTTTCTTTGCATGTTTTAAGACGGTCAGGCTCTGAAATAGTGTCATGGGAGATAACTCTTTGCAATATTCTTTTGCAGATCTCCGTGGCATTAAATGTCTTTTGGAGAAACATTCAATTAAAAAAAAAGAGGTTTTTTTCGCTTTGCCTCGCGCTTGAAAAAGTGTAAACTCTTTTGATGAGTGCGTGTTGGCGATCTTTGACATCACTTAAGCGTGCTAATGTAAATAACCGTGCATGTACATATCACACTGACACACATTTTACAGTGTTGTTGGCTTTTCCGTCAGGTGCGTTAACCCATCATAAAACTCTCCACAGTTTTACAATTATTATATGACAGGTTTAAAGGCAAAATCTTTAATAATCGTGTTAAAATGACTAAAATCGATATCTTGTTAGGTCACGGTATACAACTACTATATGAACAGAGCAGTGTTTTAAAATATTCAGGAGTTTTATGTAAATTGTGAATAACACGGTGCCAAAAGTTAAGTTGACGGACTATAGTCAAGACACACCTGTACAGTGTCAGTCAAGGCACACCTGTACAGTGTCAGTCAAGACACACATGTGATGTGTAAGGACACACTTGTTAAATGTAAAACTGTCACGATAATACATGTTTCAGGTATACAAGGTCAATTCAAGCAAGCTGTTTTGAAAAAAATGGTTGTTGTTGTATTTGTTAGGTTGTGATGCCGATGTGTAGTTATGTTGTTGTGGTCAACAGGTGTGTTGGTATTGGAAGTACCTGTCAGAGCTGGATCAACTGTGGATGCCGAAGTGTCTTCGACTGGGTTGGTTCCTCTCCTTCACACCCAGCCCCTTTGAAAACGGGGTATGGAAGAGGAATTACCTGGAGCACATCAAAAGTCTGCAGGTCCTACGTCCATCAGTAAGCCGGACTTTGTTTAAACTATTTACAAAGTGGTGTTACCCAGCAGTTCTGATCTGTGTATCAATGCAGGTCCTATGCCCACCTGTAAGCCAGCTCTAATCTGGCTGAATGGGGCTTATAAAAAATTGGTAATTTTCTGAGACAGCAACTGTGTATTGGTTTCTAATCAGTAAAATAGGACTGACAAGTGTCTGCATAATTAAGCCATCATTCCAGCGCCAGGTGGACGAGCTGTCTGAGGCGCCAGGCTAGTGATCCAGGCTAGTGATCCAGCGAGCTTGAGGGACCTGGATCGAGCCCACCTGTGACCAGGTGTAAAAACCTTAGAGTCAACTTTGTGTGCAGACTCTTTCAGTGTTGTCACAACCCCTAGTGTACAGTACACAACCCTGTGCACTTAAACCCACGAATCCATTGGTAAATGACAAGATGGTGGCCACATGAATACGTGCAAACACCTAGTTGCGGGTACAGCAACGAGCGGTAACTTGGACAAAGTACTGTGACTATGTGTCCCAGTCAACCCAGCTGTGAATGGGTACCTCGTAAGGATGGGAAAGCCACATTAACTTGGTGTGCCTAGTGGCTGCAAGAGTTGTATGATTCCCAGGGAGTTGAGATTGATAATACTATGTGTCGTTTGAGTTTGACATCCAGAGATCGAGGGAAACTCAAAGCGTCTTTGAGCAGCTGAGCTGTACATGGCTGTTCTGTGTCCTTGAGGTGTGTTATACAACATGTAAAAACAAACACTGATCTTATACATTGAGGAAGAGCAATAACATGACTTGTTCGATGTCACTATAATGTGTGATATGTTCACAGGAGCGGCCTTATATCGACCTGGAGAAACTCAATCTGCACTCCAAGCGGGATGACAAAAACAGACATTCCAAGAAAACGAAGCCATGGCGTGGATCTGACCCTGTGCCGAAGGATACATGGAGATACAATGTGTTGGAGAATGATGATGTGGTGCAGGATGTCGGTCACAAGTGAGTAGCTGCAAGGTGATAGATGATACACCTCGAGTACACCAGACTGGTGCTCATACACCTCGAGTACACCTACTGTACAAGTGCTGATGCGCCTCGAGTACACCTGCTGTACAAGTGCTGATGCACCTCGAGTACACCTGCTGTACAAGTACTGATGCACTGAGTACACCTGTTGTGCAAGTGCTGATGCACCTCGAGTACACCTACTGTACAAATGCTGATGCACCGCGAGTACACCTGCTGTACAAGTGCTGATGCACCTCGAGTACACCTGCTGTACAAGTACTGATGCACCTCGAGTACACCTGCTGTACAAGTGCTGATGCACCTCGAGTACACCTGCTGTACAAGTGCTGATGCACCTCGAGTACACCTGCTGTACAAGTACTGATGCACCTCGAGTACACCTGCTGTACAAGTGCTGATGCACCTCGAGTACACCTGCTGTACAAGTGCTGATGCACCTGCTGTACAAGTACACCTGCTCAAGTAAGTACAAGTACTGATGCACCTCGAAAGTACACCTGCTGTACAAGTACTGATGCACCTCATATTACAAAGTACACCTGCTGTACAAGTGCTGATGCACCTCGAAAGTACACCTGCTGTACAAGTGCTGATGCACCTCGAGTACACCTGCTGTACAAGTGCTGATGCACCTCGAGTACACCTGCTGTACAAGTGCTGATGCACCTCAAGTACACCTGATGTACAAGTGCTGATGTACCTCGAGTACACCTGCTGTACAAGTACTGATGCACCTCGAGTACACCTGCTGTACAAGTGCTGATGCACCTCGAGTACACCTGCTGTACAAGTGCTGATGCACCTCGAGTACACCTGCTGTACAAGTGCTGATGCACCTCGAGTACACCTGCTGTACAAGTGCTGATGCACCTCGAGTACACCTGCTGTACAAGTGCTGATGCACCTCGAGTACACCTGCTGTACAAGTGCTGATGCACCTCGAGTACACCTGCTGTACAAGTGCTGATGTACCTCGAGTACACCTGCTGTACAAGTACTGATGCACCTCGAGTACACCTGCTGTACAAGTACTGATGCACCTTGAGTACATGTGACAGGTGCTGATGCACTTAGTGTGCTGACAGTTTTCAGCATCTTTACTTCTGTTACAAAGTGATTATTTACGTACAAAGGTAGACATATGCTGCAGCAATAGGCAACAGACCTTGTTTTTACCTGTCAGTTGTCTTGAATGAGGATGCTTGAATCAGGCATAGTGTTTGAGGCTGGCAGGAGTTCAATGTTACATGACAGGCAGCCAGACACCACAGCCAGCCTTCTAGAAACTGTCCCATTATAATACTTATGTTATGAAGTGTTGTCTTTCCAGGAGGAAGAAAAAGACATACCCAGGAGATGACTGCATGAAGAATGTCAAGAGTAAAGTGAACACACACCAGAATCTCTCCCTCACTAGGAGATCCCAGTCCATGTCTGTAAGTAACTAGGTTACCATGGCTAGCAGGATGCTGCTTGTGGTCACTTATGGCCATGGTAGGGTCCCACTACCCCAGTCTGGTACATCATGATAGTCATTACCCCAGTCTGTTGTATCTGATAGTCACTACCCCAGTCTGGTAAATCATGATGGTCACTACCCCAGTCTGTTGTATCTCATAGTCACTAGGGGCTGTGGGGTAGCCTAATGGTTAAAGCGTTGGCTTGTCACACCGAAGACCCGCGTTCGAATCCCCACATGAGCACAATGTGTGAAGCCCATTTCTGGTGTCCCCCGCCGTGATGTTGCTGGAATATTGCTAAAAGCAGCGTAAAACCAAACTCAGTCAGTCATAGTCACTACCCTGGTCTGTTGTATCTGATAGTCACTACCCTGGTCTGTTGTATCTGAGAAGTCTGGTAAATCATGATAGTCACTAGCCCAGTCTGTTGTATCTGATAGTCACTAGCCCGGTCAGTTGTATCTGATAGTCACTACCCTGGTCTGTTGTATCTGATGGTCACTACCCTGGTCTTTTGTATCTGATGGTCACTACCCCAGTCTGGTAAATCATGATAGTCACTAGCCCAGTCTGTTGTATCTGATAGTCACTAGCCCGGTCTGTTGTATCTGATAGTCACTACCCTGGTCTGTTGTATCTGATAGTCACTAGCCCAGTCTGTTGTATCTGATAGTCACTACCCTGGTCTGTTGTATCTGATAGTCACTAGCCCGGTCTGTTGTATCTGATAGTCACTACCTTGGTCTGTTGTATCTGATGGTCACTACCCTGGTCTGTTGTATCTGCCGGTCACTACCCTGGTCTGTTGTATCTGACGGTCACTACCTTGGTCTGTTGTATCTGATGGTCACTACCCTGGTCTGTTGTATCTGATGGTCACTACCCTGGTCTGTTGTATCTGATAGTCACTACCCTGGACTGTTGTATCTGATAGTCACTACCCTGGTCTGTTGTATCTGATGGTCACTACCCTGGTCTGTTGTATCTGATAGTCACTACCCTGGACTGTTGTATCTGATAGTCACTACCCTAGCTGGACTGTTGTATCTGATAGTCACTACCCTGGTCTGTTGTATCTGATGGTCAGTACCCTGGACTGTTGTATCTGATGGTCACTACCCTGGTCTGTTGTATCTGATGGTCACTACCCTGGACTGTTGTATCTGATAGTCACTACCCTGGTCTGTTGTATCTGATGGTCACTACCAAGGTCTGTTGTATCTGATAGTCACTACCCTGGTCTGTTGTATCTGATGGTCACTACCCTGGACTGTTGTATCTGATAGTCACTACCCTGGACTGCTGTATCTGATGGTCACTACCCTGGTCTGTTGTATCTGATGGTCACTACCCTGGTCTGTTGTATCTGATGGTCACTACCCTGGACTGTTGTATCTGATGGTCACTACCCTGGACTGCTGTATCTGATAGTCACTACCCTGGTTTGTTGTATCTGATGGTCACTACCCTGGTCTGTTGTATCTGATGGTCACTACCCCAGTCTGGTAAATCATGATAGTCACTACCCTGGTCTGTTGTATGTGATAGTCACTACCCTGGTCTGTTGTATCTGATAGTCACTACCCTGGTCTCTATTAGGGTAGGGAGCTCATTTCCTTTGACCTCCAAATATACTGAGACTCATTATTTCGGTGACCTCCTTGATTTCAGAGACTCCATACCTCAGTGACCTCCATGACGTCCCCTGACCGCCCGAAGTGGGCAGTGCACACAACAGGTGCTCCACTGATGAACCGTGATTCTACACTGCATAATGGCATTGCATCAACAATAACCAGGCCACAGCCAGTTGGCGGTCAACCCAAGACCCCCAAGTCTTTTCGTCCCATCAGGTCCGAGAGAGACCCACCAAGTGAGTCGAAGGATTTTGCTCCAGCTACATGGAAATTAGTATTAAGTTGTATCATGATGTATTCTCTACCATGGATGGTAAGACTGAAGACAGTTTCTACTTTGCGGCCTTAAGATGTCTTTTGTCTATTTTTGTACACAATTAAGGATTTTATTTTGCTTCAATCACTTTGCAATCAGGAACAACTTGAGATGTTATTCCATGTACATAAGCCCCCTTCACCAAAAAACAAACTGATGAATGAACTCACAAGGTAGAGACCAAGTACAAAAATCTGTTGCCCTGTTTTGTTTCAGGTACAGACTTGTTTCCCAGTAAACCGTGGAAGCTGCTGGATGGGAACGTCTCTGATGACAACTGAAGGCTGTCCTGAATGCCAGGAGCTTTCCTGGCCACACATTCCAGTAGAAGGTTGATGTTGTGTGTTGTATACTGCAACACGCCAGGTCACTTGATGTAGTCACTGACCACAGCTGGATAACATTCGGATGACCTACTGCCTTATAGAAAAATTACAATCTGTTTGTTCTTTTGTAAAATACAAATTTTGTAAATATATTTTAGGCCAATTTGTACTTTGTGTACACATTTGTGGATTTTGAGGAATATTTATGTATGTTCTGTGTCATGTTAACCTGTGTCCAATCTGTTCCTCCCTGAATTATAGTTGAAGCGTTAGTTGTTGCTCTACTGAAGTGGAAACATAGTTTGCGAGGCAAAGTCTTCATGTCCCTTCGAGAGTCTGATGTGGTCTGTATAATCCATTGCAGCACTTTCAGATGATGTGAATATATTTACTGTACGTTTTTACATGTTGTCTCCGATTCAACATGTTCATTCCGTCCATTGCGAGCAGCATGAGAAAAGTCATCACTGTAGGAGGACCTCTCTGTCCGCTTGAAACTGTCGATGGCTGGTGCACTAATGTAGTGTACTGATATGGTGTACTGAAGTAGTGTACTGATGTAGTGTCCACAGCTGGTACGTTCGGCATTAGGTTGTTAAGCTTCTACTCAGTGTTGTAGAAGTGCATCTGTATGTGTGATATTGTTAGCTGAAGATCATGATACAAAATCAGTTTATTTATTTTATGATTGGATAATTTATATATATTTACATACTTGGTAGTTTTTGTCAACTATTTCATTGCATATATTCAATTCTATGGATATTTACATTTCTACACATTTTAAACTTGTGTACTCATAAGCATATGTGGATTTAGCAGAAATGATTTTGTAAGTTAGAGCTGTGAGCACATCCTGAATTACCCAAGTCTTGTATGGCAGTTGTCTGGCACCATGTGATACTGTGCTGCAAGGTGTGATGTCAGGTATAGTGTGCACTGCTTGATACCAGTGGTATTGATATTCATGGTATTTGACTTTGATATCATTGGTATTTGACTGTTATCAGAAGTATTGCATGGTGTGCTATCATTGATATTGGACTTCATGACATCTTGAGCAGCATTTGTCTTTGTGACAAGACAAATGTATTAAACTATTAAACTGGATACGCTCTGATGTCAGTTGTTTTCCACTGTGATACAAGTTTGTTGTACTCTGTTTTCTGTCATGTCACTCAAACAGAATGTGCCTTTGTAAAATCAAGCATCAAGATCAACAACAGCAATAACTTGAATAAAGTGCATTTATGTGAGTGTTGTCATGTGTTACCTGAACACAGCCTTCCTTGACAGGGAAATACTTTAACATACACTTACATGCAAACATATTTATTAACACTATTGGTTCATCTGTTTACTGTTATTCCAAGGCAAAGTCACTTGGTAAAAAAGCAACTCCTGGAATGATGGGCTCTGATTAGAATTGGGTGGGGACAGCACATGGTTGGTTGTCCTTACCAAGAAGCCTTCTCATGCTGTTTATGAATACTGGTGACCATGGTAACTGTTCAGTTATTTTTCATAAAAGTTTCAATATATTTAAGAATTAGTTGTTTTGGTCGAGTGTCGTAAACATAGTATGATATGGGCACGAATATAATATTCTGTTTATTACCGAAATCGTCCACCCAGGACACTGTGAAAACAATGAATACATAATGCCCACCCCATGTCACGACTGTCCACCCAGGACACTGTGAAAACAATGAACACATAATGCCCACCCCATGTCACGACTGTCTACCAAGGACACAGTGAAAACAATGAATACATAATGCCCACCCCATGTCACGACTGTCCACCCAGGACACTGTGAAAACAATGAACACATAATGCCCACCCCATGTCACGACTGTCCACCCAGGACACTGTGAAAACAATGAACACATAATGCCCACCCCATGTCACGACTGTCCACCCAGGACACAGTGAAAACAATGAACACATAATGCCCACCCCATGTCACGACTGTCCACCCAGGACACTGTGAAAACAATGAACACATAATGCCCACCCCATGTCACGACTGTCCACCCAGGACACTGTGAAAACAATGAACACATAATGCCCACCCCATGTCACGACTGTCCACCCAGGACACTGTGAAAACAATGAACACATAATGCCCACCCCATGTCACGACTGTCTACCAAGGACACAGTGAAAACAATGAATACATAATGTCCACCCCATGTCACGACTGTCTACCAAGGACACAGTGAAAACAATGAATACATAATGCCCACCCCATGTCACGACTGTCTACCAAGGACACAGTGAAAACAATGAATACATAATGCCCACCCCATGTCACGACTGTCCACCCAGGACACAGTGAAAACAATGAACACATAATGCCCACCCCATGTCACGACTGTCCACCCAGGACACTGTGAAAACAATGAACACATAATGCCCACCCCATGTCACGACTGTCCACCCAGGACACTGTGAAAACAATGAACACATAATGCCCACCCCATGTCACGACTGTCCACCCAGGACACAGTGAAAACAATGAATACATAATGTCCACCCCATGTCACGACTGTCTACCCAGGACACAGTGAAAACAATGAATACATAATGCCCACCCCATGTCACGACTGTCTACCATGGACACAGTGAAAACAATGAATACATAATGCCCACCCCTTGTCACGACTGTCTACCATGGACACAGTGAAAACAATGAATACATAATGTCCACCCCATGTCACGACTGTCTACCAAGGACACAGTGAAAACAATGAATACATAATGCCCACCCCATGTCACGACTGTCTACCAAGGACACAGTGAAAACAATGAATACATAATGCCCACCCCATGTCACGACTGTCTACCATGGACACAGTGAAAACAATGAATACATAATGCCCACCCCATGTCACGACTGTCTACCAAGGACACAGTGAAAACAATGAATACATAATGCCCACCCCATGTCACGACTGTCTACCCAGGACACAGTGAAAACAATGAATACATAATGCCCACCCCATGTCACGACTGTCTACCAAGGACACAGTGAAAACAATGAATACATAATGCCCACCCCATGTCACGACTGTCCACCCAGGACACTGTGAAAACAATGAATACATAATGCCCACCCATGTCACGACTGTCTACCCAGGACACAGTGGAAAAAAATGAATACAAAATGTCCACACCATGTCACGACTGGGCAAGTAAAATCATGGGTCGAGTTTTCAAAGCATCATTGTCTTAATCTGCTGTTTACAACACTATATCTGACCAAACGCTTTTACAAATATGACAGTTCCGAAGTATAATAATACCATAGTTGAGTATTAGTATTGAGTACCATAGTACACGTTATATCGTTCGTGTTGAACGAGATAAAACAGAACTATTTATCGGAACCTAAGTCTGAAGCAAGTGTTCGTAAAATCTTCAGTTCTCTGAGCATGGGTCACTGTCTGCTTTGTGGAGCTGACATGGCTTGGCTCAGTGTTATTTGGGTCTACAGCGCTTCAGGAGTTGTATCTTTCAGCAGGATGGAAGGCGTGGTAAGCTGTGTTGTAGATTTAACACCATCACATACCTGAGACACGGCTTTCATCTCCCCATCTCCCAGATAGCGTCACTTCGACTGTCCCTGGTAGCGTCACTTCTACTGTTCCAGTTATCATCACTTCGACTGTCCCAGGTGGCGTCACTTCTACTGTCCCAGGTAGCGTCACTTCGACTGTCCCTGGTAGCGTCACTTCTACTGTTCCAGTTATCATCACTTCGACTGTCCCAGGTGGCGTCACTTCTACTGTCCCAGGTACCGTCACTTCTACTGTCCCAGACAGCGTCACTTCGACTGTCCCTGGTAGCGTCACTTCGACTGTCCCAGGTACCGTCACTTCGACTGTCCCAGGGGGCGGTGGGGTAGCCTAGTGGTTAAAGCGTTGGTTCGTCACGCCGAAGACCCGGGTTCGATTCCCCACATGGGCACAATGTGTTAAGCCCATTTCTGGTGTCCCCCGCCGTGATATTGCTGGAATATTGCTAAAAGCGGCGTAAAACTAAACTCAGTCAGTCAGTCAGTCGACTGTCCCTGGTAGCGTCACTTGACTGTCCCAGGTACCGTCACTTCGACTGTCCCAGACAGCATCACTTCTACTGTCCCTGGCAGCGTCACTTCGACTGTCCCTGGTACCGTCACTTCGACTGTCCCTAGTACCGTCACTTCTATTGTCCCTGGTACCGTCACTCGACTGTCCCTGGTACCGTCACTTCGACTGTCCCAGACAGCGTCACTTCTACTGTCCCAGACATCGTCACTTCGACTGTCCCTGGTACCGTCACTTCTATTGTCCCTGGTACCGTCACTTCGACTGTCCCTGGTACCGTCACTTCGACTGTCCCTAGTACCGTCACTTCTATTGTCCCTGGTACCGTCACTCGACTGTCCCTGGTACCGTCACTTCGACTGTCCCAGACAGCGTCACTTCTACTGCCCCAGACATCGTCACTTCGACTGTCCCTGGTACCGTCACTTCTATTGTCCCTGGTAGCGTCACTTCGACTGTCCCTGGTAGCGTCACTTCGACTGTCCCTGGTAACGTCACTTCTATTGTCCCTGGTACCGTCACTCGACTGTCCCTGGTACCGTCACTTCGACTGTCCCTGGTACCGTCACTTCTATTGTCCCTGGTACCGTCACTCGACTGTGTCTGGTAGCGTCACTTCGACTGTCCCTGGTAGCGTCACTTCGACTGTCCCTGGTACCGTCACTTCGACTGTCTCCCAGACAGCGTCACTTCGACTGTCCCAGGTAACGTCACTTCGACTGTCCCAGACAGCGTCCCATGTCTCGAGAAACCTCGACGTAGGACACTGACTCCTCCACAAACATCGGCAGGTTAGATGTCCGATCGAGGTGTGTTAAACGTTTTGTTTTGTGCCCCAGCTTCGGAAATATTATCAACATTCCGTGATTGTATTGTGTTGCGAGCATTAAAGGGAGTGCACAATGCTTGGTGCTGGAGCCCCATGCTTGTCACAATGGTGTAATGTGTATTTGGTCACTGGAAATCTGACACTATATGAATGCAATTCTTCTTCTTCCCCCAAGCGAAGACAGATCTGTTTAAACTAATAGTATCGTGGTAATTGGAAAGGTTTGAGCTCTTCCTCTTCATAAATGCTATGTGAAACGTTGACAAAGTGGATTCCATAGAACTGCGGACACGCCATAAAGCAATATCCATTCAGTGTCTAATGGCACCCCACATTATGTTGTAATAAACGTCTGATTACACGACCTCCAGTTTACACCCATGGTCGCCTGCAGTAGCCGATACCTTGAAGAAAAAGGATGTCAGTGAGTGAGCAGAGCGTCATTCTGTGTTTCAGAGATGATCCACCATTTTTGTACTTCATATGTAGTAATGTTAATGCTCCTATGGTTTAATGTGTGATTTAGGTATAGTCTATTTGCAGTGAAACGTACCGATGAATTTCACTTTAAGCAAAAAAGCAAGTCAAACATTGTGAATGTAAGATTGTGAATCCTCATTATTTTACCTTGCCAAATGGACATTTAAATATGAGAATTTTAATCCAATTAGGATAAAAGTTGTTTAACAAACGACCATAGTTTCAAATCGCTATTGTTGGTTTGCATTACAAGGGTGTATGCACATTAAATGAAACACCGAGAACAAGTAGGGTTGGTCCGAGATAACATTTATCACGTACCGCACGTGCATTTTTCACTGGTCCAACTACTGCGCTCACCCCCTTGTAATATACATGTACACGGGATAAAGGGACTGTGTTATAGTTCACACAGCCATAGTGCCCAAATACACTGTACACATAAGATATATAGATTTACAATGGTTGAAATACTACATGTTAGCAATTGTTTTCAAACCCCTGTACTTTACGAACCTTGGGCCCGAGGGCTTGTGTGAAATGTAAATTTCTATGACAATTATTCCACAGATTAGCATGTGATCTTCCCCCCTCCCCAGTTTTTGTATATTCATGGGATGACCAGCAGTTCTTTCAGTCCCACCTGCCTCCCCTGGGGGACGTTCTGACGTCACCCCCTCCGTGGACCCCACACTCCGGTGGTACCAGTGAACGCTCGCGTGTGTTTCCGGGTGCATAATTACACACCTGGTGATGAGTCCTGGATAACGCGGAGGGATAAATACGAGTGAAGTGGTCGGGACAAAACATAGGGCGACCGTCTGCGAGTTGTCGGCACTCTTCTGTGAGCGACATCACCAAGGTATGTTTTTTGTGATTACGATATTATTTCGGATAAACGTTGTTACGCATGCTTTGGAAAAGAAGTATTTTCGTTTCCTCTGGAGAAAGTGTAGAATTTTGAAAGGGCGTCCAGTGTTCACCACAGGATTGCTGTAAGGGCTTCCAGTGTTCACCATAGTATTACTGTAAGGGCTTCCAGTGTTCACCATAGTATTACTGTAAGGGCTTCTACTGGTCACCACTGTATTACTGTAAGGGATTTCAGTGTTCACCACAGTATTACTGTAAGGGCTTCAAGTGTTCACCATTGTGTTACTGTAAGGGCTTCTAGTGTTCACCATAGTATTACTGTAAGGGCTTCAAGTGGTCACCATAGTATTACTGTAAGGGCTTCAAGTGTTCACCATAGTATTACTGTAAGGGCTTCAAGTGTTCACCATTGTATTACTGTAAGGGCTTCAAGTGTTCACCATAGTATTACTGTAAGGGCTTCCAGTGTTCACCATAGTATTACTTTAAGGGCTTCCAGTGTTCACCACTGTATTACTGTATGGGATTTCAGTGTTCACCATAGTATTACTGTAAGGGCTTCAAGTGTTCACCATTGTGTTACTGTAAGGGCTTATAGTGTTCACCATAGTATTACTGTAAGGGCTTCAAGTGTTCACCATAGTATTACTGTAAGGGCTTCAAGTGTTCACCATAGTATTACTGTAAGGGCTTCAAGTGTTCACCATTGTATTACTGTAAGGGCTCCAAGTGTTCACCATAGTATTACTGTAAGGGCTTCAAGTGTTCACCATAGCGTTACTGTAAGGGCTCCAAGTGTTCACCATAGTATTACTGTAAGCGCTTCCAGTGTTCACCATAGTATTACTGTAAGGGCGTCCAGTGTTCACCACAGTATTACTGTAAGGGCTTCAAGTGTTCACCATAGTATTACTGTAAGCGCTTCCAGTGTTCACCATAGTATTACTGTAAGGGCGTCCAGTGTTCACCATAGTATTACTGTAAGGGCTTCAAGTGGTCACCATAGTATTACTGTAAGGGCTTCCAGTGTTCACCACAGTATTACTGTAAGGGCTTCAAGTGGTCACCATAGTATTACTGTAAGGGCTCCAAGTGTTCACCATAGTATTACTGTAAGGGCTTCAAGTGTTCACCATAGTATTACTTTAAGGGCTTCAAGTGTTCACCATAGTATTACGGTAAGGGCTTCAAGTGGTCACCATAGTATAACTGTAAGGGCTTGAAGCGTTCACCATAGTATTACTTTAAGGGCTTCAAGTGTTCACCATAGTATTACTTCAAGGGCTTCAAGTGTTCACCATAGTATTACTGTAAGGGCTTCAAGTGGTCACCATAGCATTACTGTAAGGGCTTGAAGTGTTCACCATAGTATTACTGTAAGGGCTTGGAGCGTTCACCATAGTATTACTGTAAGGGCTTCCAGTGTTCATTACAGTATTACTGTAAGGGCTTCCAGTGTTCACCATAGTATTACTGTAAGCGCTTCTAGTGTTCACCATAGTGTTGCTGTAAGAGCTTGAAGCGTTCACCATAGTATTACTTTAAGGGCTCCAAGTGTTCACCATAATATTACTGTAAGGGCTTCAAGTGGTCACCATAGTATTACTGTAAGGGCTTCAAGTGGTGACCGTAGTATTACTGTAAGGGCTTCAAGTGGTCACCATAGTATTACTGTAAGGGCTTCTAGTGTTCACCATAGTGTTGCTGTAAGAGCTTGAAGCGTTCACCATAGTATTACTTTAAGGGCTCCAAGTGTTCACCATAATATTACTGTAAGGGCTTCAAGTGTTCACCATAGTATTACTGTAAGGGCTTCAAGTGGTCACCATAGTATTACTGTAAGGGCTTCAAGTGGTGACCGTAGTATTACTGTAAGGGCTTCAAGTGTTCACCATAGTATTACTGTAAGGGCTTCCAGTGTCACCATAGTATTACTGTAAGGGCTTCCAGTGTTCACCACAGTATTACTGTAAGGGCTTCCAGTGTTCACCACAGTATTACTGTAAGGGCGTCCAGTGTTCACCACAGTATTACTGTAAGGGCTTCCAGTGTCCATTTTGTTGTTTATAATGTCATATTTTCCACTATAGAAAGGGTGTGTTTGGATGCGTGCGTGCGTGTGTGTGTGTGCGTGTGCGTGTGCGTGTGTTTATGTGCCTTTGTTTGTATGTGTGGTTATCGAGGTAACATATATATGCCTGACACTGTCTCGGTCACTGACACACACCCACTTCCCTGGGCAGTTTGTGTGACTCGTTGACGTCCTGTTTCTGTTTGTTTGCAGGTCACCATGAGGGCAGCAGTTATCGCCGTCTCTCTTCTCTACGTCATCTTTGTCGTCGTTCATGACGTTGACGGCACATTCTTTCGGCGACGTTTTGGTTTCAGAACATTCAGGCGCCGGATTCCCTACAGGCCGCACATAATACAGCGCCCTTATTATCCCAAAACTGTCAAACCTCCCCACCCAACTCCAAAACCTCATCCTCCACCGACAACGCCAGCACCAACAACCTCCAAACCCCACCCACCACCTACAATAAAACCTAAATTGACTGATGTCCCTACCGCCCCCCTCCCACCAAAGCAACCTGACGGCAAAACCCCGTACCCCCCATATCCATACCCTCCTTATTATCCTCCTCCACCTTACTACTACCCCAATCCACAACAGCCGTACCCCCCACAACAACCGTACCCCCCTCAGCAGCCGTACCCCCCTCAGCAGCCGTACCCCCCACAACAGCCGTACCCACAGCGTAAGTATAGCGTGGACGATGTCTCCCCACTTAAAAATCAAATGTGCTGATTGAGATAGGTAAAGTGAACTATATCGAAAGATCGTATTTGGCTCTGTAGACGGAAAAACGACATAAATATAAGGACTTAAAATGTTTGTAGCCCACTAGGGGCTATGGGTACATGGTAATTTGGGTACATGGGTCCGACCCTGACATGATGGGCTCCTTGGTCTGTCAGTCTCTCGAGTGGTAAATGTCTACATGGTTCCCTCCCCCAATAAACTGCTTTACCGTGACAGTTGTCTCCTTCAGTTGACGTTAACTCCACACTGTCTATATTGCAGCGACTGTAACTGTCCGCGACTGCGTCAGTGACGGTTGTGACTACTCCTGTTCGCCCATGACATACCTCAGCGGCGTCAAACACTGCTGCCCTCAATGTTCCAAAGACGTCTCCATGACGACGGGTACAAACGACAAAGGGGGACTTCTGCTTATGTACCTATCAGGCTACTGTCCAGTACTGATTGTGACGACATCACTACGTTGGTGGTGTGACATTGTGGACAGCACTAGGTTAGATGTGTTGTACATCGCTTGGCCGGCAGATGCATTGCACAGGGACTGGTCAAGCTTCATTACATTCCATAACTTGGACAATAAATCATCATCTTTTAGCCCAATATTTGTTATCATTCTAAGCCATACATAATGTACCTGTTTCTCATGGTCCAGTTGAATGTAGGGAGTGTATTTCTGTGATCTGTACAAGGTTCATAACCATTTCTATCACTAAATGTGCATCCATTCACGCATCACGAGTCTTACTAACTCCGGGGAGGTAGGGTAGCTGAGTGAGGCAGCTGTAGTCGCCCGCAAGCCCCCGTCTCCCAGGACCTCTTGACTGTCCTATAGCAGCAGACGATCAGTAATACTAAGTGTGTAACGTCTCACCGCACCCTGTTGTGGAACATTTCTCACGACCACTAGGTACCTGGAGCCTATCTGCCACCGGAATAATGTACAATGATAACGTATTCAATTTCATTATAATAAATAATTTTATTAATTATGTTCAACAATAATATATTATTAGTATTTACAATATTCACATGTGGATGAGGTACTATGTACATGAGATGGTGATGAGATAAGCGAGAAGGGTGAATCGCATTCATCCAGAGATGGCAAGAGAAAAATGATTAAATATAACATGCTTTCATGAAATACTAAAATAATTAAAACCATCAGTTCATCAATCGGAAACGAAGAGCTCATTGTTCTTCAATTAGACACCGCCGAAAGAACAAAAATGGGAAAAAAACCAAACGATTTTTCGATTATCATACGAAGAGATTCCGCTAAACACTGAGTACACCAATGAATCCTTGATGACACCAGGTGCTCGTGACAACACCTTGTAATAAGGTTAAACATGATATGCCCTACGGGTAGTAGTAGCTGTTTGTTGTTGCCTGGTGCCTTGCGGCAATACACTTCTACCATGTTATTGATGATTTCAATGATTATACCTGACATCACTGACATTCTTGACGTACAGTGTGACTGTGGATCCCTGTAAGAGAACGTTCTTGACGTACAGTGTGACTGTGGATCCCTGTAAGAGAACGTTCTTGACGTACAATGTGACTGTGGATCCCTGTAAGAGAACGTTCTTGATGTACAGTGTGACTGTGGATCACTGTAAGAGAACGTTCCTGGCTTAGAGTGTGGCTGTGGATCACTGTAAGAGAACTTTCTTGACGTACAGTGTGACTGTGGATCCCTGTAAGAGAACGTTCTTGATGTACAGTGTGACTGTGGATCACTGTAAGAGAACGTTCCTGGCTTAGAGTGTGACTGTGGATCACTGTAAGAGAACTTTCTTGACGTACAGTGTGTCTGCAAATCACTGTATGAGAACGTTCCTGGCATACAGTGTGACTGTGGATCATTGTAAGAGAACGTTATTGGCGTACAATGCTCTTTTGTCACTCGACATTAGCTATTTTTCGTTCAACTGTCACTCGGTGCTTCCACGCCCTTACGCATGTGCAAACATGTATCTATTTCCGGTTCCGTCTCAACCATTTGCTCTTCCAGCTTGTCCATTGTTCTGAAACAAGTTTAAAATAAAATTGAAATAAGAAATAGGGTTTCATTTGAAATATGTTCTTGAGTTTATACAAATGTGGGTATCTACACTCCACGAACTGCGGGCAACATGATGTCCTAAATGTAAAACATCCTGGACGTACTACGTGTGTGGCAACGAGAGACTGATGGCTGAATGACATTAGAGGGCGGCATGCTTTGTCGTGTAGCGTCTTGGACATCCCATCTTAAAGAGGGCCAGTGCGGGCTAACACTAAGGAGACGTTATCTCCGTATCGTTAGACGAATACTAGACAAGGTAACGGTAGCTGACAAGTAAAGACCTGATTGAAACTTGATAGGGCTGCAGTTTGGTCGACCCTAGGCCCTCTTTGAGACGGTTCCCGTTCCTACTTTCTTGTTCAATTCTGAAACGAACGGTTAGTCACTAAAAACCAAATTATTTTCCCAGAAACAACGTGACCTTGATACAATTTCACACAAAATCGTTTCCCAAAACGATGTAGCATATGTATAGCACCCTAGCACCCTACGTTCGTAGAGACCTTCGACAGATGTCTCTGTTAGCATAATATATAAAAGTATTCTCCCACACTTTGGTTAACAGGAATGACAGAATTTTTCATTGAAATATTCCAGTATGTAACGCCCTTCAAAGTTAACAGGTCAGCATCGCGGATATATCACTTCGATCTATACAGTTGGTATATGTTATATATTCAACCCTGGCTGGTATATACATCTATATCGTCATGTCGACCAGTAGTACCAGGGTATCTGATATATCACCTCGATCTGTACCGTTGGTATATGTTATATGTTCAACCCTGGCTGGTATATACATCTATATCGTCATGTCGACCAGTAGTACCAGGGTATCTGATATATCACCTCGATCTATACCGTTGGTATATGTTATATATTCAACCCTGGCTGGTATATACAGCTATATCAGCATGTCGACCAGTAGTACCAGGGTATCTGATATATCACCTCGATCTATACCGTTGGTATATGTTATATATTCAACCCTTGCTGGTATATACATCTATATCGTCATGTCGACCAGTAGTACCAGGGTATCTGATATATCACCTCGATCTGTACCGTTGGTATATGTTATATATTCAACCCTGGCCGGTATATACATCTATATCAGCATGTCGACCAGTAGTACCAGGGTATCTGATATGTCACCTCGATCTATACCGTTGGTATATGTTATATATTCAACCCTTGCTGGTATATACATCTATATCGTCATGTCGACCAGTAGTACCAGGGTATCTGATATATCACCTCGATCTGTACCGTTGGTATATGTTATATATTCAACCCTGGCTGGTATATACATATATATCGTCATGTCGACCAGTAGTACCAGGGTATCTGATATATCACCTCGATCTGTACCGTTGGTATATGTTATATATTCAACCCTGGCCGGTATATACATCTATATCGTCATGTCGACCAGTAGTACCAGGGTATCTGATATATCACCTCGATCTGTACCGTTGGTATATGTTATATATTCAACCCTGGCCGGTATATACATCTATATCGTCATGTCGACCAGTAGTACCAGGGTATCTGATATATCACCTCGATCTGTACCGTTGGTATATGTTATATATTCAACCCTGGCCGGTATATACATCTATATCGTCATGTCGACCAGTAGTACCAGGGTATCTGATATATCACCTCGATCTGTACCGTTGGTATATGTTATATATTCAACCCTGGCTGGTATATACATCTATATCGTCATGTCGACCAGTAGTACCAGGGTATCTGATATATCACCTCGATCTATACCGTTGGTATATGTTATATATTCAACCTTGGCTTGTATATACATCTTATCCAGCCTCATGTAAGAATGTCGAGTTTTGATTGGTTCACGTGACTCTGATAAAATACCATGTACACCCGTCACGATCCGTGAGAAGGGAGTACAAAAGTCATATTATTCCGCCACGCCTCGGTGACCACGCGAAGTGAGAAAAGCGTGCATCGCCAAGCCTTTAGTAACGTGCGCTGCATTGAGGTCAATCGATCAGCTGTTGTCAACATGGCAGCAAGGAAACGTTTTGCCACAACAACTGAGAATGAAATTGATGCGTATTGTTTTCTTTTGATTTAGTAAAAACATTCGGCTAGATAAATGCGTTATCATATCGTGTCTCGGGAAATGCGGGGTTTTATCAGTTCCTTACTGGAGACTGATAAAACCCCGTATTTCCCGAGACACGATGTGATAACCTATAATATCGTCTTATCTTACCTCACACATCAATGTCGCTTTCTGATTGGCTGAGCGCTCTTCTATTGTTCTCAAGCAGTAACATTTCAATGTACCCCGCTGTCAATGGCAACTCAATTCGTACTTCGTGCACGTGGTAGTAATTCTTTATTTCGAATAACATTGAATCACGTATGATGTATGGAAATTACCGATGTTTTGCGAATGCAAATCGATGGAAGGGAGATAAATCTGTTTTTCTTGTCAGCAAAATGTAGCGATGGCTACAGAAGACTTGTACCCGTGCTTCAAACAATTCAAAATTAACATTAAGGTGTTCGGTAAGATAAATACGTTGTTCACTGGTCCCTCGGGGCCCATGGGTTGATGTACCCTCGATGTTTGTTTATGTTTCCCTCGCCCTTCAGGCTCACCTTCTATAGCCTTACACAGTCGTTTTCTTCAGGACAAAGCCAGAGGACCAGTGTAAACTCTACATGTATTTCACTACATGTTTAGTTTTCTGTCACTTATAAAGTTTCGATTTATAGGAAAATTAAAATCTGAAAACCAATTTCGGAGTATGAATTACCCTCAATGCTGATGGTTCATTTTCCTTAGTTAGGTAGTGTATTTCAAAGATTGCATATATGCAGTGAGCAGGATCCGTTCACTAATGGCGCTACATCAGGCTAACACGGGAACACAACGCTTTAATTGCAAGACAAACAGTACCTGTCGGGTCCGGTGTCGTCTCCAGCACAAGGTGACGTAACGGGTGCAGAAGCAAACACGGGTGCAGCAAACAGTGACGCACAGATTGTTCGGTGAACGAAAAGTCATTTCCACAGTTATCAATGCAGACATTATTGTGCTGTCCACCAATAAATAAAGCGTTCCACATTTACAAAGCTGAACTAACCTAGACAACAGATTATACTTGACAGATACATGTTACACTCCAGTACTACTTCAGTTACACATCATGCACTTCAAGGGTTTATGAGATTAAGTATTACATGGTTATATAGCACATTATGAGGGGAATGTTATTACAACAAAGGTGATATGATTAACAAAACAACAAAGTGGAATCCCAATAACGATACTGATTTCTATAAACATAACCAGTGTCAGCAAAACATTGACGGCAATACAACATGGCTAGGAGCATATGCTACACACAATCAAATGCAGGTATTCAACAAATACATATCCTTCCAATGGTCAAATATTCATCAGTTCATACAGAAACACTAATGTAAACAAAACGTTCGCAAAGCTTAAAGCAAATCACAGGAAACGTTGCCACTGAAACAGAGTGAAAGCGAGCACAAGTAACAGCTCCAGAGTGCACCAAAGGGAGGTAACTCGGGCACCTGAAGAAGGACAGGGAATTCCATAGCCGGGGACGTCCTTGCACACCCGACAACGAGGCTGTCCCATGCCTATATAAATATGACGAACAAATTCGTCGTTTTCTGAAAGCATCCATGTTGCTCCGACCAACTTGAGGTTATGTGTTTTTACCAGAGAAGTCAGAGAGTATCGGCACCTGAAATGAAAGCGATAACGTGTAAAGAAGTGACACGTGAGAAACTATGTACATTTCAGTAGACGGAGAATCAGTTAGTAGCCTCGACAGTATCACCTAATACCGTTGGTAGGCTGTAATATCGTCATATTGTTGTTATATACCATTAGACCGTTGGTAGACTGTAATATCGTCATATTGTTGTTATATACCATTAGACCGTTGGTAGACTGTAATATCGTCATATTGTTGTTATATACCATAAGACCGTTGGTAGACTGTAATATCGTCATATTGTTGTTATATACCATTAGACCGTTGGTAGACTGTAATATCGTCATATTGTTGTTATATACCATTAGACCGTTGGTAGACTGTAATATCGTCATATTGTTGTTATATACCATTAGACCGTTGGTAGACTGTAATATCGTCATATTGTTGTGATATACCATTAGACCAGTGGATGTAATCTTCAACCATACAACCAACTGGTACCAGGTTCTTAGCTGACCTTGCGACGTGAGACAGCTGTTTCCGCCCCTGGTGGTGGAGTGCAACAGTCACAAGAGCACGTGCGGTGCTGGCTAAGACAGCATGGCACCAAGGAATGGTCACGATGCCAGCCTGGATCTCCAGGACACAGCTTGCAATGTTACCACAAGAACAGTTCCCGCAGCGAGATAACTTTTCCATATCTGGCACCAGATAACCTAGACAATATTTGACAGCTTGTTTTCATTACTTCGTCCCAAATCAGGCAGGACTTTCAAATGTCCTGATACTGACGATATAGTGATCGGTCAAGAGATGAACGCTATGTCAGGGAGATGTGAGGTTGATCTCTTTTATAAGGATTCACTGAAGGATCCAAGAACCCTCACAGACATGCCTGTACTGGCTGTGAAGTCAGAAGTCGACTTACCTGCCCCTGAACATCTTGGAGCAGTTAGCCGCGGCGTAGGACGAGACCTCTGACGGCTCCAGCTCGTAGCCCTGCTCGAACACCAGGAAGTAGTAGTTGTGGGGCTTCTTGTCAGGAGGAGCCGGCCCGATGTAACTCTGGACTACCTCGCCGTTATCAACCTGACCGTCACAGATATTCACAACCAACCAATGAACGAACGGGATTTCTTTGCTGCCGAATTCCGGAAGTGGAACATCGGGGTCGACCACGATCAGTGTGAGGAGTTTGTCTGAAATTATATGGACACCATCCAGACTCAAGCATTTATAAGATTTAAAGAATTTTGAACAAATGACCCAAGCAGGTATCGATGAATTGTTTCCAATATACGGCACAAAGGTAGAAGCTAAACAACACTATAGGTGATTATACCATACCCCGGAAGTCCCGCGTGGCGCTGGGGAATGCTGTTGCCATGGAGAGTTCAACTTTTGGAATAACTTCTTGCCGTGCGAACGCAGCTTTCACTTTGGCATTTCCTATTGGATTGAGAGAGATTGTTTTTTGTCTGCAAAACAAGCATATATAGTGAATCCGTGTCATCGGTCTATGTGTAGAGTGTGATCATGAAACAAATATACAACTGATACTTAAAGAAATCAAACGGTAATTTTTTGTAAACTTTGAACACTTATTTTTTATATCACGTGTAGGATAAAATGTGGCGACATCGCGTGAAAGGTAATCCATTCCTATAGGCGATATCACGTGAACAATGATATACTTGTTCTATGTGTTAACAAAGCATATCACGTGCACACATCACGTGACAACAGGGATCATTATTGTAGGCAAGCTTCTACAGTCGGACATTTCCACGCCAGATGACATGCACGTGATGACATGCACGTGGTCGTCGCTGCTACTTACGGCAATGTGAAGAAGGAGCAGCAGGAGTTGAAGTTGACGGCGGGCGACTGGAAGGTGACGTTCACATATACATTCATGTCCGGACGGTATTTCTTCTCGCGGGGGATGAACGGCGTCTCCTTCGTCTTGAACGCTGCAATGACACGTGACATCTCCAGATATCTTGTGGACACATATTACATGTACTTAGGTGTGTTTGTCTGTGTGTGCGTGCTTGCGTGCGTACGTCTGTCCTTGTGCATGTGTGGGACCAAGCAAGACCCGATCCATTCAGTCCCATCTTCCGACCAACGTAAGCTTCTAGATGGACAAGAACGATGTATTTGTGATTTGGCAGCTGGAAAATATCAGTTTCCAGTTGTCAAACGGAATGGTCTTTTCCTCAACCGGAGTATGTATCGGGACGCTCACGTGAGCAGGTGCGAGATCCTGTGTGAAGTAAGTATTTCAGATTGTATGGGAATACGTTTAGAATAAGATGAATATGAGCCAGCCAATGAACGAACGGGATTTCTTTGCTACCGAATTCCGGAAGAGGAACAGCGGGGTCAACCACGATCAGTGTGAGGAGTTTGTCTGAAATGATGGGCTCCCGTCGTGGGACACAACACCCAGGTTTGGGCGACTATTCCAGACCGGGTTCCGTGTACGTCATTGTTTCCTGATGGCGTGAACCGGAGACCAGGAACCAATACGCTGAAGACATGTGTCCAGCTGATTTACCCTCGCCAATAAACTGTTCACATGTGTTCAGCTGATTTACCTTCGCCAAAAAACTGTTCACATGTGTTCAACTGATTTACCCTAGCCAATAAACTACAGACATGTGATCAGCTCATTTACCCTCGCCAATAAACTGTGGTATGTGTTCAGCTGACTTACCCTCGTAAATAAACTGTGGTATGTGTTCAGCTGACTTACCTTCGTAAATAAACTGTGGACATGTGTTCATGTAGCCCTTCTTCTTCATGATGTCTGCAGCGTAGGGGTCTCCAACAACTCGCACCCACGACATCGCCACCGGACCTACAATAAAGAATCTATTTAAGTTTTGTAAATTCTTGTTGGGACACAAACGGGTGGTCTCCTGACAAAGATGATGAATGGTAATATAACCCTCAGTATGTAGTGCCACTACCTCACTTATTGGGAGGGAAAGAGCCATGCTGGGGGAGTAGTTACCTATGAGAACGGTGTATATACTATTAGGGAGAGTAATCTTCTGTATCAAGAATTATTTACCTATGTGAGAGACTTTTGTTCTGACGAAGAGTAATCAACTGCGAAAGAGAGTATTTACCCGTGATCGGACATTACCTGTGAGAGAGAACTGCTGTGCGAGCTCCCTGAAGTCAATGGGGCTGGACCTGTGAAAGAACTTCTGCCTCCAGATGACTGGCATCTTGATGTAGGCCTTCTGCTTGAACAGCAGGAACACGTACGGGTTGACATTCTTCGTGGGGTTCTGTGGTCCCTCATACACCTGGATTGCCTGCACATGAACAAGGAAAATAATTAGCACCTGGATTACTGCACACTTTCATCAGTTACACACCTGGATTACTGCACACTTTCATCAGTTACACACCTGGATTACTGCACACCTTGATCACTTACACACCTGGATTACTGCACACCTTGATCACTTACACACCTGGATTACTGCACACCTTGATCACTTACACACCTGGAGTACTGCACACCTTGATCACTTACACACCTGGATTACTGCACACCTTGATCACTTACACACCTGGATTACTTCACACCTTGATCACTTACACACCTGGATTACTGCACACGTGGATTACTACAACCTTGATAGTAATACACCTAAGTGCTGTAACTCCCATATATTAACATAGACTTAAGGTAGTCTTAGCGCTGAGGTTGGTTTGTACAACGGCACCCTAGTTTGCCTCCCCATCCCTATTTGTTAAAGCACCGGGAATACTGCACTTCATGATTAGCTTGCACAGGTACCGTGACAGTAGCTTGTAAAGGGACAACGTGTGGCCCTTGTGTTATGTACCATGACAGTAGCTTGTAAAGGGACAACGTGTGACCCTTGTGTTATGACTGTAGCCTGTAAAGGGACAACGTGTGGCCCTTGTGTTATGACTGTAGCCTGTAAAGGGACAACGTTGTGACCCTTGTGTTATGACTGTAGCCTGTAAAGGGACAACGTGTGGCCCTTGTGTTATGACTGTAGCCTGTAAAGGGACAACGTGTGGCCCTTTGTGTTATGACTGTAGCCTGTAAAGGGACAACGTGTGGCCCTTTGTGTTATGACTGTAGCCTGTAAAGGGACAACGTGTGGCCCCTTGTGTTATGACTGTAGCCTGTAAAGACAACGGACAACGTGTGGCCCCTTGTGTTATGACTGTAGCCTGTAAAGGGACAACGTGTGGCCCTTGTGTTATGACTGTAGCCTGTAAAGGGACAACGTGTGGCCCTTGTGTTATGACTGTAGCCTGTAAAGGGACAACGTGTGGCCCTTGTGTTATGACTGTAGCCTGTAAAGGGACAACGTGTGGCCCTTGTGTTATGACTGTAGCCTGTAAAGGGACAACGTGTGGCCCTTGTGTTATGACTGTAGCCTGTAAAGGAACAACGTGTGGCCCTTGTGTTATGACTGTAGCCTGTAAAGGGACAACGTGTGGCCCTTGTGTTATGACTGTAGCCTGTAAAGGAACAACGTGTGGTCCTTGTGTTATGTATCATGACCTTCGCCTGTAATGGTACAACGTGTGATCCTATGTTACGACAACACTTGACTTCAAGAGTCTTATGCCAGTATACTGTACGTATCACGTGACCACTTCCTATCCTTAAATAACACTTGATCCTGTAAGATAATGCGATTTACGCACAGAAGACTTACTTCCGGTAGTATGAATGACCTGACATGTTGAATACATCTGAAATCATCGTGATAACTTTCTCATATAACCGGGGTCACGTCTAGTGAATAGCCTAGTGAATAGCCTAGTGAATAGCCTAATGAATATGTTTGGGTTTTTATAAAAAAAACTTAGCTTGGGAATGGTAAACAAAGCGATTACACGTATATGACAGAGATGAAACCCGGTCCCCGTCTTAGCATGCGCCATCGGCGCTACGGTGTGACTTGATGTGGGCACCCACCTCTCCCGTCGTGACGTTGGAGCCCCTGATGTTGATGAAGAAACCCTTTATGTTGAGGTAGCCGGGGTCGAGGATGATGAGGGAGAACATGTCTTTCTCCTCCGACTCCCACCAGAGGTAGGGCATGTCCTTCAGCTCATAAGGGGTGTGGACCTGGTTGGACAGGGGGTCGACGGAGATCAGCTTGGAGTGCAGAGAGCTGAACTCGTTGCCACACGCTTCGTACTTGCCTGTATAATAACAACGTGTGGTACATGTGTGAATTCTGTCGCAAAACTAAAAAAGGGGTGGAAAATTAAAAACATTCATTTGAATATAGCTTCATTTCATGAACACAAGTAAAAGTTATTGAACATTATTAAAAGTCTTGTCCCAGCACTGTATACACAGTTAAACCAATTCTGTGCAATGATTTGTGTTGTTTCTGTTAAATAACGGCAGAGGAAATAGTTAATAAGGAAGTTGTGAGAATTAACAACACACGCGGATTAACATAAGGCCAGTTTAAATCTGTACCTAACTGCCTAACTATGATCAAACACGTGTGCTGGTTGTGCTGTCCTACAGTCCAAGATATAGGCAAATACCATCGCTCTTAGTCATCATATCTTTCATTTATGCTCTCGCCTTAATTTCACGAACAATACAAACGGTTTGGTTCACGCTTGTATTTCATAAATTACAAATAAACTCTTTCGATGACTATTTACAGATATATTCATGTGAAAGACCAGCCTACTTTGCTGAGGTATAAGATCCGCCACAACTGGCAGAACGATGAATGTATTGTAGCAGCAGACTACCTGCATGGGTCAGCGAATGCATTCGCGTATAAGCCCACCTACCTGGCTGAGCGATGAATGTGATCTCCATAAACCTGTCCAGGTTCTTCTTGTCGTAGTCTCCGCGCTGGAATATTCTGGAGACTACACTATCCTCGGAGTAGGGTTTTGGGTTGTAGCAGTCGACGCTGAACTCGGACTTGTCCCCGCACTTTGACACATACTCGGATCCGAACCAGAACGTCTTGATGTTCTCTGCTCGCCGACGTATTGCGCTAAGGCAGGATGACAGGTCCCAGGTCCTCCTGCTCTCGGAACACAAAGTGTTCTCACTCTTATCTGGAACAAACACACTCAACATAGAAAAACAATTTTTTCACAGACAGGTTATATTTTCGGTACCAACTTCAAAACATATACAATCATGAAATGAGTAGCGGAATGTTTTTTCTTTCATTCTTTCATGACATCCTGGATTCCCAGAAATTATTTTTTCTTTGTTCTCAGACTATTTTCCAGCACTTCAATCGCAACTGTCCAAAGAAACTTAGCACTTATGTTGCTAAAAAACTGCTGGTATAAATAAATATTGATGCGGCGTAACATATGTTACATTTGACCACTTTCTAAAATGGCATTGTGTATTTCATAGCTTTCGGCAGTGGGAGCCGTGCCAATTAACACTTATCAGAGGGGTACACAAAGTCCGCAGTCTAGACTACCAGTTGTCCGACTTCCATTTTTGTGGAAGCCGCGGTGGCTGAGCGGTCTGGGTGTCTGACTTTGTGTGCTAGCGATTAGGTGCCTGACTCTGAGGGTGTGGGTTCGAATCCCGGATGCCCAAAAAGTTCTAGAATCTGTACTTTACTAAGAAAGTGTAATCCCAAATATAACAGGTTACACTTGACCACTTTCTAAAATGGCATTGTGTATTTCACAGTGTAGACTAGTGTTGGGAATTGGTTAAAATCTAATAATTGATGATTGGTCTATTACAACCGATCAATCATCGAAAATAATTGGTTAGCGTCATTTATCAAATGTTCCTGTTATTTTTGTTAATGCACACAAAATAATAAAAAAAAAACATGTAGTAATTTGGTTTTTCTGCAAATTGCATAAAGTCCATTTGCAAATTTTGCATATTTAAATGATGATTAGTATGTTAGGAACACATATTTCCTGGATTCTTGAAGATAAATTTAATCATGACTTGTAGTGCTTATGAAATGTAAATTTAATGACACAGACAAAACCAGCCTTGTGAAAAATATTGTTAATGCAAACAAGTGTTCCAAGATTGGTCGTGTTCGATTACGAGAAAACATGTTCGATTGCTTGGTCGTTTAGTCACTGCGACCAATCTTCGATTATTTCAATTAATCGGACCACCACTAGTGTAGACCACCCTTTCCTTGTCAGCTGGGAGATGATACTGTGCCAGCTGCTTCAGTCATGTCTGTTTCTGCATGGTCTCTGTATGGTCTCTGTATGGTCTCTGTATGGTCTCTGTATGGTCTCTGTATGGTCTCTGTATGGTCTCTGCATGGTCTCTGCATGGTCTCTGTATGGTCTCTGTATGGTCTCTGTATGGTCTCTGTATGGTCTCTGTATGGTCTCTGTATGGTCTCTGTATGGTCTCTGTATGGTCTCTGTATGGTCTCTGTATGGTCTCTGTATGGTCTCTGTATGGTCTCTGTATGGTCTCTGTATGGTCTCATGCATGGTCTCTGTATGGTCTCTGTATGGTCTCTGTATGGTCTCTGTATGGTCTCTGTATGGTCTCTGCATGGTCTCTGTATGGTCTCTGTATGGTCTCTGTATGGTCTCTGCATGGTCTCTGTATGGTCTCTGTATGGTCTCTGTATGGTCTCTGTATGGTCTCTGCATGGTCTCTGTATGGTCTCTGTATGGTCTCTGTATGGTCTCTGCATGGTCTCTGTATGGTCTCTGTATGGTCTCTGTATGGTCTCTGTATGGTCTCTGCATGGTCTCTGTATGGTCTCTGTATGGTCTCTGTATGGTCTCTGTATGGTCTCTGCATGGTCTCTGTATGGTCTCTGTATGGTCTCTGTATGGTCTCTGTATGGTCTCTGTATGGTCTCTGTATGGTCTCTGTATGGTCTCTGTATGGTCTCTGCATGGGTCTGCATGGTCTCTGTATGGTCTCTGTATGGTCTCTGTATGGTCTCTGCATGGTCTCTGCATGGTCTCTGTATGGTCTCTGTATGGTCTCTGTATGGTCTCTGTATGGTCTCTGCATGGTCTCTGTATGGTCTCTGTATGGTCTCTGTATGGTCTCTGTATGGTCTCTGTATGGTCTCTGTATGGTCTCTGTATGGTCTCTGTATGGTCTCTGTATGGTCTCTGTATGGTCTCTGTATGGTCTCTGTATGGTCTCTGTATGGTCTCTGTATGGTCTCTGTATGGTCTCTGCATGGTCTCTGTATGGTCTCTGTATGGTCTCTGTATGGTCTCTGTATGGTCTCTGCATGGTCTCTGTATGGTCTCTGTATGGTCTCTGTATGGTCTCTGTATGGTCTCTGTATGGTGTCTGTATGGTCTCTGTATGGTCTCTGTATGGTCTCTGTATGGTCTCTGCATGGTCTCTGCATGGTCTCTGTATGGTGTCTGTATGGTCTCTGCATGGTGTCTGTATGGTCTCTGCATGGTTTCCCACGTGTTTGTGACAGTGTCTTGATGATGTGCTGTATGGCAGTGTTATTCAGTGTACAATGTAAGGCAGAGTTGTGATTGTACTACATTGTTTCCGTCCAGTAAATGGCAGTGGGGCGCTGTATTTAGACTTGGCGTCAAGTGGAACATGGAAGCTACTAGAATAGCTACTAGAATCCAGATTTAACGGAAAGTTCCGGGAGAAAATTATGCCACAAGTATCGGTCATGTGCCACCTCGTCTCACATTACATCAAGACAGGCAGTCTGTTAAGATACTGAGTTTCAACCTGGATATCCAGCCAAGAGACTTTCACCATTGCTGACCGCTGCTAGTTAGCCTATCTATACTGTGATCAGTGACCTCCCTGTTATTAATGTCACGTACATGTGTGCAGGACAGGTATAAAACCCGCTGTGATGTGATGTAATCTGGCAGGCTGCACTGCACGACACTGTCGACACCTATCCCATTGACTAAGTGCACTATCTGGGCAGCAGCATCTCCGGCACTGCTGCGACATCACGGACTGCAGGCGGAAGGTATGCAGCTCAGTGTTTGTTCCGCTGACACACATACAGTTCCCCATCCCACTGACGTCAGGCTGCCAGAGTTCATTCATATTCTCACTAATCACTGTTATGCCTGTTTTTATCTTCAACATATCCTCATGAACTGATAGGGCGGTATTTATATGGATTCCATAATAATATCCCTCCAGTTGTCGAACCTTAAATGTAATAATGAGACATTTGGTGAATAGCACGACTAGTATACATGTTCATCCAACACTGGTATATATTGACATGAATAAGTGATAACGTTCTGTCTCCAAAGTTCGTGATATTTTGAAATAAGCTTATACATAATTCATGAATACCCCCAGGCAGGCGCTACACCTGTAGGTACAACAATCTGGACGTTGGTCGTTGTATTAAAAGTGCTGTCCTCACACTCTGTGCTCCCGGTTAAAGCTTACATACGTATATATAGCTGACATACGTATTATATAGCTGACATACGTATATACAGCTGACATACGTTTATACAGCTTACATACGTTTATACAGCTAACATACGTATATATAGCTGACATACGTTTATACAACTTACATAAGTATATATAGCTGACATATGTATATATAGCTCGCAGCTGACATACGTTTATACAGCTGATATACGTATATACAGCTTACATACGTTTATACAGCTGACATACGTATATACAGCTTACATACGTTTATACAGCTTATAATACGTATATATAGCTGACATACGTATATATAGCTGACATACGTTTATACAGCTTACATAAGTATATATTGCTGACATACGTATATATAGCTGACATACGTGTATATAGCTGACATACGTATATATAGCTGACATACGTGTATATAGCTGACATACGTATATATAGCTGACATACGTGTATATAGCTGACATACGTATATATAGCTGACATACGTGTATATAGCTGACATACGTATATATAGCTGACATATACGTGTATATAGCTGACATACGTATATATAGCTGACATACGTTTATACAGCATACATACGTATATATAGCTGACATACGTATATATAGCTAACATACGTATATAGAGCTGACATACTGTTATGGATATGGCGTTAAACGCAACTCACTCACTCACTCACTTAGTGCAGGTGTTTCACGTCTATGTTCATGGACTAACCATAACGGCCTTAGTAAGGTATACAGTATGCTGCTGGTGTAGGTCTAGTATTCAACAGCATGTAATGATGAACACACGGACCCAAGGGGTATGTGATCAGCACGTGTCTATTCTTTGAAGGTGATCGGATGGCCTGAATAGATTATCAAACAAACACCAGCATCTAATCACGCCAATCCTCTCGTTTGTAAAACGTGAACAGAGCGCGAACTTTGACATATCGTAACATCTCGTGAACTCTCAACACTTTTCCTCTGATCTCGTTCAAGTTAGTTTCACCAGCCCTTACCCCCCGTAGTGCTAGTCAGGCGGTCGGGACGGAGATATGGAGCGCTTGTCACGCGCAAACATTGACTTTAATTTACGGTGTTTAAGTGACAAGGATTCCTGACAGAATGACCCTGTAGCCTGCCGTTCAAGTAATTACTTATCTTGTTTTCCCGTCGCATGGCCGAGCATGGTAGATATACCCGAGGTCGTATCGTACCATGAATCATTCTAAAAACATTTAAAGGAGCGAATGGTTTAAAAAGCGGGGGGGTTATTTGTTACGAGCGCCGAAACTTTACAAACATTCAAACGTGATGCGGAAATAGCACGTGAGTCACGTGACCTCACCTGGGACCCATTACTAGATACCCGGCGTCAACGTCAACTACATCAAATACACCAACTGAGCGGGGTTCCGTACATCATTCCGCACCATTCATTCCGTGATGGTCATCATCATCATTCACGATGGAGTCGCCCTTAGATAACATTAACAAGGTGAAACATACAGATTGCCTCACCGGACCAAACTGACCTCAGTTGTTTACTGCTGCTGGTGAAATTACCTCCTGTGTCCGGGTGAAGTGATGTTCTCGCTGACCAGCCTTGACCAGCGGGAAATACCACACCGACCATGACCTTACACAGAAACACGAAACACAAATACGGGCATGTGGGTTTATATATTGTGGTTATAAAAGGACACGGTTTGTTTAACGAGATGAGAATAGGCCGAGCAATCAAAGACCAATCCTGGAAGAGGTGAGTGTTTCTTCTGTGAATAAAATATATGAAGATGGTGCGAAGCAGTGAAAGTTTTTTAACCACTTACACCCCACACACCCACAGTGAGTCACTGGAACATTTACACCTCACAGTGAGTCACTGGAACATTTACACCTCACAGTGAGTCACTGGAACATTTACACCCACAGTGAGTCACTGGAACATTTACACCCACAGTGAGTCACTGGAACATTTACACCCACAGTGAGTCACTGGAACATTTACACCCACAGTGAGTCACTGGAACATTTACACCCCACGGTGAGTAGCTGGAACATTTACACCCCACGGTGAGTAGCTGGAACATTTACACCCCACGGTCAGTCACTTGAATATTTACACCCACAGTGAGTCACTGGAACATTTACACCCCACGGTGAGTCACTGAGACATTTACACCCCACGGTGAGTAGCTGGAACATTTACACCCCACGGTCAGTCACTTGAACATTTACACCCCACGGTGAGTAGCTGGAACATTTATACCCACGGTGAGTCACTGAGACATTTACACCCCACGGTGAGTAGCTGGAACAGTTACACCCCACAGTGAGTCACTGAAAAAATTACACCCCACGGTGAGTCACTTGAACATGTACACCCCACGGTGAGTCACTTGAACATTTACACCCTAAAGTGAGTCACTGGAACATTTACACCCCACGGTGAGTCACTGTATCATTTACACACCACAGCGAGTCACTGGAACATTTACATCCCACAGTGAGTCACTGGAACATTTACACCCTAAAGTGAGTCATTGGAACATTTACACCCCACGGTGAGTCACTGGAACATTTACACCCCACGGTGAGTCACTGAAACATTTACACCCCACAGTGAGTCATTGGAACATTTACACCCCACGGTGAGTCACTGGAACATTTACACCCCACGGTGAGTCATTGGAACATTTACACACCACAGTGAGTCACTGTAACATTTACACCCCACAGTGAGTCACTTGAACATTTACACCCCACAGTGGGTCACTGTGCATGAATTAGTCCCTGGTGTAGAGACAGTGGTTGTTGTCACTACTACGTAAGGTGAGACAGTCACTCCCAACATCAGGGGAAACTTTACAAGGTCTGTATAACATGACGAAAGGTTAAATGTGTATCTCCTGGTATCCCATTGGTACTGGGAGATGGCAAAATGCCCCAAATGAACACAGATTTTGTAACTTATGTGATCACATTTGATTGGTGATGAGTTTCACTATTTATTTATATGTAATTATTTTGCAGACATACGTAAATCTTTGTTGAAACGAACCGTATTGTCCCTGGCCGAATTTGTCAATGTTCCGTCAACTTATTTCAAGTAAAACATCTATCCTTAAAAATGTATCAAAGTTCATTAAGATGGTTTGTAAACATTTAATTGATATATCATTTGGTCACCGTGTTGTATATTTTGTATGTACTCTTATGTTATACTCATGTTCCACCGATGGTGGATTATTGTGAGTAATAAACGAGTGATGATGTTTCATTCCTTGTGTATTCACATTCATCAGTAATAAGTTAATGTCTTCACTTATATCTTATGGTTTCGAACAATATTCGTTCAGCTGAGCTAAGTAATCATCCCCACAATTACAACAGTATGCATATTGATGCCGCGTGACATCAAGGTGTCATATTGTGGGGGGTGTCACACAGTGAATAAGCCCAGGGTGCCTGCTGTGTGTGTGTGTGTGTGTCTGTCTGTCTGTCTCTGAGTGTGTCTGTGTCTGTGTGTGGGTATTGGATGTGGAGTGACGGGAAGCTAATTAGCGAAGGAACTGGACTGCACGTGGTGAAAATAAGCGACCCCCTAGACATATAAATATTGTAATGAACGCCGACAATTCAAAGTCAATGGTAGCTTCTGTGTACGTAGAGAGTAACCGTGTTATTTTATTTTTAAAATCGTTTTAAAACATGTTGATATTTTACGCATGATATTGCCTTCATCTAACACGTGCAGTTTGTGTTGGCAATGTAAACCATGCCAATACCACCTCTGGTTATATGTGTGAACAGACTACACAGCGGCGTGTCAATATCGCGGCACATGCTGGCCGTGGCAGGAGGGGGGGTCTGTATTGACTGCGGTCAAATACTTCTTTCTTTACTTGCTTCAATCATCTCGTGTTTTGCCTTAAACGTTGGAAATTGATAATGAGAGGTTTCCCTCATAATGTTGGGGGTCAAGTTCAAATCAACTGGGTATGAGTTTTAGTTTTGAATGAACCTAGACAATATGTCTTCCTACGAATTCAAGCCAGCATGCTACTCTCTGAAGCTGTTTCCACACGCAGGAACACACGTGTCACTGGTCTTTGAATGGCATTTAGAAGTGACGTACAAAAGAAAGAGAGTTTTTATGGATGTCAACTACTTTATTATGAGGAACACAAGGTTTAGGAGCATATTCGTACTCCTACATTCACCTGATGAATGCTGTAAGGAGTAAGGATAAACGTTGTGTTCCTCATAATACAGAAGTTGACGTTCATAGACGCTCTCTTCCTTATACGTGTAACTGATGGCAAACTGCTTCTGTACATCGGGCGTCTCTAAACAACGTGCTGTATCGTAACACTGTTAAGTGTATATTAGATTTAAGCAATCTTCCATATCGTAATACTGTTAAGTGTATATTGGATTTAAGCAACGTTCTATATCGTTAAGTGTATATTGGATTTAAGCAACGTTCTATATCGTAACACTGTTAAGTGTATATTAGATTTAAGCAACGTTCTATATCGTAATACTGTTAAGTGTATATTGGATTTAAGCAACGTTCTATATCGTAATACTGTTAAGTATATATTGGATTTAAGCAACGTTCTATATCGTAATACTGTTAAGTAT